GTAGCGACATCAGTGGACGTGAGGAAGGAAGGAGGCTGAGCAGTAGGTTCAGGAGCGCGGCAGCTTGTTCGTTGTTATCTTGTTCGTTGTTATCTTCAATCTCTCTAGGTATACTACAGCCTACAGGTGGAGGGCCGAGGGAAGAGGAAGCGTCATATCTAGAATGTAGATACCTATGTTGAATGCGATTAATAATGGTAGAAGAGAAAAGAAAAGCGCCTTAATCGGGGATTTGAAAATACGAACATGCGAAGGGTACAATTTTAGCTGGATATGGATAATGGAGGTATTCATCTAAGCAAAAGTTCGCAGATAGGTAGAACTAAGAAGACTGTAATGTTAAAAACGGTATCTAACCACACAAGTAAGCCTGAGAAGCCACCTGGAAATGCGCATCCAAGCACAAACTTTATCGTTGGCTTCTATTGCTCTAGTTACTAATAGTAGTGCTTCACCCCCTCCCTCAACCCAATCCACACCTCCCTCCTCATCTCCTCGTGCATAACCGTCTTCCAGCACCTCTCCTCTTCCGGCAGCTCCTCCAACCTCTCCGCCTCCAACCTCTCCGCCTCCAACCTCTCCGCCTCCTTCTCCGCCAACTCACCCGCGCGCCTTCTCGCCTCCTCCTCCACCTCTACCCCCTCCTCCTCCTCCTCGTCTGAGTCGTCGATAGTAATCTCCGTCCTAGCGAACCCCATACCATCCTCGCGACGCTCCAGGGTAATCCTGCGGTGGGCGTGGGTTGGGATCTCGATCCTGAGCTTTGGAGGAGCAGGCGCGAGCACGCGCTTCGCGACGCGAGTGCGCTTCGGGACCGGCTTCTGGATGGGCTTCTGGATGGGCTTCTTGGTGGTCTTCCTGACGCTGCTGGGCAGCTTGGGCAGCGGTAGGGGCAGGGGCTGGGACGCGCGGTGGCCGCGGGTTGAGGGGGGGTGGGTACTGCAGAGGTGGGTGGTGGTTAGTATACGATTATAGGGGTTGAATGGGGTGGAGGTAGTACTATTCGGGGCGGGTCTTCATGCTTGTTTTTTGTTTTTGTGGCTGTTGTTTGTTTTTGTAGATGTTGTTTTTGAATTTGTATAGTCAACGAAGGTGCGCTGCTGGTGGAGCAGGAGGAAGTGGAGGAGGAGGAAAGGAAGCAGGAAGGAGGTACTGCGCCGTTTTGAAGGGAGTGGTGTGTTGTACTTGAGGTTGAATAGTGGCTCGAGATGAGCTTGCGACTTGATGTGCACGGAGCTCTTGGAATGTGTGCGAGTGATAGCATGGGAGATGGTGATCCACCATGAATCATGAGTCGTGATCAAAGCTTGTCTACTGTCTACAAAGCCAGCCTTCCAGGTTGTTGAGTACTCATGAGCAGAGCCGCAGCAGCTTAGATCAACGGAAATGGAGTGCCTAGGTGAGAGAATCCGAATAAGAAAAGTAGAAGTAGAAGTAATGATAGGTGTGTAACGGTAAATGTATAGATAATTCTATTGTATTATATCTCCATCCTCCCTTGTGCCTCTCCTAGTAGTAGTGGTAGGTATAGTAGGTAGGCCATCACCTCTCGTGAGTCGTCGCTGCTCCGCTCGCTCGGAGGAAGACAGCGGGGGGGGGGCAAGTAAGCAACCAACCAACCATGGAGAAACTCGAAACGCAACGAAGCGAGTGGACTTGGACGCACGGAACGTCATCTGCCGGCGACCAGCGACGGGACTTGAATGCAAGGGACTTGAAGGGAAGGGAGGAGGTGAGTGATATTCCTTCCGTCAAATTGCACGATACGCGAGCTGCAACTGACGGCTTACGGGGTGCGATCATGCAATAGGTACCTAGACGGGATATATCCTGCTTAGGTAACTATGCGCGCCAATTACTCCTCGGCATACCTAACTACACAGACATGTGGGCCTGGGAAGTGGGAAGTGGGAAGGGAACCTGAAAGGCTGCAAAGCTGGAACGCTGGAAAGAGAGACCCGGAGAATCCACCAGACAAGACAAGTCCGCAACCCGCAGCCTGTGGGGGACCGGCGTCGGAACAACGGAACCACGCGCCCGCGGCACTGAAACCGTGCCCATGCATCTGCGTACGGAATGGGATAGCAATGCATGCATGCGACTTGCAGCTCGGTGGGAGAGAGAGCTTCCACCGCCGATGTGGGGGTCTGGGTCTCGGTCTGGGCCAGTTCGAACGTCGCTATGGAGATGAGGTCTAAGGCGAGGGGAGGAGGGGAGAAGGTGAGGGGAGGAGGTGAGGAGGTGCATGGCCTAGACAATTCAATCTTCGGGTGAGCTGGACTGGTTGACGGACTGACCGACTGACTGCCTGAAGCCTGAGACCTGCTCGTGCTCGGCCGAGTGTATCCGACGTCGCGGTAACCATGGCAATGGCCAGCTCCGCCCCTCTGCCCCCCTCGAGGCAGCCAGCCCTACACGAAGATCGTCACAACATTTGTTTTGGGTTCGGGATTTCGGTACTTCCAACACGGCAACAGCGCTGATCGCAACCCCAGCCAGCCCAGGACGAGTGATAGATCGCCAGACTCCAGAGCATCGGCGCAAATCGTAATTGTCTCTCCGATGGATCATGGCGGCCGCCAATAGCATCAGCATCCTGGTTGGATTATGGATATATACGGAACATACCTACGGAAATGGCATAAGATCCATAGTTAAGATAGGTAGATGCAGTGGAGTCTATGCTTTAATGTTGATGTTATGGGGCGGCTTGGGTTTGTTCGACTTCGAGGACCGGATCGGCTGTCGAAGATGTCGTTCGATCCGTGTTCTTATATACCCTCCCACCCGCCCAAAAGTGAAGATCTCTCTGGCGTTCTAGACGACGGACTTTAATCTCCAGCCAGCCACTTTATTCGAGACGAGACGGGACGAGACGGACGGACGGCAGAAATGCACCGCGCCCCGCACCAGACGTGGACGTGGCATGTCTCGTGGCATGTCTCGTTCGTCCTGGACCGTTCCCAACGTACATACGTGCTTGGCGGATCGATTGGATACCTGTTTTGATGTGCATATTTGAGTGGTGTAGTGGAGGGCGCTGGAGCCGAGTGAGACGGAGTACGTGGAGATGGGGAGATAACCCATTCCGCATCCCCCGTCCAGGCGTGCGGGCGTGCGGGCGGGGCGCCGGGTGGTCACTTGTTTCCTTTGGATGTGCTACCTACACGAATAAGTATCTGTGTAAGAAGTATGTGTAGCCGTATGCGCGCTGCAAGTGGGCGTGTGAAAGTAGGGGGGTGGGGTCGTACTGCCGATGCAAAGATGAGATACCCTACCTATCACTCGCGCAATCGTGCAAATCCAGATTCTCCCAAGATTCCTAGCCCGCGCTGATCGTGCTTTCCTCACTCATAATCGACCGTGGCAAAGTAAACTCTAGGTTGTCTCCTAGTTGTCTCCGAATAAGAGAATTCGAATAGATAACTATTGCCACATCCATAATGAGATCACGGCACGCACAGGATGAGATCATCACCACTGACTCGAAGGCGCGATCCTCAAACAGAAACAGAGTCTTTTTGAGTGATTGGATAATGAAAGTGAGCATGGTTTTCCTTTGTAAAATTGGTTGGTAGGCAGCGGCGCAGCATCGGGCCGTGGTGGTAGAGCTTTCTCTCGACCCCACGAAGCTGGCAGGAAAGGTTGGGAAGTTGGTGATCACCATAGTCTAGTAAGGCTGCATGCGGCAATAAATTGATGTTCTCTCTCCCTCTCTTAGCTTTATAGCGAGTGATGAGGTTTTGGTTTTACTTCTGCCGCTCCCTCTGAATGTACTGCAAGTCCTACAGTGTCATACGCAATCACTCATTATGTGTGATGATGCGTGTATTCGGATGAAATGGCCGACGATTCGACCGGTGTATCTGTCGTTTTGCGTATACATATCGGCTACAGAGATGATTCACTATCACGAGCCTCTCATCGAGAGCACTTCGGGGCACCCGGTGGTGGTAATGGTTGGCGTGAGCACGCAACATAGCCGTAGATTCGCTTCATAGCTGTGTACTATCCATCGGCCAACACCATTCTGTTGCCGATTGTCTATTCCGCGAGTTCGTCCAGTTCAGTTCAACCATAGTCCTTGCTCCTCTTATTCAGCTTTCCATTCGACTGCTTCATCCAAGGCAGTTTTGTCAACTTGGATCTTGGTCACTGCGAGAAGTTGGGCTCAGTAAGCGTATCAAGGGGCTAGATCTATTGTCGCTGAAACCCGACTCCCGAGCGGAAGAAGAGAACGGAAAGTATCTGAAGAGATGGAGATGTAGATCCCGGAGGAGGCCAAATATATCCACCGAAGTTGCGGTAAAGGTACGCTGCACGACGGAAGGCCATCAGCTGCTGGGGGTTACACCGCCGTAACGGTGGACGTCCCCTGTTCTCCTGTTTTCCACGCTTTCATCTGGTGGCCATTTCCAAGCGTAAGTCCTCTTCTTGTATGGCCGTGAAGCCAGGGCATGCCGATGACTTTGAATATAGCTTTCAAACTTTGAGGCTGACACTTGGAGGCAATAGCAAATATCAGACTACAGAGCGAGTCGGATACTATCGGATGGCACCAATGCGCTGGAGTATCGAGCTCGATGGCTTCTCGGTTAAGAGCTTGAATTTGAAATAGAGTCATTTGATGATATTCTTTTGCCTGCACTCTTCCCTCGCGCTGCACCAAGAAAGGACTTCAAATGGCGAGCGCTCCCATCTAGAGCTTCCAGTGAAGTGTGCTTGCGGGGTGAGTCTGCGGGTGAACTTGTGAGCGATCGTACAAGAAGGCGGCTGAGTCCACATGTACACGTACATACCTCGTCGGAATCCTAACACGGAAAGATGGGAATGTTCTCAAGACATTGAAAGCTTTGGCGACATCATTGTCGGGAATATTTCTAAACCTCAGGACTCAACGGACACAGAACGAGATTAGCGCATTTCTTGGCATTCTTGGAGTGCATATATAGGCTCATAGAACGACGTCACGCGGTGTTTTAAGCGAATCCCACGTTAGAGCAGCCGACACGGTAGGACAGTGTTGCGTCGCGTCTCCCTACCCCAGATCTACCATCACTGCCCCGCTACCTCCCACATCCACCTTAAACCACACCACGATCACCCACGACGTCTCACAACGTACGTCGTACTCCACTACGATAATCACCAGCGACTCATCCGGACACGACGATGGACGAGCTCCAAGTCTCTGCACCGATGTCTGCGGAGAGTCGCAAGCGCACTCATTCTCCCTCTCCCAGCGACCATGGCGACAAGATCACAGCAGAAAACGCCACGCACAGCGGCAGCGACGACAACGACAAGATGATCGATGTCGGCGACACCACTCTGACCGCGCCGTCGCCCAAGCGCGCCAGACTTGCGATCGTTGAGAAGGGTGGAGGGGTGGACGACAGTGGAAATGTTGACGAGAAGGAGTGGAAGAACGAAGATGATCAAGGAGATGATTTAGACGGCTACAATCCCAAGGGTCGCAGAGGAGCTACGAAGAAGAAGAATCAGGCTGGAAAGAAACGTGTCACTTCCAAGAAGACTCCGGCGAGGGTCAAGACTCATACCGCCACTCCGGACGAAGTGTTTGCCGCTCTACTCGCGGAGGAAGACTCTCCCGTTCGTCGTTCAGGTCGCGTTCGTGCTCGTACTCCTTCCAAGAGCGTAGCCGCTTGCAACACTTCCGCTGAGGCTACACCTGGCCCCGAGGCTACGGTCGTTTCTAAGACCGGGCCCAAATCGAAGAATTCCAAGACCGAACCTAAGGGTAAGGCCCAAGACAAGGCTAAGGCCGAGTCGAAGGCCAAACCTAAGGGTAAGGCGAAGGCCGAGTCGAAGACCCAGAAAAAGGCTACCGCCGAGCCGCAGCCCAAGAAGCTCACCAAGAAAGAGTTGTGGCAGCCGGAAAACTTAGCTACTCGATTCTCTCCTTTCGCTCTAGGGGATCTTTCGGTTTGTGTTCCTTCTTACTGCGCGTTCAAAGAAGTTTGCTGATATGTGTGCGATGCAGAGGCTCCTTAATCCTAAGGTTCTCAACCGCAAGAATTTGACTGACGAGGAGTACGATTCGCTCATCGCGCTTCTTCCGGCTGAAGACATAATCTACCCGGCGAATTCCGATGTCACCGTTCCTGATGGCAAGCCCATCATCAATCCGGTCGTGTTCGACGACTCTTTTTTCATGGAGGGCGTGTGCAATTACCAGGAAGACCTTTGTCAAGGCAAGTACGAGCCGGAGTATCTCGCCAAGGCTGCCGATGCTAGAAAAAGGAGGTTGGCTGGTGAATTTGATTCCTGGAAGGAGGAGAACTTTGAGGTGTTCTGGGGAGAGAAACAGAAACTATACACGGAAGCCATTGCTGGAGAGAGCAGCAAAATCAAGCTCGCGGAGATGATCAAGACCTCTGTCTTCAAGATCGGCGACGTGTTCAGTATGCGCAGACACTTTACGGGAGGTCTGGTCATTCGAAAAGACGCCATCGTAAGTGATTCATTCTAGTCTTCGATTGCACTTGACTAATGGTTTTTGCAGTTGGAGGCTATGGGCAAAGAAGAAGGCACGCTCAACTTCAGCTACCCCCCTGGTACTGCTGAATGGCATACGGATGATGTACCTGACAAGATCATCAAGAATGTCATGAGCCTCCAGGCTCTTGAGACCTTGCTCTGCAAGGAGAATGGTACGGGCCCGGAGAGACTCCCAAACGGCAATGCCTGGAAGACGATCCGAATCGTTCGCAAGGGAGAAGACATCGGCTGCATATTTGACCAGCGGGTCAAATATTACAACGATTACTACAATGGTGTGTAAGAAACTTGAAGCGATCGACACGGACACAGTGGCGTTTGGCGTTTCCTGCTTGCACTCTTCTTTTTCTCTTCATGTTTCTCTTCATGAGTTCTCTTGATAATTCTGCCTACTCTTACCTTTGCTTTTTAGCAAGTTTCTCTTCCCCTGCAAGCTGTACGGCTATGCTCGATTGAATGCGAATACTACATACCGATTGCTTCATTTCTTCGTCTTTCTTTCTGCACATCTTCTCAATCACATCTCTTCATGTATCTCATTTTGCGCCCAAGTTCAAGTGTAAATTTGATACTAGACCCAGCATGCATAGGTACTTGTTTGTAATCTCCGTTTCTACGGGTTTGTTCCCTCCAGACGACTGTACTTGGGACTGGGTGCGAGGGTGGGGATGCGGCGATGAGGATGAGATAGGATTAAAACATCAATTACTATTGAGCCAATGCCTAATTAGGGGCTCGACCCAGCAATGGTGATCAGAGACGAATTCCGCACTGAACTGAACATCCCTCTCCTCAACACCCCCTTTGATGGCTCGAAACGATAGGTAGGGTGAGTGTCTTATTCTCTTCCTAGTCATCCACCAAGACGACTCGCTCACCCTATCTTGCTCCGGTTCCTCCTCCCACTCCTTGTTCTCCTCACTGTTCCACCTAAGCAAGTCCTACTAATATCCATTCTTCTCAGGAAATCTAGTACACAAGGTTACACTTCTTCAACCAGCGCAACAACGGATTGGATGGTTGATTTGTATCACTCGTACAGTTATTCCGCCCATGTGCGACTACAATGGCGTACTTTTAGTCTCCCCGCTTCCTGTTCACAGTACACTTCCCTGGCTCGGTGTGGCGCACAAGAACAGAATACACATCCGCCAGGCGGCTCGGGATACATCGAGTGCGAACTCGTCCAACCACTCGCACATGTCAGTACGGTACAGTCATGCTCACTGACGATCCTGTAACCTCGGTTTGGGAGTATTGGATGGGCGGAGGCGGGCAGTGAGAACTAGTACATAGGAACTACCACTTGCGGCCTGTGCTTCGCTGCTCGTCTGCCGGTATCCACTCCAGAATGCGGGGCGGATGGTTGACTCTTGAGGGGAACGTCGAGCTCTCTGCGGGGTTGGTTCATCTTGTGACCGCTTTACTGCTCGATCCAACGTTTCCCTAGGTGGTAAGTGTCCATCCATTCCCGATCCTACGCCGATATCGATTCCGGATATCTGGTTACCATCCGCGGAAGCTCAATGATAACCCCTCACCTGTCACACGGCATCACTCGTACCCCCTCCCAAGCACCTCGCGTTCTTCAATGACCTCACTTATCTCCTCCCGTGGCATTTGTTTTACTCTATTATATCACCTGGACACATCTGATCCATCACGTGCCGCTCTCTTGGTAGATGTCATTGGGCGGGTGCGTGCATGTCGGGGCCAGCACGTTGCAACACTATTGGGCAGGGGAATGCCGCTTATCTACGAGCCCTGCGAGCGCATTCAAACAAGCCAGAGCAATTTATCGGGGATTTCCTTTGTAATCATCCCAAGGTATGGATGTACCTAGAGCCACAGAATGCAGAATGCAGAAACGTATGTTAATCTGTACCTGCTTAGAGGCGGTATCTGCTGCTGCGATGATCGATGGACGGACGGCGGGCATATCCTCGCGTAGGTACCCAAATACATAATGTATGTAGGGCAGGGGCGCGGCAAAGAAATATGATTCCTTGCCAGCACTGCGGTTGGATTTGATGATTGGACTGGACTGGACCACACTCGGGGTAAGGATTCACAGTATTTTCCTCCAATTTTGATTTTCGGCTCTTTTTTTTCTCTCCCAATCGGCATTTTGTGGGTAACATGGGATATGCAGGCATGATGATATGTGTCCCTTTCGCGCGCGTACAAAGAATTGTGTCGCTCCTCGGCGCGCAAAGAGAAAAAGAAATTCGCGCCCGCTCTTTATTTCGCCTTCTTCTCGACCTCCGTAGTTCCCGCCGGCAACCAGCGCTGAGGGTGCTTGTTGTAGAAAGGCCACGGTGGCACAACGGTGAGGAACGTCAACGCCGTACCCGCGAGGCCGACGTAGACGGTGAATTTGAGGTCTCCGAGAACAAAGCCGACGATCCAGGCGACAATCTGTTGCGCGGTGTTAGGTTGGTGAAGGAGAGGGAGTGGGTTGGGAAGACGAACACCGGATGCTACTAGTAGGACGGTGGTCAGGAGCTCGGCGAGGCGTTGACCCTGTGTGGGAGTTAGCGGCGGTGACGGCGGAGGTCGAGTGGAGTGCTCGAGCGGATGAGTGGGGTGGGTGGTGGGCTGACCTCGAAGTCCTGGTATTGTTTGTTAGCGAGGCAGCGGCGCGACGCGAGTTAGGGGGACGCACGATGAAGCCATCTACAGCGGACTGGATTGCATTCATTGTGGTGTCGTGAATGCGTTTGGAGATGTGAGGTGGTGGTGGTGGTGGTGGTGGTGTTTGTGTGGTTGGTTGGTGGTGGTGGTTGACAGAAGAAGGTACCCGCGACGGAGATAGCTCTCTTTGCTAGCTGAGGTGAGGTGTTCTTTCTGGGTGTCCTGCGTCGCGTTTCACAACCACAACTGACATCTGTGCTCGGCGCCGACTGACTGGTTGACTGAGCCAGATGATTTTGATTGGAGACGCATGAGCGATTAACCTTTTGCTTCTTTTTTTTCCCCTTCGAGATTATGTAACCGCCACGAAAATAGATGGCATCCAACGGAGGTTACAGAAAGAAAAATCAGGAAAGAAAAACACGCTGATATCATGATCGACAGGGGAGAAACATTACCGTGTGGACTGTAGGGCCAGCCGGATGTCTTTTGCGGAATACCTAGATACTAGTGGCACCAAAGATCGATCTCTTCGGAGCTCGAGAGAGCTCGAGAAATACGCAGAGCATTCTAACTTCTACGGGCACGATTGTCATGGGCTTAGGTATCTGGTCTTCGGCGGTAGCCGTAGCGACTCGCGAGGCCGAACAGAGGCGGGACCATCCGCGCGTCCATCGGCGGTCGAGGGCTCGGAAGTAGGAACTGCATAGAGTCGGAGCGCTCGAAATAAGCTGTGGGGCTACCCGGCAGTCGCCTATGCTTCTCTCTCTTCTCACTTCTTTGCTCTGGTGGCGGGCGCATAAATCCATGCTCAAGAATCGTGTAAAATAAAAAATAAAAAACCCGCACAGAAAGTCCCCAGAAACTATTCGACTCGACTATAGCCGAACGGGAGCATGGTGGCCCAGTCTGGAAAGTTTCTAGCCCGATCCGGCTGACCGCACTCCCCCTTACCCACTTTCCTTTCTTTTCTTGGATCTTTGATCCTTCCCCTTCCTCACTCCTCATCCTCGTCATCTTCCTCTCTACAAATACAAACCAGCCCTCCAGTCCTACTTCCAACCACCTAAACTTCAACCCAACAACAAACAACTTCAGACTCACCAACTCTCGAGACAGTCCTCACCGCTCAGGTTATCCAGAAACCATCCTCGCTGTCCAACAGAATTCATTCTTGCGTTTGAATTACGTGCGTTTTCCCGCTACAGGCTCCCCCTCCTTTGCCCCTAATTACGAACTTCCGCCACAAATAAATCACCACAAAAATCGAAAAGAAGAAAAAGTACTGATAATGTCACAGAAACCCAATGATAACGGCTTCGCATTGACTATCTAGCTCTCCTGAACATCTGCAGCATCGTCTTCTCGGTACTAGCGACTCTCGAGACTATTCGACTGAAAATTTCCATCCCACGAACCTTATCTCCCCACTCCACTCCACCCCACAGCTCCTCCTCCTCCTCGTTCTCCTCGCCGTCTTTGCGCTGGATTGCCCACCGACGCCTCGGCGCCTTTACTCCTCAGAGATCAGCAAGTTGGCGGGACATAACGGCCTGAAGTTTTCCCACGCTCGTCCACTCCTTGGTCCAAACTCCTGGGTCTTCGGAGCTTCTAAGAAGCCGCCATAACTGACCCTACGGAAATCCTACACCTCGCATCGCGTTATATACCCATCGTTTCTCGCTGCTTCACTCGGTCCAACCCCGAGGAAGTGATTCGTTACATCCCTATCGGTAATACCTGCTCTACGGTCCAACAGTTTTTGGTTCCTCTTGTTTTCGTCGAATCTTCGTCCAGCGGCAACTCTGGATACTTTTCTTCGACATAAGTTGAAGTCCCTGGGGTCATTGCCAACCCCGCCAGTCTACAATCACGTTGTACGCGTTCAGTGAAGTGAGCGCGTGAGCGGCTCACTGGAGGCTAGAAGAAGTTGAAGAGAGAGTGTGTGTTTGTCTCTATCGTGTAAGACTGGCCATACTTCTCTGTGATACTGTTCTGAGTCGCAGTTGCTGATAGCTTGTGAAGTTACCCTTGTCTAGGTTACGAAAACCGGATTGCATCCACTGCTTCTTGCCAGTTTCATATCAATAATCAGTCATTTTTTTTTCGAGATGGACACCCCTCGTACCGAATCCCCGTCGTTCCCGGCGTCGCGCCCGGCCAATGAACTCGACGACCATCGATTCCAGCCACACTCGCTCCCCCGTAACAACACCGCGACCTCTCACCTTCGCCCCGCATTCGTGGTCGACGGTGCGCGCCCGCGCTCCCGAGACAACGAGTATGCCGTGTACGACGATCCCGACATGCTGACCCCGGGGTTTCACGGTATCGACCACGCCATCGGTATCGAGCGCAGAGGATCGACTGCACGTAGTGCCCGATCCATTCGGTTTCCTTCCAGGGTTTCTTCGCGCTCTCCCTCACCTCCCAATTCGGTCGATGCGTTCGCGGATCCAGACCATCGAAGGATGAGAGACCGTGCTGGAACTGTGACCAGTATGGCGCCTAGCGATCTTCGGTTGTGCTTGCAGCGCACCAACTCCCGTCGCCCGACTTTTGTCGAGCACAACGAGCACGACTCCGATGCGGATGTCACCGCGCCGAAGCCTGAAGAGGATGTGTGCTTTCCTCCGGAGGAGAATACTCGCGGTGCTGCCACCATTGACTTTGAGGATATGGATGATTTTGTTGCTATGCAGAACCGTGGACGACCTAGTCAGCGCCAGAGGAAGATGAGCACCGCCGGATCATTCAAGGACCGTTACTATCCTGGGCAGCAGAACACTAAAGCTCAAGAGCGCGCTGGGGACGATTCGGGTTCCGTCATCAACGAGAAGGTTGGAACCACTCAAGAACCACGGCGGCTCTTACGAGTTAGCCAGCCCGACAGGTTCAGCTTCTTCTCGTCGGAGATGGACGCTACCATCCATGCACCCGAGATCGGCGAGCTTTTGCTGGACGGCGAGAGCTTCCAGGACCTGTTCCGCGAGGGTAGTGTATGGTGGTTGGACTCCCTCAACCCGACCATGGAGGAGCTTGGCATGCTCATGAAGGCCTTCGGCATTCACCCTCTGACTGCTGAGGATATCCGCGTTCAAGAGACCCGCGAGAAGGTGGAGCTATTCAAGAACTACTACTTCGTCTGTTTCCGCTCGTTTGTCCAGAACAAGGATTCGGAGGACTATATGGAGCCCATCAACATTTACCTCATCGTCTTCCGTGAAGGGGTACTCTCGTTCCACTTCGAGCAGTCGAACCACACCGCCAACGTTAGGAGGCGCATCAGGCAGCTGCGTGACTATGTCGCGCTCAGCGCTGACTGGATCTGTTACGCCCTGATCGACGACATTGTCGATTCGTTCGCTCCTTTGATCACGGATATCGAGAAGGATTCGGATTCGATAGAGGACGCGGTCTTTACTGCCAGAGACGACGATTATACCACGCTTCTCAAGCGGATCGGTGACTGCAGGAAGAGAACCATGGCGGGGATGAGACTGCTGGGTGGAAAGGCCGACGTCATCAAAGGCTTTGCCAAGCGATGCAACGAGCAGTACCAGATCACGCCTAGGGGCGAGATTGGCTTGTACCTCGGTGACATCCAAGACCACATCCTCACCATGATGGGCAATCTGTCCCATTTCGAGAAGATGCTGTCGCGCTCGCACGCCAACTACCTCGCACAGCTGTCGGTGGACTCGATCCAGGCCAACAACCGTGCCAACGAGGTCTTGGGAAAGATCACGACCATTGCCACAATCCTCGTTCCGCTCAACCTCGTCTGTGGTCTCTTTGGAATGAACGTTCCCGTGCCCGGAATGGAGAGCGGCAGTCTTGCGTGGTTCTTTGGAATTCTCGGCTCCATCTTCTTGTTCAGCTTCGTCAGCTTCCTCTTTGCTAAGAAGTGGAAGTTTATCTAAGCGAAACATGATATACTATACTGGTACGTATAGGGGTTTTTTTTTGGTGGAGGAAGGAGGAGGATTATGATTAAGGTGCGGGAGGGAGCCTTGGAATTAAGTTGGTCCGGTAGAGAGAACTGTGGCAGCCGCGGTTTGATGATTGGGAATTGCTTATGGAAATGCTGAATGAAATAAGGTTGGGGCATGAATGATCACGCATGGATGCATGATTTGGAGGTGTTTGTTGCTTTTTGGAGGTGGGGATTGTGCATGCTGGAGGGACAGATTCTCGATGGGGATTGTTTGTAGCTTGGTAAAAAACTTGAAGCGAAATCTGCTTAACGTGAGGGGAATGGGGATTATACCTACCTGCTCTTTTCATTTGCTATTTGTGAGTGTGATGTGTGATGTGTGATGATTGGGTGAGATGGTAGACTGTAGACGGGATACCTATTCGTTCCATTCCAGAGATTGCTCTATATGGGTGCTTTATTCTGCAGGCACCAACCAATAGCTATGATCCTGGGCTCGTGTGGTAAGCTCCCCCACTACCGTCTGACCTTTGCATGAGGGGTAATTATGCTAGTAGATCATTCATTAAGAAGCACTCGCCTTCCGCACGCACGCGTGAAACTTGTGAAGTCGAGGAAACAGGATGGCGGAGGGAGGGGGGGAGGGTGGCTAACTCGTGTATTTATTATCGGTGTCCGACGTCCGCTCATAGAACCAGTCTCCAGTCAAGTTTGAGAGCTGATGAGTTATGGAGCTTGGGTTATGTGTCACGCGAGCATGAGGACTTCGGTAATGTATGACCAACTCTGCCCTAGGTAGACTACTACCTAGCACTTCGCCCGGTCCACCGACCCCCGCCGTTCGTGGGGGTTCGAACTTCGCCTGGAGACCTCGCAGCTCTGGTGCAGGAACCGGAAACAGCGCCTACTACTGTGCATACTGTACAAAGAGCGCTGCGCGGGTTCGCGAGGGTTCGCGAGGAGCGAGTATTGCGAATTCACACATGTGCATAGGTACTTGCCTGAAGGCCTGGGTGTTGGACTCTAAAGTGCATACCGTACCTACTCTTCACATGTGGATACGTCAGATTCTGGGTGTCAGCTGGTCCATAGTTACGGCGGCGATGGAGCCTGGAGGTGGTGGGAAATCCTGTCTCGTAACCTAGCGTCGGGTACCTCCGCTTTAGTTAGTTACGGCGTTGTGGCCGTGGGTTATGTGGGTTATGCGGGGGAGGAGGACCTGCAGTTTCACCACTACTGAGACTACTGAGACTACTGAGTAGAACTCCATCATGGCCGCATGCAACGAAACGCGATAACCTGTTGAGAACTCGATGATGAAAAACGACTAGATATCTACACCGCGTAGGTGTAACTGAATACCAAATCATAGTAGTATGATACCGTACAAAGCAGAACAAAGCAAAGCAAAACAAAGCAACCCGCAGCCCAAACGCCATAAGAATGAACAGTAAGAAAAGCATGCGCGCAAGCTAACGAAACCCGTGAAGATAGACAGACACACACATAAGAACATAAGAACATCAGAATAAGAATAAGTAGAGACACCAGCTAAGTTAGATGGACACAGACACCGGCACCGGCACCGGCACCGAAGCAGACAAGCAGACGCGCAAAGAAATTTCGAGAGAGATCGCAAGCCATTACTGCGCACCCGACACACTCCCACCGCCCGTCGGACTGCTCGCGCCGCTCGCACCACTGGCACCACTCGCGCTGCCGATGCCCAAAACACCACTGCCGATATACGCTGGCGGGCGTGCCATGATCGGGGTTCTTGTGGAAGCGGTGGGAGATCTCGGTGCCGCGGCGGAGGAAATACTCTGTCGTCGCCGACCACCGTGCGGTCTCGACACTGTGCTGGCGCCCGAGCCAAGTCTGGCGCGCAGCTTCTCCGACTGCGTGCGCTTGTATTGCTTTGACTCTGCGCGACTGCGGATCGCGGAGGGTGCGGTGGGCGGGAGGGATTTGCCGTCGTAGAGAGTGCGGAAGCCGTCGACGTCGAGGATTGAGAACCGGGGGAAGAGGGGGAGGGGGAGTGGTCCGGAGGTCTCGTCGAGGTGGAGCTCCTCGTCGGGAACGTTGATATCGGTGTGCTCAGGGTGGTAGTCGCAGTCGCCCGGTTCCATGTCCAGGACCATATCTGCGACGATTCGCTGCTTGGAGTGTTGTGCGGTGCTCCAGAAATCCATGGCGTCCGTGAAGAAGGCGCTGAGACGGTCGAGAAGTAAATCGAGGGCGCTTGGGTCCCGTCGGAACAGAGGGGTAAAGATCTCGGCAAGACGATCGAGGATCGACTCGACGACTTGGGTGCGGGCCTCGGGGTCCTTCTCCATGGCGATGCACGAGAGGGAGCGCCAGCGGGCTTCGTTGTCCATACTGTCGCCGGAAAGGTTGTTAGAGATCATCTCGAGATACTCTGTGGTCTTCTTGGAGTCTAGGGATCCCGGTGGCATCGGTACCAGACGGAAGATGCCCTCGGTCAACTGGGTGGCGATGATGTTCTCGGCGAAGGACATCAGGATGGCCCGAGACCAAGAGGTGTTGGAGAGCATCAGTGGGAAGTCGCCAGTAGCCTCTTTGCGAGACACGAAGCCGGAGTCCACCAGCTCGCGCTTGAGACCATCATGGAACTCCTGGAAGAATGGTTAGTCTTGCCTTGGAAGTAAGGTGAAGTGGGGAGATATACATCTGTGGGATTGAAAGGAATTTCAATATTGTAGAAAACGTCTTTGCACAACGCATGGAACTTGGATTCCAGCACGACCGCCTGCTTCTCACTTGACGGTGTTAGCTTGTGTGTAAATCATGCCAGCAGTATGAAGTGAACTCACAAGTCGGACTCTGTAAGCTCCTTAACACCGATGTCTTGCGTTATCTTAGCGATTTCCGCCTCGCTCTTCTTCCGGTAGAGAATCTCCGCCTCAAGTAAAGTCTTTGCCTCGCTGAGCTTAGCCGACAGCTGGTCGAGGCTGATCTTGCACTGCTCGACGTCCTTGAGTGCCTCATCCCTCTCCTTCCTCATGGCCAACAATGCCTGATCGCTCTCCTTCTTGAGCATCTCAAACTTCGTCCCTGCATCCTTCTGTTCACGCATCCTGGAGTCCTCAAGGTCCTTCTTGAGCTTGGTCAGCTCGACCTTATGTGCGGCCATCATCTGGGCCATCTCCTTCTCCTTCTCCTGGAGCTTCCCTGCCGAGTTGTGTTCCATGGAGAGATCATTCCGCATGGTATCGATCCACATCTTTCCGGTCTTGTTTAGCAGCGCATCCTTAGAGTCGATGACAGCCTGCAGCTCTTTCTCCCGCTTGTCAAAGTCCGTCTCCTTCTCCGCCATCCGCCTCGATAGCTCTTCATGTTCCAGGCAAACTTTCCCGAGCGACTCGATCTCGGGGAGGATATCCGGCGCCTCGTTAAGCGTTGTCATGAGGGAGCTAAGGAACTCCGACACCCGCTCACTCGACATCGATGTGTTCCCGTTCCCATTGACCTTGCCGTTGACGCCATTGACTCCGTTCGTAAGCTTGCCCTTCGGCACGGCAGCTCCATTTGTCATTTTCTTGGTCGACATACTGCGGTTGCAGTCGCACGACGTGGTGATGTGTAGCTTAAGACGGAAAGGATCCATGTTAGCTAGGTCCGTCAGAAGTGAGACGTGACTTGTCACACCGTGGATGGGAGGAGAGGTTAGGTACCGGTCTACACACAGGGAGATCCTTTGCTTTCTTCGGTGATGATGATGCTATGGGGAGGAGCTCTGGTATGGTAGGGGAGAAGTTGGGAACACTGGCAGTGGTAAAGGCTGCAACTGATGGCATCCAGAGCAGAAGAAGGAAGTCTATTGGGGACACTGGCAGACGTGTATGGATTTATGTCCTCCAGCTCCAGTTCCTTCGTCAGGCCAGGAAGAGAGGCGGTTCTAATACCAAAAGCAAGTATACCAAAAAAAAAACCTCCCGGAATACACTTCGCAGCCCACTTTTCTTCTTCACGCCTGCTTCGGCAGCCCACGCATTCCTGATATCGACGAATGAGAATCGTACGGCGCCGCCGCCTACCGTCCGTGCCGTTCAGTCCAGTCCCCAGTCTATAGCAGTTGAAAATCCAATCGTACAGGACACTCGCATCCATGCAGATAGGTCGGGCAAACCAGCCAACCGCCACGCCACGTCAGAAGAAACAATTCTGCGTCGATAGAATGAAGCAAGCGCCTGTCGGCTGCCGCGCAGCCTACACGCGACGATATCTCCAGCCAACGGGGACCGACAGCCGCCCACCAAATCTTGCAGGATGCCCTATCACATCGCACCGTTTTATCCACCGGCCATCCGAATTCATCTGATATTTGTGGGGAGAGCTCTGGACGTGGCCCAATTCTGCCGAGTGCAGATGCCCGGCTCCAGAGATGTTGGATGATACGTCCGTGATATTACCTGCACTCCACATTCTGTCCGTGTAGGAGGTTGATGGTAATGTAATCAGTAAGCTGTTTGAATAACTGCGCTATTGTGCGAGGTGACAGCCGTTTACCAGTGGCAATCGTATAGTACTATACATGCTTGGATTTGAAACACACGGGAGGGGCCCTATCCAGAGCTATGGGCATTGGGAAGCTTGCTCGAGGGCTGAAGTGCAAGTTCGTGCCCGCCAGTCGGACGACGACAATTGGTAGCTGCTGCCGAACGGCGAAGAAGAAGAAGATGCTCAGCTCTGCTCCCCTTGGTGCAGAGATGCTCATGCGCTGAACCACGAAGTGCCATTAGCCCAGGAACCGAAGCACGATTCCATCAAACTGCACTCCTCCCGGACCCATTCCCTCACGATGTCCCCCGCCAGAAGTTAGCTGTCTCTAGCTCTTCACCGACGTGCCATGGATCTAGATGTTGTGATGCAGGCCGGTGCGGGGTTTCTTGGGACGTGCATGGACGAGCTATCAACGACAGCAGTAGGTTTGCGATATTAAACCCAACCCTGTCGCTGATCGATTTAGGCTTTCGCGGGTGTCTATTGGCAGATGGCAATGTTTAGTATGGGGGTGTATATGGGGGGCGCAAACACTTTTCCTCTTTGCTTCTTTGCCTCTCTTCATTCCTTCCTTCCCCACGCGCCCCAGCGACAACCCACGGCGGCGACGGTGATGCCTAACGCCTTGGCTAGTTGCTTCAGGGCTGATCTGGCCAGTAAAGGGCAAACTGCACACGGTGGCCTGACTCCCCATCGAGGCCATTGATCTGGAGTCTACACTGTACAGTGTAAGTGTACTCTACTCACCGCCGGCGTAACTGAATGATTCCTTACGAGACGCGAACCAGCAGTCCGTCGACGCGAGCGAAAAGCCAGCTTCAAGTCCGCGTCGCAATGTTCAGCAGATGTCCGGAACAGAATCCAAGAGCCTGGCAAACCGCAGGATGTAGTATGCACCCCGCTCTGCATCATGACGACGCTGCACGTGTTTCCAGCTTGCTGTGGACCGGATATTATGGATGCCAGAGTCAGGGTTATGCGGGCTGCCATTGTGAGTGCGTGAAGATTCAGAACCCGTCTGCAGTTTGCAGATTGCAGATTTTGCTTCACTTCATCGCGGAGTGCGGATGTACGGTATACATACATGCTCGTGTACGGAGAGCATCCAAGTGCCTATGACGATGATCAGCCAGTCTGTCCGTCATTGGTACCGTATAGTCGTGAGGAATGGGGGGATGTGAATGGCCACCTATCATACTTCCTCGCTGAACAGAAATCGCCACGATAATTTGTTCGTTTGAAGGCCCGCCTAGTCCATCGACGGTATGTGCGGTAAAGGCGCATGCGGGGTCCAATTGACTGCATGATGCATGCAGGAAGAGTATCATGCAATTGGCCCCGTTGTCGAATCCGACGGGCCGATACTCTGAGTCAAGGCTGGACATGAAGAGAAAAAAAAAGATGGCGTTAACCACCCTTTTCCTTCCCGTCCCTGACGATGGATAACACGCCGTGGAATCGGATGTCTTCCCCTAACTCCAATGCCTACCATGGCATGTGGAATAGATGATATACTACGGCGGGCACCAGTTAGCTCCTCGCATCGCCAGGATGCCTGGTTTGGCCTGACCAGGTCAAGAATGAGAGAAGGAATAGGAACGCAAGCCGGAAAACTTGCCACTCGCCGGCCAGCTGCAGAACCTCGCCGGCCAGGCCCAATCGACCGGTGAGTGCGGGGGTGGGGCATTGTCGCGTGAGAAAAAATCCCGACGACTCGATCAGAGCGATCATTCGCTCCGGCCGATGCTTCTATTCGTTAGAAAGTCCTGAGAACCGCAGGGTCTTGCAGAGGTCCCGTGGGTGTAAGCGTGGGACAGACAACCATTACGATCAAGTGTTACTTACATGGAATCACTCGGCATCAGCAGTCCGCAACATGAATTCCCCATGCAACGCCCAGCGAAGGCGTGCAGCGTGGAGCAACCATATGCAAAGCTGCTACGCCGTGGGGTACATATGATTGTCTTTCCTTCTCGTTTCATTTCGTTCTTCTACTCGCCGCCATCCTGATATCTTTCCCGACAACACTCATCGGCCTCCTGAGACTGGATGCATGGTTCCGAAGATATCAGGGCTCGTATCTGCCTTAGTAAGTAAACCCAAGCGGTCCAGTAGCCGTTCGATGCCCATTTGCGAAGCAGATCATCCCGCTGACGTACCGATAGACATCAGGCTGCCGAAGCCGAGCTATTGTCCCGAGAGCGTATGGCCCAAGGTCTCTGTTACCGACCCGGCAACCTGGGCCGGTTTTCTTGTCAACACCGTTGCAACTTGCTGGGAATACGGAATTCGCAATAACAACCGTACCGTTCAAAACCAACTGTTCACGGACACAGTTCAGCGGGATAGCTGGTTGAAGTGACGAGCTGCTCGCAGGTCCGCAATATGTTTCCTGCTTCCGCTGGTTGATTGTGAATCGAGGGTAGTGGGCGAGAAGTGAGAGAAACGGTCACTGCATGGACATAGCTAAATTATCGTGCACATAGGATGGGTGTTTCGGAGATGAACAACATGTGCAATGCGATGGGAAACCTTGGCTCTGTCTGGCTCTCCTGCTCTGTTACCTCTGTCACTGTTGGCTGCTTCAGGTAACTGCGGGCCTGCCGGCTAACCGATAGCCTACATCGCTGGATGTATGAGATCGCCCGAGCAGCATTCACCAAACAATTGAATAACTGAATATGGGCATATGAATGTATGAAAATGCTCAGAAGAGCATCGTAATTCTCAAGCACTGTCTCGATTGCCTCTCTTTTCACTATTGCTCTCAGTTATGGTTCGGGTTGGTGTCTTGTGGGACTTTTTGGTGGCCATTGGGGCAGCCGCAGACTCTCCCAAACAGGAAACACGGCTCGAAACTGCAGGAACCCTTTCACCCCACTATCCCCCTACACACCTTCAGATGGACAGCCACCTTCAAGCTCCCATCGGCTCCTCTCCCGCAGGTCTTCTGGGTCTTCACCGCTCACGACTTTACCACTGCTTCTCACCCCCTCCTTCTCTCTCCCGTGTTCAGAAATCTCTCCGTTTTCGATCTGATAGCTTTGGGCCTCACGAGCTCGTTCAAGAACAACTCGACGATCACGACAAGTCTCTCGGCCATGTCTTCCAGCCCGAGCAACAACGGCGAGAGACTGATGTTCTATGACGCCCCCGGTCTGGTCGGTGGATATGAGACGGACGAAGAGAGTAGCGGAGAAGTCACGCTCATTGATTCTCCTACATACAACTACGACGACATCACCGCCACCGCCACCTCCTCGATGCTCCAGGGCAGTAACATTTCGGTCGATAGATATGAGGCCGACGGATACGAGGCGGATGACGAGAGTAACCGGGGAGTCCGGCCCGTTAATTCTCCTAGATACAACTACGACGGAGCCCTTCCCACCATCACCTCTAGGCCTCGCTCCAGGTACCAGGCTTCGGTTGAGGACATTTCTGAGGAGTTGGCTGCTAGGCTGGGTCGACTCGAGGTTGTGGAGAGTGACTGGGGAGTTATGGCCGTTCAATCTTCTAGAAACAACTACGCCGAAGCTCGAGCCACCACCACCTCTAGGCCTCGCTCCAGGTGCCAAGCTTCAGTTGAGGATATTTCTGAGGAGATGGCCGCCAGGCTGGATCAGCTCGAGGTTGGAGAGTAAGTGTCACTGACCCCGTTGCCCAGACATAGTGAGTAACAGTTATAAACAGCTTTGTCGAAGGTTACTGCCGCTCCTTCAGTCCTGATAGCAACACCCGCACCAATGAAGGAGATTTCATTCCCGCTCCGTCCAACTTTGGCACCGCTTCACTGCTGGGATTTCCGCTCGACATTCCCTCCAATCACCCAGCCATCCTCCAACTGCACGCTTGGCACGCGCACGGCGTCTCCCTTGGACTGACCAATGACCTTCCATGCCGTAGAGGCCACGCACCCAGCGGTGAGAAACGCTATCGCCCGGAGAACGCCCTCATTCTGTCCGAGCTGCGCGTACAGCTTATGGTGGCCATCAGGAGCGGATCGCTCGAGGCCCTCCTGACCCTTCAGAGTGCCTTGGATGCCACTACGGATAGCGGCCTGTTGGTGGGCCATGGTGGAAAGAAGAGGAAGCGTGGAGCTCATCAGTGTTCGAGGAATTGTCGATTACATGCGTACATGGTGAGGCCGACGCCAGCCCCGCCGCGTAGACGCCGCCACTAGGAAGATGGGGTTTCAGATTCTTCTGGTTAGAGATGAGCATGCTAGGAGGATGGGATTTCAGATTCTTCTGGGTGGATATGAGCATGTTAGAGATCACGGATCCAAGTGAATTGATGGGTTTCAAATTTCAATACCTAACCCTCTTGACGAGTGACAAGATTTTATAAATGCAAATCACATGATGTGGCTGTTCTTCGGCTGCATATTATTGCTGAACCACCGAGCTCTTGTTTGTCAATTTGAAATTCCTCAACCCATCTCTTCTAGGTGTCTGGCCCTAGAGTTTGAACAAAATCTTACAGAGAGACAAGGTAAGGCAAGCACGTAAGCCTAGCTACCGACAGTGATACCCCAATTCACGTACGCTAGTTTGAATACTTTGATAACCAATCTACACAACTACCTTAAAACCACGACCCTCCTCCCAGCAAGTTCCTACACACCACCACCGCAATGGTAACCACCATCATCAGTCAAACCATTGTGAACGCACCCACCTCGTGGGCACCCACCAATACCATAGCCGCCTTCAGACGTCTCTCGAGCTGTGTTGAATACTACCGGCCTCCCGTCTACGCTCCAAGGGGCCGCTACAACGACCCATCACTCATCATTCTCTGCACCTGGCTCAATGCCTCCCCGCGCCACATCTCCAAATACACCGACAAATACGTCAACCTTTACCCCGCGAGCCGACTGCTGTTGGTAACCTGTTCCACCCGCGATTACGTCTCCAGCAACCTCTCGCCGCTCCGCTCGGCACTATCCGTCATTACCGCCTTCGTGGATGAGTACAAATGCCTCGCGCACATATTCTCCTTCGGCGGCGCTCACCAACTCAAGAAGCTCGCGATGCTCAACGGCAAGTTCCTACCGATCCGCGGCCTGATCCTCGACTCGTGTCCAGTCCCCTCGGACATCCCCTCCGTTGCCCGCAGCTTCGCATTTGCCGTCCGCGGCCTGCCATGGTACTACCGCCTCCTCGCGTTGACCTGGATCTATATCCGATTTGTGTTTGTGGCTGCGATCATGCTGCACCTGCTGGGAATTCCGAATACGGACGAGGTGTTCGAGGTGGACTACAAGTCGTTGGTGGACTGCTCAGTGACGCCGGCTCGCACGACCTTGACCTACCTCTACGGAACTGATGATGGGGTCGTTTCGGCCGAGGATGTGGAGGCTCATGCGAAGATGGCCAGGCGTGTCGGCAAGGCCGTGAGGATGGAGCGGTTTGAAGGAACCAAGCATGTGAACCATGCCAAGGGTGATGAGGAGAGGTACTGGAAAGCCGTGAAGCGTACTTGGGCGGAGTACATTATGTGGGATTTTCCGTTTTGAACTGGAGAAGCAGGGGTGGGAGTGATGCGGGAGTACCTATCAGCATTCATACCAGATGTCGCCTCTGTGTTTCTTGACATTCTTGGCTGGATATTTTTTTGTAGTTGAATACTTAGGCCCCGCAATGAATCCCATCCTTTCTCATTTGTGCACTCTTTCAAGTTTCAACTCTTTCCTATCTGTGCACTCTTTCAAACTTCAACTCGTTCCTAATAATCTCTCAGGCTACCCGCAATACCGCCTCACGGATCACAGATGTACCGTATCCAGCAACATCGAAGATATAGCTAACCTGGCCGATTTTCCAATGACAGCTGAACGGGCGGCCTCACTGTTGCAATATATCACTCGCTACTTAGCCACGGTGGAAGGCACGGGTTTTAACCTTATTTCCTACACTCTGTCAGCTCTCAGCCTTCTCTCTAAACACATCAACATATCTTTTTACCGCCATATTCATCACCATTTCCTGCACCGACAACAATGGATAAGTTGAGCGAGTCGCCACAGAGTATGTGGTCTTAGCTGCTGGGTTGGGGTTCGGCATGTACGGATCCCAAATCCGCACTATTAAAGCTTCCTTTCAGGGGTTGGGACGACCACGCAGACCCATAGTTAGAGCACATCATAGTAGCCTCGGCATCTATCATGGCAATTGTGGAAGCGACAATGGCCAGGCCATTGAAATGCCGCCCCCATAAGAGTCTGATAAGTTTAACCTTTCCCTCCTGTCCCTTTGCTTCTGCTACATACTTCGATTTAGCACTGCCGAAATGTCCGAAAGCGAAACCCCCCTCACCGGCATCCCCAAGGTCAACCCTCTGGCGGTGATCAAGCTACTCCTCCCGCACCTCCCCAACCTGGTCCTAAAGACGGGCTCGCACCTCCTCTCGTTCTCGCCGCAAGCCCAGTACTGGGACCTCAAGACCACCCTCACCGTTGCATTCATCAAGTCCGCCATCGCACAGCCGTTCGCACCTGGACGCGCTCCGCCCACCGTCGAAAAAGCGCAGGCGGATACCCTCAAGCCGACCAAGGTCGAGGATGACACATGGTGTGCCGAGGTGTCCTACTCGCCCGGCGAGGGCTTCAACGGGGAGGACGTGATACGTGCTGCCATTATCGCGCTTGGGGCAGCGGGGGATGAAGAGGCGATCCTGAAAGTCAGTGCGGAGGGGTTGTCTGGGGAGTGGATATCGTCTCGGTCTACTCCTCGACCTGCCGACGAAGCTGCCAGATCTCCAGAGGAAACGTATGCTGCGTTGGCAGCGGACACGCAAGAGAAGGACAGTGCTATACTCTACCTCCACGGCGGTGCATACTACCTATGCGATCCGCATACGCACCGGCCGTCGGCGGTGAAGCTGAGTCGCCAAGCGAAGACACGAGCGTTCGTGGTGAGGTACAGGCTCTCGCCACAGAGTCCGTTCCCTGGACCTCTTCTCGATGCCCTGATTTCGTATCTGTATCTGCTATATCCCCCGCCCGGAGCGATGCATGCACCGATTGCGGCGGAGAAGATTGTGTTTTCGGGCGATTCGGCGGGCGGTGGGTTATCCCTGGCACTACTGCAGCTATTGATCCACTTTTCACGCACGGGCACGGGGAAGGTCCACTGGTACGGCCAGGACGTTGCGGTCCCGCTCCCCGGCGGCGTAGCACTGATATCGGCATGGTGCGACGTCCCACGCAGCTTCGGCGAGATGTCGGGGTACACTGCAGGTAGCGAGAACTCCTGTGAGGTGTACGACTACCTCCCGCTACCGCAGCAGACCGCGACCATAGTTTACGCCGACAGTCCCGCGTGGAATGCCGAGATCCGGAAGCAGCGCGGAGGAACCCAGTTCTATGCGCCGGATAGGCTCATGACCCACCCGCTTGTGTCGCCGCTGCTGGCGGAGAGCTGGGTTGGTGGAAGGGGGGAAATGGTGCCCGTGTGGATGAGCGTTGGCGATGAGTGTCTGAGGGATCAGAATCTGTATTTGGCGCATCGACTGCACACCGCCGGGATCAAGCTGAGGCTCGAGATCTATACGGCTATGCCGCATGTTTTCCAGGCAATGCTAGGTCATTTGAAGGTTGCCGATATGTCATGGGCGAGCATGGGGAAGTTTGTTAGACATGCTACTGGGGCTCAAGACGCAGGCGACGGGTACTGGAAGAGGGAGAGGATACATCCGAAGACGTTGGATGTCACAGAGGTTCCGGAGAGTGAGCTGAAGGTTGGGGGGTTCGAGTTTGAGCAGGTTAAGGAGATGCTGGCAGCCGCTACGCGGAGATGCAATGAGTTGGCGGATGGAGGAGGCGGCAAGGTAAAGGATGTGCCTGGAGGGGCCAAGGCGGCGGTCACTATGGCGAAGATTTGATGTTGCGAACCTGCAGACTGCGATGCTTTGTACTATTTATTTATGTAGCGTATGTACATGATGATTCAATGATTCTTCTTACAGATATCATACATGACATGCAGGCAGCTATCATACGTGAAATGCAGACATATTTAGGCCTCGGACTGGCCTCCATACGCAAAAGCCAGCGGATCATACGCCTCGCCCTCAAACAAATTTTGCAACTCCCTCCTCCTCACCCCGACATTCCCTCCATCGAAGATTGGCAGACACGCCGCATCCCTCAACAGCCTTGGAAACCTCTGTCTGAGGCTGTAGCTCTCCATGCCCAACACCGCCATCCCCAACTGCACCACCTCCGTTGCCGCCTCACTCGCATAAACCTTCGCCATCCAGCACCCCTCGACATCCTGCCCTTGCGAAGCATCAAACGCACTCGCCGCCTTCCACGTGAGCAACCTCGCCGTCTCCAGCCTCATCTTCATCTCGATCAATCGATCCGCCACGGACTGGTGGTGAATCACCGGATGCGTCCCACCACACGCCTCCCGCTTCGCGAAAGCCAGCGCGTCCTCGAACGCGGCGCGCATGATCCCGCACGCCATTGCGCCGACCATCGCCGCGCTGCCGGTAAAGGCCTTGCTCACCAGCTCCGGACCCTGGCCTACGCTACCGATCAATCTCTCGCGGGGAACCCGAAGATTCATGAACGTCACCGCGGGCCCGGAGACGGCGTTGAAGCCCAGCGTGTCCTCTTGATCCACCGCCGTGAACGCGGACTCCTCGTTTGCGGCGATGTCGCCGCGGGTGATGGCGATGATGGCGATGTTCTGCGGCCCTGTGGCGATGGGCGCATTCACGCGGGGGAGAACGCGGCAGACGAGCGAGATCACGTCCGCGCCGCGGTAGTCCCAGCCGCCGAGATTGGAGGCCCAGAGCTTGCCGCCGTTGATAACGAACTCCTTGCCGTCGGGTGAGACGATGGCGGTCGTCAGGGCAGGGTTGAGGATATAATTCGCCGCTGATCCTCGCTGTTAGCCCACACTGATTCCCTCCCCCCGCGGATGTGTATAATACTCACAGCCCCCCTTCTCCGAGAACCCCAAGCACGCCAATGGCTCCCCACTCTTCGTCAGGAACGGTGCTAACAGCTCCTTCCGCTGCTCCTTGGTCCCGGCCATGATCACGGGCGCCAACCCCAGACTCGCGCTCAGGATCGCGATGGGCACGGAGGAATCATGGACGAAGAACTCCTCGACCAGGATTGCCGCGTCAAGCAGTGGCGAGTCGCCAGCGGTGCCGCCCAGGGCACTAGGGATCTGCGCGGACACCAGCCCGGCGGCGACAGCGGTGCTAACGACGGGGCGGATACTGTTGAATGCCGCCTGCGTGGTGGTGATGTGCGGCGCCGTGTACACGGCGTGTGCAGTGCGCAAGTGGACGTCCGCAAAGCTGCGGGCGAACTGCTGGAGCTGCTGCTGCTCGGGCGTGAGGGTGAAGGTGATTGTCATGTTGAATAGGTAGCTGTGATCGAGGAATACATTCGGTCATTGGCAGGTGGGGAGATATATACTCCGTATTACTCTGTGCATCCCCCGGACCTCCGCGGAGGAATCGGGGATATTCATTCCAAATCCCGTCCCAGGTACCATATCTGCCGGTATGTACTTGTACAACTCGTACAACCCCAACAGCCTACAACGCGCCCACGCCTTGCAGCGGCGGGGATACTCCCATGGGAGCGGGCCGGGATAATACAGTAATACGTACGGCCACAGTGCTGGCACCGTGACGGCATGGCGCATATTATGGTAAGCATCTTACATCGCTAATGGATCCTACGGGGGTGGGGAATACGAGCGATCGGATTGCTATGTGGAATGGTATTTGGAATGGGCAGTGCGGGGACGGCAAAGCAGATGCCGAAAGTCGGGGGTTTGCCGGCGAGTGATATCGATAGGTAGGTACATAGCAGCGGAGTCGATAGTTGCATCGTATGATACGGATATCTCCGCTCTCCAAAACACGGGGAACTGTTGAAAAGTATGAATAAATATTGTATTAAGAGAGTCTGAAAGTCTCGAGAGAAGACATAAAAGAGGGATAGTATGTGGCCAGCGCTTCCCGCCGTCGTCATGACCGAGTAACCGACTACGCAATGAACGACTAAGGAACGACTAAGGAACGGACGCCTAAGGAGCGAATGACTCGATATTACAACAGGAACCAGGAACTTAAAATCCAGTGATCCGATGGATCATGAATTTGAGTCTATCTTGCCGTGTGGTTAATACGAGATGTAAGCCACACCCCGCACGCGGCACCCTGCACCCTGCACCCCGCGTACAATGGCTCCCGGAAGAGTGACGGACCCAAGGGCTGACACAATAGGCGCGGTAGGCCGTATCCATGAGAGACGGGCTGCCGCTGTCGCCCTGAGGTAACCATCATTGATGGATATGTTGTACATGGTACATACCGTGTCATAAACGTTCCACAGACACCACGGCATATACTTCATGAATAGGACCAAAGAGGAAGCCCGAAACGAGCGATGCCGACTCCATTAGCCCTTAGGGAAATGGAGCATCGTGCGGCCTCGAGAGTCGACAGAAGGTCAATTCGCCTATCCACTATATATACAGCGTTCCCCCCAACTACTTTGATCCTCCCATCCACCGTAACCCGCACGCCTATTCCGGGAACTTTCGACCGGTAATCCAAGTTATCCAACTGCCATGATCTACTTACTTAGGTAGGTACATACCGAGGCCGAATTCAACGATCATCAAACAAACCCGAAAAGAGGAACGTTCAACCCGTCGCACTCCAACTCTGGACACACAGAGACGGCATACCGGTAACGTGGGTACATATCATAGAGTATAAGTGAGGAATCCGTGTTGAGAATATGAGTGTGATGTTCCAGACTTCCAGTTGCTTGATTAATCATTAATCCGCAAAACACAGCGGATGACAAGCTAGACATACCTACCCACCGGATAGAACCAGAAGCAAGCAAGTATGAGAATAAACAGGATTCCTCGAGGCGTGCAAATATTACCAATATAACAAATGCGCAATATCTGCAATATGCTGGAAAAGTGACGACAGTGGCTTCTATTTCAACGAGAATCATAACAATCCGAGTGCACGTGGCATGAAATCCGAGTTGACGGTCGTGACTCGTGAGCGGGGTATGTACCGGTATGTATGAGATAGCGAAGCGCTATCGAGAACCGACACTATGTACCGTAGTTACTAGTACTAGTATTTACATGCAGTAGAGTGGCGGTAGTTCCTCCTTTATGCAGGGCTGGTGTGCAGAAAAGCGAAACGAAACATCCACACGACTAGTACTAGTACTACAGCTTCGTTTTCGGCCGCTGTTCAGCAGGCGGATGAGCAGTCGTTCATCTTGCCGCTGTGCTACTACTGACTACATTAGCTGGCGCGTCCGTCACCTAACGCTGCTATTGTATACACATGCGCCGGCCGTCGCCAGGGCGCCAGTAACCGCAGGTTCAGTCGAGGACTCGAGGACTCGAGGAATGATACATGGCTTCAGGATGTACTCATACTACCTACCTTGTAGTAAATAACATCAAGATGCCTACATAGCGATGTACCGGCAGTGTACTAGTACCCGACTTACTCACCGTCGGTCTGGCTAAAAGAAAAGTCCCCTGCCATTCGGATGGTTTGTCTATCTACATACCATTACTAGCTGTTAGTAGTAGGCACACTAGACAATCAGTCAGACTGTCAGAGGCTCGAAGGCTCGGAGCGCCCAAAAAAAGACTCGGAGAACCGTAATGGAAACAGGCTGGTGCTGATTCCACGAGTAATTTTGGATCTGGAGATCATTGATGATTTGTTATTGATGCGTACTTACTACCAGAAAACTTCAAAAGCATTCGCATGGCAAGACCTGTTCGAGAGGACGAGTTCCAGGTGTCGTATCCGATTAGTTACTTGATGAATGAGTTAATAGTATGTGCATATGTAGTTGCGGCTCTACTAGTATCTAGAGTAGACACTTCTACGGCACTCTATGCACCAGGCAGCAGCTGAGCCAAATGCCTACAGGCTACAGCGTCGTCTGATTACCCCCAAACAGCCCACCGCGGTTCACATTGGCTGCAGGGGCACAAAAAAAGCGAGCCGTCCCCCGCCCCCTCACCGACAAGGCATCCTCTCCCTGTCACATGTGGTTAGAGCAGTCTGGCTGGGTATGAGGTAGGCGGTTCAAGGTTGACTTCGCGGGGCTGGTATATATATCGAGCATTCTTTCCATCTCGACTCTCGAGCTGCATTCGATATAGATACGTACCAGATACCTAGTTCCTTTTCCCACCCGTCACGACTCACGGCCCACGAACCAACTCTCCACGGCCGGAACAGACAACGGACAACGGACAACAGGCCACAGACAACAGACAAGCAAACACACACACACCCCACACACCCCGCCCCGCCCACGATGCCAGCGATAACGCTCCCCGCGCTCCTCCCGATCTCTTTATTCACGCTGATCGCCTGGCGACTCGTGAACCCCCTCCCGAGCGGGTCCTCATCCACATCCACATCGGACTACTCACGGTCACGGAGTAAGCGACGGAGCGGGGCGGGCGGGGCGGTTGGATTTGCGGGCGCGCCGGCAGTAGCAGACCGGCTGCGCGGAATCGCGCCGCGGCAGACCCGGCCTGCGCCTACGCCCGCTTATGCGGCCGCGGCGGCGGAGGGTGCCGTGGCTAGGGCGATTGCCATGGCGAAGATGGGCGCGAAGGCGGATGGGAAACATACGGTTAAGGGAGGCAGTGTGAATGGGCGGGGCAGGAGGAGGGGCGGGCTGGCGCAGGAGAGGAGGAGGAAACGTTGAGCGGGGTGCGGTGAGGTGCGGGGAAGGTACGCATGGGACATGTATTTTATTTTTTGGCTTTCATGGGTTACGGTGTATGGGGTTCTGTGTACGATTTGCACGCTGTTTGGCGATGAGTTCTGTTCTGCGCTTTGGTTGGCCTTCTGCCGTGCTGTGGACACTGGAGAGTCGGTTCGGCGCCGACGCGGGAGAAGAGCGGCCTGCTGGCGGATTGTCCTCTGTATGTATCTTTATGAACGTCGGTGTTGTATGTAAGTAAATGCATACATACATCAGGATTCCTAAACGGAGAGCGATCAATCATTTGCCGAGAGACTTGTGCAGAGTACGATATCCAGCTGGCCTCGAAGACTCATATTCTGCGACAATACCTATGGAATGTACATACTCACGTATCGTTTTCAACATGAAGAGGCATGTCTGCTAGCATCTAATCGTCCGCTACTATAGTACCTACGTTCCATGGCCTGGAAGAATTCACGAGTCACGGGCCTCTACCAGTAGAGTCGGTACACTAAGCTACGGCTATGTAGAACTCGAGTCGAGCTCTCCATCCGTAGCCCCGATGTTTTTAGCATGCTTGGGGTACCGCTATCCAGCCACGAACAACCCTTGCTTTGAGTCCTTCCGTACTTACATATTACCGCAGTACCAGCACCGCCAAGGCCGCAGTCAAGACGCCACACCCGAGTCCCCAGTTCCCTCGGCACCTAGTCTAGTCTACGCTGGCGCCAGCGCTTCCGTGCAAATTGCAATCGCCCCGTAGGCTGGATCACTAGCGATCGGCAGACCAATATTAGACGCTATTAGACGCTGGATGTGCCAGAAATAGAGTCCTTACGTGTAGGTACGGCGCCCGTGCGCTCCGTCTTCCATAAACAGATGGATCTGACACCGACGGTGATCTATGTGTGAAATCAAGGTAGGTACCTATGAAACCTGGCTGCTCGACCGCATGGCAGCAGGCCTGCGGCGTAAGGGGTTCATCGGGTATCACTTGACACTCGCGCGCCGCAGTGGAAATGATGATGTGTGTGGATGGGCGTGCTATCGCTACTATCCAGTTATCTTCGGGAACTTGGAAGGGCCGGGTGGAGGGCGAGGAAAGCTATGTTGGGCCCAGTGATGGATGTTGGAACTTGAGGTAGACTGTATCGAGTGACTGCCTCACGACAAACCTACTTTGGGAAGCGGGAGCAGAGGCAGCTTGGCGTCGTCGGAGAGCGGCGGAAAAAGACAACGTTGTAGAAACGTGGGTTGGACCAAGCGTTATGTAGGGAAAACCCGATGCGGTCGTTGAACGTTGAACGTTGAAATGTTTCTGTTGCTGCTTGCTGCGTTTCTGTTATGGTTGTCGCCTCTGTTGTTCAATACCACAGCTATCCCCAAAAGTTCATAGACGGTAAAGACCTCTTTTCTTTTCTCTTCAATTGAATCACGTTCTATGTCCCTCGTACCCGGTCGTGGGTCTCTCACTATCTCCCTACTGCCAATCGCAGTTTCAACACAATCGTCTTCCGATTCCCGTCGTCGACGACCATCAACAGGCTCGTTACCCGTGGCTCGTGTCTCAATGCCGAGAAGAAGGCTGGGGAGGGGGCGGGACATTGGCACGCGCAGAAACGAACGAGGCTATCAGAAGTTCGGAACTCTACTACCGGTGGTACCGCGCTCACGACTTGAGGCGAGTTCTGCAGCCTGCTCAGCTCAAGCCTTATCGTTGGAGGGGTTCTGCTACTATCTACCGTATAGAGTGGGTATTCGTATGCTCGCGCCTTGTGCGAATACGTAGACGAATAGGTGTGTAACAGCTTGGTTAGCTCAACGCTGATACCAGCTCCAGCAGCTACATATTCTCCTCGGCCGGCGCCCTGCTATCGACACCGCCACCACCCACCCTTCACTCGGCCAGTCGACCAGTCGATGGGTAAGCCACCCACCCACCCAGTGCACATCTTTCCCTCGCTCCTCGGGTTCATACATACGATCGCAGACTCGCAGACTCGCAGCGAAATCCCGCCCGCCCAGCGCCCCTCCTCGCCCGCCACGATTGCGATGCGCGCTGGTGACACGACCCGGGACAGCAAATGATTGCTGCTGGCTCCTACCGATTTCGCAGGAACCAACGGTCCAACCCAATCCCTCCCAGGCTCTGCGCAGAAAAACAGCCCGACCCGAAACAGGGCGGGGCAGAGCAGATTTTCAAGCTTCGCTGGCAATCAGGCTGACGATATTAAACCTCACCGTCGGAAAAGTTTCGTTCTCGGGTGGGGGGGACGACCTGGAGCTCGAGCTAGATGGCTGACCCCAATGCGACGAGGGACGGAGATCCCACAGCCTACAGCCTGCGCCAGCGGTCATCCATCCATCTTGCATGCACGAACTAATGTAGAGTGCAGTAGCGAATGAAATCGCAGCTCGCAGCTCACGAAGCAGCAGCCACCCGTGGAGAAGAGCTGCTGCTGCCACTTTGTCGACGACTCGACGTCCGCATGCCCATCCCATTGGTAAGTGCGCAGACGGATGCGCGCATTGGTACTCTGGGCAGTGGGTAGTGGTGGTTTGAGGCGGACGAGAATGTGAATGAGGGGCATCGATTCGCGGGGGAGGGGGGAGGGGGGAGGGGGGAGGGGGGATTCACGACAGCTGCGATGATGCGTGTTTTTTCCTTCTTCTTTTCTTTTCGGCTTTTTCTTTTTTCTTTTTCGCTTCGGACTATCTGGACTCTGGAGGCTTGCAACGATGTCTGGAAGTCTACGATACCTCAGGTATCCTACCTACTCTACATCTAGGTCGACCGTCTGGGCTCGCAGCACCCAGACGATTCGGACGTTCTGGACCAGTTGGCTGGTCCGCGAGAACGCCGGCAAAGTACAGTGACGTACCGATGGTACTTTTGGCGGATCGATACGTACGTACCAATACCTTTTTGCTGAAGCTCTATCGCTCGCCTTTCACCGACGGAAGAAGAAACGCCGTCGTTTCGAATGCGGTGGATCCAGCCAGAGCCTTGTGATGATGGCTGGCCGCTAGAGCCTGGAGCGCACTCGTCCAATTGATCTTCAAAACACACACTCAGAACGCGAGCGCCATGGGGGCAGTTGCTCAGTACTCGGAGATCTAGTACTTGTGCAGGGAAGGTATGTATGTAGCAATGACAGGCCGTTAGTTATCAAGGGTCTAATAAACTACGAGGCAGGACGAACCGCGTGGGTGGAATCGCTGTTTGCCAGGTACCGGTACTGGTAGCTACATAGAGCACCTACTTTCTTAGGGACTCCTGTAAACGCCGAGTTGCACGGCCGACATGCGGCTTGGTGCTTGGTGCTTTGCTGCCTGCTGCTGGGGCTGGATGGATAGCTGGATGGCTGGACGGCTGCATGCGATCATGGGGCGAAGTCGAAGTTCTCCCACAACAGCGCTCCCATTGGCCGGCGCCCACTGCTTGGCGAGTTATCGGTGTTGGAGTCTGGAGATACCGTGTGTGGGTGGGTGTGGGTGGGTGTGGGTGTGCACGCGCTGGAACGAAACTGCGGCAGCAAGCGCTGGTACCTATTCGCACGCTCGAAGACAGGCCTACCTCCTATGCGTCCTCCTCCTCCTCCTCCGTGATATTATGGTACCTATGCGATGCGATGGCTGGTTATAAAGCGGGTTTCCCCTTCGTTCCCCCCGGATAAGGAGAGAATCGCATTCGAAACCCCCTCCACATAAATAATCATCGTGTATCACCATTACGAGACACTCGCAAAAAGAAGAAGAACAAGAAGGCTTCCTATCCAGCAAGAAATAATTCGCCGCCTCCTTCGATAGCTAGTACAACAACTCGCGGCCCAGTCAGCCTACCCAATCCGTCTATCACCAGCCATGTGCTTCAAATTCCCCGCCTTCTTCGGCGTCGAGATCCAAGAGATCGAGCGAACACCATACGGGAAGCAAGTAGTCAAGACGACCACATACGGGTACACGGGGCCGAAAGAACAGGCGCACACGAAGCGCAAGCCCACACGGCGGGACTCGTACCACAGCCGTTCGAGCAGCAACAGCGACAGCATCTACACCGGCGTGCCCGCGGCGCTGATCCTTCCTCCATCGCACCTGCCGCCTCCCCGCTACGAGTACAACGCGAGTGTAGCCGGCAGCGACGCCGCGGGATACGTCGAGATCGTCGATGCCGTGCCGTCGCAGGTCCACCGGTACGCGCTGCCGCCGTCCGCTGCCCCCAGCCCCCCGTTTAGAAGGCAGACGGTGTCCCAGCGCCCGCTGAGCGGGAGGTTCGAGCAGCCGGTTGAGTATAGTGGTCGCACCCATAGGGTTTCCCTGCCGCCCGGTGTGACCGTCGAGAGACGTAATACGATCGCAGCTACACCGTCCGCGAGAAGGCCCGAGAGCGGCGTCAGGTACATAAGCACTAGGAATTCGAGGAATTCAAGGAGTAGTAATGCGTCCGATACCGACTCGTCGCTGTCGTCGTCGGATGCGTCTGAGGCGTCGGAGATGGGCGCGGGGAGGAGACGGCGGTGATGACTACGTTTTCTTTCGTTCACTTGTTTATTGTGGCGGGATGGATGGACTTTTTCCTCCTTTGTTTCTTTCTTTTTTCTTTTGTTCTTCCTTCTTCCATTGTTTCATCATCGCGGGTGTTTTGCGGCTTCATTTGTGGGAATCTCTCGAGTCTTTTCAAGTTTCTGGTCTGGTCTGGCATATGTTTTTGGAATGTCATGATATTGCGCACGAGCGGGTTTGGGGGGTTATGTTTCTAGTACATGTTTGATGGTTATGGGGGATGATCAAGTGATCTACATTGTAATATATACTCCGGTCTCTACGGTACTGAGCGTCAACTACGTACTTAAGTAGTTACCGAATTGAATTAAATTAAATACGGGGGTGGTTTACATTTTCCAATCCATCACCGAGTCAAGCCCATCAGTGCGAAGCGGGTGAGAGGGGAAACAATCTGCCACTTCAGCGTCTATGTACTCTACAATGTACGCTCCTGAGTGCAACGTTCCACCGGCTCGCCGACAACTAACCAACCAACCAACCAACCAGCTATCTCGCGCACTGCAGTCTGCAGCTTCACGGAGGGCCGCCTCATATCCGTCCCATATCATCCGACGACGCGGGTAGCGGCGGTGATGGGTGGTGGTGGTGGGGCTGCCATCCTCAGTACAGTGCACTCTGGAGTCTGCAACATGAAGTTGGCAGATGGCAGATCATAACGGTATTCGCGGGGTGCAGTGCAGGTGATGGACGTTGTAGGATGCATGTGGTTGTGAACATTGATTGATGGATTGATTGACTGCAGACATCGTCGGCGCCGGCGCCGGTTTTTGTCTCCCGATTAACTATAGATTATAGTGCTGCTGCCAGAGTGCGTGGATGAGGATCTACACAATGGCGAGCTGCCCAAGCTCGCAGCGAGGCCTCTGGTACCCCCATTGCGGCTGGGGTGAGGGCTTCGCACTCAATTTTACTTACCTGTTCGACTGCCTCCGACCTCGATACCGTAGGATTACGCACCAGTATTGATGTTTCCACCCGATGGCTGTCCAGCTCGTGTTCCCAATTCTGCCAGCGTACATCTATGCGATTAAAGAAACTATAATACAAACGGAATCCGCACTCGCAATCAGCCATATATCCGAGCACTTATTTCAGCTTCTCTGTCTTCCTTCCAACCTCCGCCCTCGGGACAGTCCTTGAAGATGTACCCACGGGCCACGAGTTTGTTCAACGCGGGCTCGTTGGTAACGGTATATATTGGCCAGTGTCGCCACGCGCTCATCCATTCCGGATCCCGCGTGGATGCCGCCTCCAACTCCAGCAGACTGGTGGAAACCACTTCGCACTCCTTGGCGCACGAGTGATGCAGCGTGCGCCGACTCGATCCGCCGGATCATGCACTGATGGGAGGATTGCTGTGGAACAAGCGCAAGCTCTCGCAAGCCCCAACTAACGGTGCTACCCTCCAGCCTGTTTGCCAGCGCTGAACGCTTGAACCCCCACCCCACCCTATTGTCCATGCACCGGAGCCTTACGGGCTCACTACAGTCTACCACCACTTCTTGCTGTATGCGAAGCCCCCGCGGATGAGCCATTTTCTACTGTCACCGCCGGCACCGTGGCGGGACACGGCGAGACATGGCGGGTCGCGGCGGGATGCAGAACGGGTCTTCGTAGAGCCATGCGGACCCAGCGAGGGCTCACACTACGACTACAACTATCCGTCGGCGAGTGGCATGGCATGGCATGCTTGCCATGCACTGTGCATGGCCGACGGAAGGGAGGAAGGGAGGAAGGGAGGGATGGAAGGGGGAATGTACTGGTTGGTACTGGTATCAACAGTTGGGCCCGGAAGGTGGGGTGAGTTGCGGTTGCCGGAGCACATTCGCGGAGGCTACCTGTCGTGATACGAGTCCTCGTGCGAGGGGGGGACAAACGAAACGCCTCCAGAGTAGAGTAGGTGCATACCTCTTAGTTAGTCCCAGCTGGGAGCAGGCTTTGCGCAATCCTGCTTCTGCCCGTGTATGTACATAGGAGCGTTTTGTGGATTCAGGAATCAGGAGTCAAGCGCAGTGCCAGTCTGCCGGGTGACGATCATACCACGAATACTCCAGCTCCTCTTCCACCAGATACCAGATAAGTGTCTATCCACCATAGCCTACTGGCCCAGCTGCTGATGCGGTGAGGGATACTGAAGGAAGGAAGGAAGGTTGTTGCTCCCCGTCCGGGCGGGTGTGGTCATACTCTGCTCCGCACTGACTACTCATGTTCAGACGACGGCGTGCATCACTACCCATAAACTGAGAAACCAATGAATCAAGACGAGACGAGCAACGGTTCTTCTCTCGCCAACTCTCTCGTTTCTGCCCATCTTGGTTGGCTGGTCGCAGGATGGCAGCCATGGAGCGAACCAACAGGACTCTCGGACCAGCTGGATACACATGTATTGTCGAGAAAGCGTATTGTATTCCCATGTATTCTAAAGCTAGTCAATGCCATCATCGACGGTTCAAAGTTGTGGTTGAATACCTATCTAGAACGGTGTGAAATGCGATGAAGCAGTTACAAGAGATGAGCATTCTTGAGGTAGCTTCGCACATCATCCGCACAGAGTACTAGTAGGGGGAGGCCACCGCGCAAGTGTCAAAGATAGTGCTACGGTAGGAAGCTGTTGCGTGGGTTCTCTTTTCTTTTTTTGGAGATTGTTAGTTTTGTGTTGGTTGCCAAAGGCGGCCGAGGAGTCGTCGTGGGGCTCACAGCTACCATCGTGACCAGCTTCTGAGGACGTACTTGAGTCCTTGCTCGCTCGAGTCAGTTGGACTGTAGACCGAGTTGTCGAAATTCGTGGTGCAGTGAGCTCGGAAAGAGGTGGGTCCTAAACCAGTTGGTGCTCGTCGAGGCGAGTGATAAATGTGATTAATACTAGATACCTACGCCAGGCCCTCCTCCTCCCGTTGGCAACGGGAGGAATAATGTATCGCCGTACCTAAGTAAGTATGTACAACCCACAACCCACAGCTGGACACTGGGGCCTCAGGACACCCAGGCATCCAGATAGCAGACGACAAGCAGCATGGACGGGATGTCAGCAGCGGCATTAATCCCCGGCCTCCTCCAAACCAGCGTCAAAGTTGTCGGCTTCCTATCATGCCCGCAACATCCACGACAAAGCCTAATCCCTTGTCATTATCTTCCGCCAATAACCAGTTCGAGAACCTTCTACTGTCTCCGCCGGAACGAGAATTAGCGAGAAGCGAAGGCCGGACATCAATGCTACATCAACCAGATTTTGGCAACGCTTACCGGCTGCGTGTGTGCTTTCTCGGAGCTCAAGCGGGAGCTGCAGCCTGCAGGACCTTATGGGTGGGGATTGGAGAGGAAGTGGCGGTGGGCTTGTTCACGTTGTGGAACTGTGCGAAGTGGGCATAGAAAGAGGGGAATGTTCTGCAGATCGTGGGCGGTCTTCGGGGAAGCATAAATCCTCACTCACACTGAATCACTGATGCTGACGATATAAAATCGGTTTGTGTTATATACCTACCTTCCTGGATACCTATTCGGTCCGTGCACTAGTTTTGCGCTGCTGTTTATCCTGACATACCTACCTATTCATGTAGCAAATCGAGTCAGCAGATGGTGCGTCATGTGGAGAAGTTGGCTCGAAACGCTGTGAAGATGGTGGAAGCGGATCCTAATCTTGCTGAAGCCTGAGAGGATATCGAGGATAGGTCCGAACGTGCGGGATGGCGACGAAGACTCCAACGACGACGGCGCCTCTACCTACTATTCAAGCTTCGAGTATCACTACGCTACTTCGTCATTTACCAAGTCTTCGTCCAGCTCCGTTTACAGCAGCCACTCTGCAGAAGCTCAACTTCCAGCAGCTCCTCCCGCTGATATTTCATGGGTTCACAGAATATCTCCACTAGATCACGAGCTTCCCTTAATTCACAGCATTCTTCGAGTTGTTGTTTGGAAGGAAAACTAAGCCGGACGAGAGCATACCTCCGGGTATCCAGAAACCACTCCACAAGCTCCTTCAAGTCCTTCAATACCGGGTCGATCGCGCCGTCAAGATGGTCTCAAGTCACCGGTACAAGCCTGTAGGGATTCTCACAGGTCTCAGTCAAAGGCCTGGAGCTTCCAATCACCGCGGCGAAGTTGTTCAACAGTGCGCCATACACGCAGGAATTTACCACCATACCGCCCATGGTTAGTTCTCTAGCAGAAATATCCGGACGAGGTTTCAACCTTTACATAGCCTTCCAGACTGCTCCCCTCTGGCTAGCCAAATAAAACTTCCTCCGGACAATCGCAGTAACAGCTCCCAAGCTCATTGAGGGCTCAAGTCCGCTCGGCTTTAGAGACTTAACCATAAGGAGCCCGTGTGCTTGATATAGATGCCCGTTCTTCTATCATCTTTCTAGTCACGATACTACTCTTACGATATCTACGGATGGGTAACTTTTTGTATGAATGGATGAGATGCTGTATCTTAGTATGGCGTCAGTCTGCTGTGTAAGCTTTAGCACTCAACAATTCAATTAAATCAATCATGTACTATAGATACAGAGCTACATCTCTCCAGAGACGACCCAGACTTTGAGTGTTGCATTGTCCTGGTCTGACCCACGTAACATCACTCGGCCCGAGACGTAATGGCGTAGCTAGACCGCCAAGCCCCGTGTAACCTTGTCCCAGCTCCAAGCGCACAGCCGCATCATCATCTCAGCTTCCCCAGCATCCGCATCCACTACAACAACCGTCCACCCCCCGACTAGTAGCAACCAACACCACCGCGCACCTCCACGAACCTCGAACCTCACTGTCCCCTACCCCAGCTCACCACCATGTCCCGCCTCTTCCGCATCCCCCTGCCGCACCTCCCCTCCTCGCTCGCCTTCCGCACAGCAGGAGTCTACAGCGCCGGCGCACTCGTACCATCCCCCCCCCTTCCGCCCGCCCCACGCCGCTAACCAACCCCCGCAGTTCTCCCTCGGCTTCTTCACCTTTCTCGACGCCTCAGTATTCTCCAAGACCGCGAACGGCACGTCCAACGTGCACGTGACGATCGTCGACTGGATCCCGCTGCTGTGCAGCGTGCTTGGTATGCTCGTGATCAACAGCATCGAGAAAGCGCGGCTGTCGGCGGATTCATACTCGTACTCCGGCTCGGGCGTGGCGTGGAAGGCGCGCCTCGTGCTGTTCATGGGCTTCGCGCTCATCGCGGGGGGGCTCGCCGGAAGCGTCACTGTTCTCGTCCTGAAGTATGTCGTCCCGGGACACCCTTGGCCGACCATGTGGTTCGGCGTCGCGAACGCGGTCAGCAACGCCCTGGTCATGGCCAGCTGCTGCGTCCTCTGGGTCAGTCAGAATATCGAGGATAGTGCGTATTCGTATAATTTGAGCTTGTAAGAAGGCGCGGGCTACAGGAGGGATGGGCGCTTTTGGGATAGCGGGATGGCGGGACGGGATGGCGAGGAGGAAACCCCACTGGGAGTAGTGAGCGGCAATGCTATTTTGTTTTTTTCGTTCTATCTTGAGGAGTGGATTCGGGTTTGATGTTTTATTACTACTTGCGTGTTGCTTGCTTCCTGAGCGTGTTGGCCATATCGATGAACTTTTTCTACACACCTCCCCACGATATAATGAGATATCCCTACGTGGAGGAAGCACTGTCCCGATCCCATGTACGGTTGGCTTCACGGATATTCATTGGAGAAAGATGGCATCAGTGGCCAGGGGGATGAGTTTCGTCCCACTGTCAGGCAATCCCAACCGGACAGAGGACTTTGCCTAGGTTTCCGGGAGACTTTCGCCCAGATACAAACGTGTTGGTGTCGGTCCGATGTCGGTAGATATATGGAACCCACTCGCGCCGGAACCTCGTTCCCCTATCCTGGCCGTCGACCGAGATCACAGGCAAACATCCCGCCTCTTCCTCCTCTTCCTCCTCTCCTTGATCACAGCCGTTTGTTTATTTAATTGTCCAGTAGTTGTGGTTCTAGGCAAGTATGGTGCTTCGGGATGACTATCCAGTACCTAGTGCTGGGTATTCTGCCAGCAAGTGAAGCTGTGCATTGGGTATCACTCGAGGCGTGAGTCTTCTCGATAAAAGTACCGTGTGGACAATATAGCCTACATCCACGCATCACCGTGATCAGAACATGCCTCCCTCCCTCCCAAATATCTACTCCACATCATTCTCGACCTCCGCCGTGCCCCTAACCGCATATCCACCCTGCGGGGTCTCAACCCACAGCTCACACTTCCTTGTGGCATCCCCCTCTTCCCCCTTCCACCTTCCGGCAATCCTATACGGCTCGCCAACAAACATGGGCGCGAGACACTTATACTCAAACGCGACTATGCGCTTCCCCCTTGGCATCTCGCGCTTCAGGAGGCCGAGGAGGAACACCACCGCGAGCGGCCCATGACACAGGTTCCCCCTATACCCCTCCTCCGTCCGCGAAAACCCCTCGTCGTAGTGTATGCGGTGGACATTATGCGTCAGCGCCGAGAAGCGGAACAGGAGGTGCTGGGTCGGTGTGAACGTCTCGACAAAGTCCCTCTTCACATCCCCTTTCACTTCCAGCATCCTCTGCTGCTGCTGTGCGGGCGGCCCCTCCCCCACAGGCGGCAAAAAGACCAAACACCTCCTCTCCGTGAGCGCGGGTTCTCCCGCCCCAACAGGCGCACGGAACATCCTCCGCTCGAACCAAACAAACAACTTCTCGCCCCTGACCTGCACGCTCTCGACGCGCTCTTGCAGCCGCGCCTCGTCGAAGTAGCTGAGGCGATTGCCGGGGGCGCGCGAGAACGCCAGCGAGCCGCCGGCCCACATCCGGCGCGGCCAGGCGGCGCCCGGTGACTGCTCCGCGTCGCTGCCGTCGCGGAGGAGAAGGTGCTCCGGGAGTTGAGGTGGGAAGTACACTAGGTGGTGGCCCGGAGGGAGTTCGCCGGAGATGCAAGGGGTGGTACGAGAGGGGGTCGTGCGCAGGTACGCGCTCGTGCTGAGCGTGAGCAGGTGCGAGTTCTGGGGCGTGAGCCAGTCGGTTATGGAGGGCAGCGGGCGCTGGAGGAGGGAGTTGGCCGCGGCTTCGGTGGAGACGGCGGCGCCGGCGCCGGAGGTGCTGGTGGAGTATAGACGGCGGAGGAGGTGGCGGGACATCGTTGCGGGTTCTTTGGGAGCGCTTTTGTGGGCGACGGGAGAGCTGGAGCTCAATCGCTGTACTGGACCTGCCTGGTTCCCTTATAAGCTCAGCCGCAGACGTCACGGAAACGTTCGGGCTTCGGATGTGCGGGTCTGCAGGGCTCGGTGCGGGGGACGCGGGAAAAAGTAAACAAATTGTGGGGTGGTTTTGGCCCATCATCGTGCTTGCATGTGAAAATCCGTTTCTCAGCTCATCGTTCTCAGCTCATCGTTCATCATTTCAATCTATTGAGAAAACATTCATGAGGGTACATATACACATCACTACAGTAGGGTTGCAAACAGAAAGCAGAGGAAAGGAAAATACGAGCAGAAGAAAGCCTCACATCGGCACAGGCATTCTCCTGTGACTCTCGAGCACACAGAAGAATCCGCACATATGCAAGTAGAACATCTCGACAGTTCACCTAATAGTAGTAAAGGTATCGCGTACAATAAACGCCCCACAGACCGAAAGTAAGACCGCAGTGTAAGAGCATGAACGGTGGCTGGCGCACGCAGCCCACCGCAAAGAAGTATTACAGCATGCTACAGCGTTCAGGGAAGCCAAAAAGCAAAAGAAGAAGGAGAAAAAGAAGAAGGAGAAGGGGGAAGTATCCCCGTAACAATGCACAAGCGTAAAGTTGTATTTCCACCCCGTGTAAAATCAAAAGCAAAAGGAATTCGTTGGGACCAAGGAGACGACGGGGCAAAGGAAACAAAATCGTACACCCAAATCCCCCCGCGCAATCGCACAGAGGGCACCAGAGAGAAGCCGTGCACAGCTGAGCAATGAAGCCATCCGTAATGAAATTCATCGTATTACAGACAGTCAATGAAGAAACGAACAAGACACCATGCAAAACAAGCAAAAAGCAAGAAACACGGAAGGAAAAAAGACACCTTTTCTATCCCTAGACAAAGAGATTGAGCTACTCTTTAAACCGCGATGCTGGCGGGCTTGGCCACGGCTACAGGCGAAGGCAGGATCAAGTCGCTAGACTGTCGCTTGAGCTTGGTGATCCCGTCTTCCTTGTCGTCCGAGATCTTGATCTCCTCCATGCCCTCGTCCAACAGGTTTCCGCTGGCGTTACCCTTGGCGAGAGCCGTGACGAGAGGAAGCGGTGATGTCGGTTCCTCGCTGACACTTCGCAGAGCCTTCGCCGCTTTCTTCGAGGGGGGCTTGAGGTGGTTGTCGTCCATAGTGCTGGGTCCCTTGACGGGCCGGGTGAGTCCTCTCGAGCCGTTGGTCGGGGACATGGCCGTGAGGTGCGGGGAACCCGGAGCGGAGCTAGGGTTAGAACCTGGCCTCGAATTCGGCCGCATCGAGCGACGCCTGCCATACTTGCGCTCGTTCCTCACCCTGAGAATCTCCATGTACGAAGGCTCGGACCGCGGGGCCCTAGGGTCCTTGAGCTTGAGTTCTCCGCTCTCCTCGTCTACCGACCAGTGGGAGCTCTGCATGTCGTCCGCAACCATCGCCAGGAAGTGGGCCCAAGACCTCGAAACGACGAACTTAGTATCGTAGTCACGACCGAAAAGGATCACTTGACCCCAAACTCCCGCCGGGCCAGGTGCCAGGTCAACCGCGATGTAGTTTCCACCCCAGTCACGCACTAACGGGATCCAGCCAGGGTGAGCATAGACCTTCTGAACCGCACCTTCCGGCTGGCTATTCTGCCGGGCCGCGAGGTCTGTGCGGCCGAGCGGCACGGTGGCGGCGCTCGAAGGACCGGCTTCCCCTTGCACGCCGGGTGTCGGCTGCATGAACTCCTTCTCGACAACCCTCCAGTTCTTCCATTCATCCAAGATCTCCTCGCAGTCCATCAGCATGCCGCTGAAGATGACACCAGTCGGCCTTCCGCCACGCTCCTGTCCATCGTGAATCTGCAGGGACTCGCGGACCTCCAACGGGAGCGAGCAATCCAGGCTGTACTCGAGCTCGTTGACATCGTTTACTGACGCCGGGGTGCACAGCTGGTCGAACAACTCCGGATAGCTCTCCTCGGACCAGACCTCAATGCGTTCCCACGAGTGAGCCACCGGTGGAGCCGGAGGCTGTCCGTCAGTGCCAAATTCCTGCAGGGCAATCCCATCCTTAGGGGGGCCCGTAACGGCAGCAGACCGTGCACCCGGTGAGTACGGGGTAGTCGGTGCACCGTGAGTCGATAGTCGAGGGGAGAAGCCATTGGTGTTCTGCAGAGCGGTAGTAGAACGGTTCGCGGGGTCGTCGTCGTGGTAGGGACGGTCGCCGTTCGGGGAGGCTACCGAGTGCATCGGCGGGTTGCGGCCAACACCTCCGGCCAGGGGCTGGTGGGTGTTTCCGGAAAACGCGCGATGGGGTGAATCGTGATTGGCATGTCGGTCATTGGACGTCATCGCGTGCCAGAACGACCGGATGCCCTCTTGGAGCCTAGAATTTCGGAAGCAGTTCGTAAGTTCGAATGATCTCTATGAAGTCAAGTACCTGCAGGAGACAGGGGGTAGCCGGATGGGAGAGAAGCTCACCCAGACATGACGGCGGAAAGGAGAAGCTAAGCTGTCGAAGTGCGGTTCTATGTGTGTGCTTCTACGAGCAAGTGTCCATCAACCACCAAGCAGTTTCGGCCGGATTGGGGGAGGTGTGTAGCAGTTGGCTCCGGGTAAGAGGACTGTTACTGGTTCCGAGGGGCGGTCGATTGTAGTTGATTGTGAGTGAAGTGGGTTGTTGGGTTTGATTGTAGCGGAGAACAGGAGTTCGGTGCTGGGCGTAGTAGTTGGTAGTGAAGAAGAAGGAGGTAGTGGTTGTGTTGTTGTTGTTTATTGTTGCAATAGTAGCAGTAGTTGTTATTCTTATTGACGAACAGGAGCGAGCGACGAAGACGGGGGGTGGGTTTCTCGACGGGACAGGGAGCTTTTTGACCCTTTTGTCAGAACGCGCGCTATGACGAACGTAGGCTTGGACTAACTGACAGACAAGCAGTCGGAGCTCAAAGAACCAACGAGCGTGAGTAGCAAAGACGAATTGTGATATTGAATGGGATTGCGGCAGTGGTATTGTTGGTGTTATTGTGGTTGGTGGAATGGTGTTGTTGGGAGAAAGGAGAAGGAGAAGGAAGAAGAGGTTCTTTTGGTGGTTTACCACTACTAGTGTTACTGCGTACATTCTTCCCTCGCACTTCTCGACCTGCACCAACAGCACTAACTAACACCGACCAAGTTTCCTCCGCTCAACTGCGTGGAGCATACAACCCTCCCCCGACCCATGCCCCCTAGCGGCAACAGAGCGACATCGAACAGCATCGGTACTCTCTACACATACAGAATACGGTACACAGGACGACCGTGCGCCAAGACCTTCCAAATGGGAACTCCCCTGGGACGAGAACCTTTGTCTTCAGTCCTGGCCTCCTGGCCACAGCAGAGCGCATGTGTGGGATGGAACCAGACACGTCCAAAGCAGCGTCGTTGATCGCGGGAAATGACCAAGGGCGGAGCCGAAGAGGGACGCAACAAGGGGCCCGGCCATGCAATTCTCGGGCTGGGAGATACCTAGAATCTGCGTGGCGTGCCAGCTGCTGCTGCTGCTCCACTCCACATGTCTGCTCTCGAGGAGATGCCCTTGCCGCTCTCACCGGCCGTCTGATTGGCTGGAATGCCTCCCGCAAATGAAATCCACCTATTCCTCCGGCCCGCTACCTAGATACCTACTCTAACAAAGTACCCTAAGTACCCAAGTACCCTATCTCTCCCTACCATTCGAGCACTCAACCTGCGACGGCGAACCCACCGCCCAGTGCACCCCCCGGGGCCGATATATACTGCCGTCCGATTGAAGCGGAAGCTTGTTCGCGCGCATATAGCGATCCAGATGATGGCCGAGGAGGAGAAGAAGGAGAAGCAGAAGCAGGTGGAAGAGGAGACGCATATCGATAGTTATGTACCTACCTCCAGATGAACTCTATGACATCAGGCCATCCCATCCATCACATAGGGTAGATACATCACATCCATCACATCCATCACATACCTACATCACCTTCCATCATGTCCGTGGATTCTGGTCGAGGAGAGCCCATGGAAAAGACCTGCACCTGTGTGCCATCTCCATGGCCATCTTGGGAACACCTTTACCTTTATCTTTCGAACGGCACATCCATCAGGTTCGTGTCTCTCATTGTTGCCGGATTCTCTGCCCGTCTCTCTCCCGGCCTGGTTATCAACAGTACCTATCATACATACATGCAGGAAGGATCGCAACTCCGCTGTGCAAGCAAAGCAGAAAAACGGAAGGAAAAAAAACCACCTCCCCCTCGGAAACACAAACCTGCGAGCGTTCTCTCTTCCAGCCAGACGAGAATGCCATCACCGCCGCCAAACATACCCCATGCAGCGCGGGTATATCATCCCCCAGCGTCTGGCGGCCCCTGAAACCACAACCCCCTTCCAAACGGTCGTCTCGTGGAACCCAAGAAGTGATCGGTATGTAAGCAGACACCACCCTCAAAACCACGCACACAGCAAAGAGATCGAACGGCTACAGGTGCAGATGTCTCAGATGCGACATTTCCTTTGGCTGGTTGCTGACACGTACGCGCTGGCGCTGGTCGATAACTTATGCTTATGGTTGTTGCTCCCGAGCATCCCCTGCAGCACTACGATAGTGGTCGTGGTAGTTCGTGCACAGAGAAAAGTCTGTAGATATGATACACCGATCCCACAAACTTTTGGACTTCCGGCCAGGTCCTTTACTCTTCTGTATGTACGTAAGGTACTGGAGATATGGGCTGTGTCCTGTATAGTTATGCGCACGCTTGCGGAACCCTACATGGAGTACACGGAAATTCCTGACGGATCGGATGCACATGTCCGCTGCCATTATTGTCAATCGAACCGCCGTTTGCACGTAAATCTACATGGCTATCGGGGACAGCTTCAGGAAGTCAAGAAGACACGATAGCTACTACATATACCTAGCTTCCCTCTGTCTGGCGTTCCAGGAGCTCGAAAGGAACGAGAATTCCTCACCCAAACCACACTGCGGTCGACCCCACGTAGGTATGTAACGATAGTTTACTTTGACCCCTGCATGCTTGTCTTCCTGTCAGCACTTTGATTCCGTGATGGGATGCCGGCTGGTTGTCGGAGTCGGCCTGGGATGGCTGGCGGTTTGTTTGCTGCACTTTCCTGTTCCTGCACCACTGTAGATCACTCCTCAGCTTCCTATGTATGACATGACACCCCGCGTTCGTTCGGCAGCTGTTACGATTGTCCGTCCGACGATGCCTCTGGATGGCAAGCACAGCACCATTGTATCGGCACAGGACCCCACGGATTGACAGGCTCAGAAAATCATTGACCAAGCGCACACCACGCTCTACCTGCGCACCGGTAACTACCCTACATACTCACGCCATCAAATCCCACCTCCTAACCTCCTCGCCCGCCTCCCTAGCCCTGCCTGCACCCGCCTCCGTCTGATGTACACTCCTCAGGATCCCACCCTCCTCCCTCAGCACGACCCAAACCTCGCCGCGCCTCCCCTCGTCGGAAAACTGGACCCAGACCTCGGCGCGATCGTTCATCTGGAACTCAGCGTCGATGCGCACTTTTCCGTCCGCGTCGACACTCTCCTCCCACTTCGCGAACGCGTCGCGCGGCCACTCGTCGAGCGCGTTGCGCGCTAGGTGGTTCGCCTCCGGAAGATGCGTGAAACTGCCAAGCTTCCGCACGCCGTCGTCGCTGACGCGGGTGTACACTTCGTATGTGGGCGTGGCGACGGAGGCGTCGGGGGTGGCGGGGAAGCCGGTGGACATGGCGGTGGGATTCTGTGGCAGGAGTTAGCACTCTGGACGGATGTTACGCGCAGAGACGTACCTGGAGAGCGGTAAGGTGGATTGGGCGGTGTGAAGGTCGAGGGATGACAGGTGGAAGATTGCAGTACGAGTGAACTTTCCACGGCCAGAGGTAGAGGTAGAGCTTGAACTTGAGTTAGATATACTAGGGGGTTGGGCCGCTCCCTCCTCCGTCAAACCGGGACTAGCTTCTATAATGTCTCCCATCTATACGGGATCCGAGGGTCGTTTGGATTGATCATGAGGATAGCTGTCAGTTAGTTACTTGGTAGCTATGTAACCGGTGGATGGCATCGTGGTTCCGTCCGGCTGTCCTCTCCGGAATCTTCCCGCAATTCCAGGCATGGGGTGCGGTGATAGGTAGCTGTTTCGGGACGGGAAAGACCAGGCTTTGCTAAGGAACCAATGGGTAGAGTACTCCGTCCATTGAGGTGATCACAACAGGAACTGGGAATCCCGCGAATGAGCTTCCGAACCTATGACCGCAGTCCCGCGAGTAAGCCGACATCAGAGCTGGATTGATGGACAGAGATGTTCCCACAGCCATGATAGCTACTGCCCTCGGATAGAAGACCGAAAGCTCCCGCCTCAAAGCCGAAAGTCATCAACCACATCATCGACCTCTTCTCGAAATCCTTTCATTTCCTGACCGCACCGACTTCTCGTCTCGAGATGGATGATTGAAGTAAAGTAACAAAGTCGGGTGAGGGATTCGATATAGAGTAGTACCAGTAACTACAACCTGGCAGTCTTTGCCGAAAAAGGATGGTGTTCAATATCCCCACGCGACCTCTCCCACCCGACAAGACAGTCCGAGTGTTTATTGTTCAGCCTCCATAGTTACGGCCCGCCTTGATTAAGGTTAATGTCTCACCTCCCAAGGCCGGCCGCGATTACGTTTCAACCCTTCCACTGGTCGATCATGCCGAATCACCTTTAATGCCTCGTCGCTCTTCACGTGTACGACGTGAAGGGCTTGGCACACGCGTGCCCCATTCGGCAGCGTAACCTCAATGAGCACCACCACCACGACCACGGCCCACGACCACCACGACCACCACGACCACCACCACCGCGACTCCACGTCGCATCACTCAGAACGCACCTTCGACCCCGACCCCGACCTTGACTCCGGCGTCACGATGGCCTCACAGAACCCCGGCGGCGGCGGCGGCGGCGGCGGATACTACGGATGGGGCCCACCGCCGCAACATCCCCAGCAACATGCGCAGTACACACCGACACGGAATATCCACCATGCGCACCACTACGGCCACGGCCACGGCCAGCCCCCAGCACAGCAGATGGGCCCGGACTTGCCCACGGTTCTGCTAGCGCTCACCGATACGTACATCACCGCTGCCCATGCGAGCGGGTACAAGACTTCGCTTGGAACGGCGAGCGATGCCGAGGCGTACTATAAGCTCGTGGCGACGGGACTGGCATGTTTGGAGACGGCGTTGCAGGTTGGTCATTCGTGGTGGTGGAGGGAGGGTAGGCGGGATGCTGATGTTGCGGGAATAGTATCGGCTGCAGCCACGCGTCGAGTCTATTGTCAGGCTGCGGTACGCAAGTATACTGTACGAGGAGACCGAGAACCTCGACGAGGCGGAGGAGGCGCTGAATAAGGGTGTATGTACATACTCGCCATACGTCGCGGTCCTGCCTGCGCATGCTGACTTCGGTGTAGTTGCAACTCGCCACAAGGGTACCCCGCACACCGAACTATCCGCTCCTCTGTCTGTCTGGCTACAGTCGTCTAATGCGCGTTGCGATAGAACAACCTCATGGAGCTCAAGTGCAGCATGCAGTACCTGCTTGTCAAGATCACGTTCAAGACAAATCACAAGGCCGCACTCCTGATGCTGAACTCGTTCATCCAGGACGTCGAGACGTAAGTTTCCGCGGGTCGGATGCATTGTGAACCCGCGCTCACTCGCGTTGCAGATTAGACATCCCGCTGTGGACATATTCCTTCCGCTTTCTTCGATTCCATCTCCTGGCCGAGGCGGGTCCCACGCACGATGACCAGGCCGCCACCAATGCGCTGCGCAGCATCTATAGCATGTCGAAAGACCGAATGGACGTACAGGTGATCGCGCTGGCGAGCTTGATGGAAGCGATGATCTCCCTGCGGGGCGGTGCAGACGGTGTCGAGAATGCGCAGCGAGCGCTGGCACGCGTGTTTACGCAGCAGAACGGCGGCCTCGATATACCACCCCAGCTGGAAGTTTTGACGCAGTTGTTGGATATCTGCTGCTCCCTCATGCTTAGCCGGGCCCAGGAGTGCGATCCGAAGCTTAGAAAGCTTCATACATCGTTGGACCAACCGGGGCGCTGGCTGAACTGGAAGGAGGATGGAGAGTTCTCGGTCGACGTGCATCCTGGCCGACCTGGCAGACCACCCGAGGGACTGAAGTTGAGGTGGCTAAATAAAGATGATGTGTTTACTGTGGGATACTTTCTCAGCGGCCACGTCAAATTCCAGAAAAATGTCGAGGAGAATGGAAAGGCAGAGAGGTTCTTGACTGAGGGTTTGAAGACAGTTGATAGTGAGTCTCTTGAGCAATGTGTGTCGTGACTTGACGGATGCTAATGGTGCAAATAGGGATAACTGCCGGATTCACCCAAATGTCCGTGGAGGCTTCCAAGAGCAAGCTTGCTTGGAAAAGATCACTCAAGTCGTACATGTACCTTTACTATGCGTTCCTACTCTGCATGAGAACCGACTGGGACTCGGCATTGAAGGTTAGTTCCCTTTTACCTGTCATGGCATCATCACTCGCTAACCTCACCAAGATCTTCAAACAACTGGAAGAAGTCGCCGTGCCACTTGCTCTTCTACCGAACTCCCCACTGGCCCTGCACATAACCTACCTCCGTGCGATAATCAATCACGGCACGAACGATCTCTACCAAGCTGTACAAGCGTACACGGAGGTGGTCTCCAACACGCCAGTGGACTCGGAACTCTCGATAATCAGCAAACTAAACCAAATCCTAATCCTGCGCCCTCAGAACCCGTCAGAAGCCGACGCACTCCTGACAAGCATCGAGCGCTACTGCCCCCAGCACAAAAACGAGCTCTTGAAAGCCGCCTACATCGCCGTCAAAGCCACTGCCCGCGGGGAATTGGTCAAGACAAAGAACTACCTCTCACTCGCTCTGCGCCACGCCGCGGCAGCAGGAAACGTGCAGCTTACCTTCATCGTGCTCAACTTCATGTGCCACCGGTTCTTCTCCGGTGTCGTCTCGGAGCAGGCGGAGAAATCGGCCAAAGCCGCCTGGCAGAATGCGAAGAAGGGACGCGACACGCTGTGGACCCTCATGGGCGGCCAGATGTATGCCGACTGTCTGGCAAGAAAGGGGAATGACCTCGAGGCGATACGCCAACAGCAGATGAATGAGGAGGCTAGTCTGCAGGTCATCAAGAATCTTACCAGGAATCTGCCCCCGCCGCCGCCGTATCAGGAGGTGGATCAGCTGAGTGAGGAGATCGATGATGCTACGATGTATGCCATGCAGGTGATGCAGCAGCAGTAATAGTGGGTGGAGGGGTAATGTGGGGGTATTGTATAATACCATAGGTGCTTGGGCTTTGCGTTGATTTGTTTGGGATGGTGTTGAGGGTTGATTTGTCTTGCCTGCTTGGTTTGTCGCGTTGTTTCTTTGCTGACGGCTGCGTATTTTTCTTGTTCGACGTATTGGTATCTACTCTGTTGTTACAGTTATTTTCTAGTTGAAATGTTTCGATCTTGGTTTGATGAATAGGCGGATGGTGTGTGAATTACTGTTGATGGGATGGAGAAATGGAGAAGAGCTTCACCTGACCCCATACTTGCTGCTCCACGCGACGTGAAGACGGTACAAAAGCAACTACACATCCTACTAAACACCCGAAAGCCAAAGCAGAAGGAAAAGAAAAAAAACGACACGAATCAGCACGAAAAAAAAAGCGTCTGTGACCTTCCGAGGCCCCGTACACAAGATATCACCACCACAACCGGTACAAAACGCCGAAGACCTAAAGCTAAAAACATTCCAACCCTCATTCCCTCCCTCGCCATCTAACTCAACTCGCCCCGCCCCGCCCCGCCTCGCGCACCCCTCATCCTCCTCGGCATCTACCCCAGCCCGCCCCAAGCACCCCGGATCCTCCTCGCCAGTTGGATATCCTTCTGCATAACCGTAACCCGCTTCGCATGTATCGCTAGCAGATTCGCGTCTGTAAACAAGGCGACCAGATACGCCTCCGCCGCCTCCTGCAGCGCCAGCAGCGCCGTGCTCTGCCACCTGTGTGCCGCGCCGCCGCCCGGAACTCCAAACAGATGGGCACCGTTGGTATACTCCATCGCGACCTCCTTGACCTGCACCCTTCACATTAGCCTCATCCCTCCCCTCCCCATCCCCATCCCCCTCTCCCTATACACACGGGTTCACTCACAAGCCTAGCAAACGGCAGTTTCCTGAGCAACAGATCGGTGGATTTCTGAAAATGCCTGATCTCGCGCAGCGCGACGGTGCCCGGCTTGCGCCGGTACTTCCGCGCGACGGGTGCAGGGTCGCCCGCCCGCACGCCCGTCGACGTCGGCGTCGCTGCCGCGCCCCCCCGGTATTTCGCTGGCGTCACGATCGTTTTGCGGCCGGTTCGGGTGGACATCGTTGTGAGGGAGGGTGAGGGTGTGGGTGAGGGAAGAAGGAGGTGAGGGGAGGGCGGAGGGCCCTTTGTTCGTATGTGAGTGGGTGCGTGAGTGCGTGAGTGCGTGGTGGTCGTGGTGGTGCTGGTGGTGTGTCGGTTGCGTTGCGTGAACGGTGTAAGGATTGTTTACGCGGCGGGATGGCACGTTGCCGCTGGTGTTGGCCGCTGGCAACGGGCGCGAGGCGTTGCCGCCAAGGAATATGGGCAAACAAGGGTGGGCCTCGCGGGGTGCTGAGGCTGAAAGGCGAGGCGAGGCTGAGGCGCCAGCTCGCGGAGTCGGTGACGACGGCCGGAAAATGATAAGGAAGGGGACGAGGAATGGAGATCTGGCGGGGCGATTGGGCTTCAGAGACTTGATGATTCAGCGTCATTAACCCTCACGAATAGCTTCAGGTTTATCCTCGGTCTCGAGGTTTCCTCAATCTCAAAGTCTCAAACTACAGAGCTACCTAGCCTCGTAAGGACGAATGAAGCCTCGACAGAGCTATTATCTCCGCCGTGATGGCCGAATGGCCGTCATACGACGAGAATATGTAGTAGAGCACACGTAGGGGAATCCACCAGCAATCGCACACGGGACCCAGATCAAGGTCTTCCCTATGCACAACCGGAAGCCACTCCACTGCACCCCACTCCCCCACTCCACAGCGCAAAAGCACAAACAGTGACGCAGCCCTACATACATAGTCAGGATCTGTAGATGTCTTCGTCCGACGTAATCGTGCGGCCACGATGTCGACACCGCAGAGCCATCTCCAATCTTGGCTTCTTTCGTCCGAGATCTGGGCTTCTAGCCTCATTGTCCGGCTTTTCGCCACTTCACCTGCGGCCTCCAGGTCATGGGTTCCAGTTAAGCTGGGCGGGCTTCCAGAATCCAGAGCATCGCCACAGCTGGATTCTGGATTCTGGGCTCTGCGGATTCCTGCAGCTATGCTAGATTCACAGCCTGCCAGGCTACCACAGCCCCATACCTACCGTATGTACCCCGACGTCGCAAATCCACGGCCACGGCCATGGCCATGGCCACCCGCAAATCGTCGCCGTCCAATTGCCTAACCAGCTCTGCAGTCAGTCAGTCCCCCACCCGGCCAGAAAATCGGGCCAGATTCCAAATTTCAAATTCGTCGCAAATTCGCCTGGGCCAGCTCGCTAGAATACCCCTCCCGCCGAGCTCCCACCGGCTCGCTTGGAAGCTTGGAAGCTTGGAAGCTTGAATACATACCCGCCCCGCGACTCCTAGGAGATCGCCAGCCAGTGACCCCCGCCACCGTACCCCCCACTACTTACCGCCCACCGGCTTTAATCAATCGGTACTTTATCGGCAGCAGGATAAACGCTTGTATGTGAGTTGTAACTCGCCTCGTCTCGCCGATGTTTCCCGGCGCCAACTCGTTACTCTACTGGTACTGCCGAGCACTCTTGAGTCTTGAACGATAATGAACCGGGAACCTGACAGGAACTGGGCCAGGAACTGGGCCAGAGCAGAGGGACGTGGACTTGAGATCTCGGTGCCTGAGTTTTTGATATACGAATAACTTGGAGAACCTGCGAGCTTGAATAGGTACGGTATGGAGAGGCTGTAGATTCCAGGAACGGTACCATGAAGAATCTCGTGGCCATGGCCTTCAGTTTCGAGAAGGCAACCCGAAATTGCGGATTACCGGTATTTCGATTCCATCCCACCCCAAGATTTCTAGTTTATCCGTCCATCACCGTTCTCCCCCCACTGCCCTCTTCCTGATCCGTCTCTCATCCGTCCCTTACCTATCCTCCGACACCTTATCTTGCCTGTTGCAAATCCCACCAACTCTTCAGATCGGTTCATGAATACTAATGTTAGGCAGGTCGATGTTGGGTGAACCGTGGACCGTGGACAGATTCCGGATCCTACCAGGCTGCAGCCTGCCATGGCCCATGATACTGGCAGCAATTTTTTCCAGGAGCTGGAACACAGTAGGTAAGCAAAGCAGCACGCAGTTCGGATACGGAATTGAGTTATGCTTAGATTGGCCGCCCAGCTCTTCGTGGTCTTCGCCGGAGACAGTGTATCGGATATCCCCCCTCCACCCAGTCGGCGAGAACGGCCTCAACGGTGGTTAGTAGCATAGACGACCCTACGGAGGAATCCGCGGCCTTTTTGGGCTGCGGCAGAGGGCGGTAGTATTAAGTCGTCCCTGGCGCCTCCTTGCCGGATTGTAACTGTGCGAATATGTAGAGTCAGCTGGATACGGTAGATAATCACCAATTCAAGAATGGACGCGGACACGCTCAAGTCCCCCAGCAACATGAGCCACACCGTACCTTGAGTGCCGTATTATTGAAGAGGTAGGTAAATGACTGCCGCTGCCGTCGTGAGGATACGGGCGGGTTACGGTTTATATCTATTCAAAGGCTGTGTGGCATTTAGGATGTTGAGTGCCAGCTCTGGTCTTGGTTAACCTCAATCGGACATTCTTTCGGCGAAACATATCCAGAGACATTCATTTCGGCATGTCCCTCCCAACACTGGCTCGATGCGCTCCGCCGGTCTATCCGATTCCCATGGCCCTACATACGGTATCTGAGCACCCTATTTATGAGTGCGCGCTGGTGGAATAGGCTCTTCGTGTGGAAGAGGGACGCTGGGTGTCACAGTGTCACTTAAGATTGACGGGGACGATTTGGCTTCATCCACCTAGAGTTGCAGCCCTACTAGTATTCTCAATTGCTCAACTCAATCCATGTTTAAGCATAACTACCGTTGGCTTCTCGATCGACTCGACTTTGACTTTTCAAGCACCAATTCATGAGCTTGAATTCCCAACTCAAATGGCCACGATGAACACAAACCTCCTCACGCACGCACGTACGTACGCAGAAAAGTAAAACATCTACGGAGACCGCGTGACGCGGCCTTTTCCAGCATCAACACCCCGAGCGTCCATAGAGTAGATCTACTCTAAACGATACGTCGATACCTGGAGACTGGAGTATCTATCGCTAGGCTACCTGGTCTATGTATAGGTAGTACAGTACGTGTGACTTGTAGAGTACTCCTTGCACCCCATCTCCTGTTTCCCCGAACCTCCAGCCTCGAGTCGTCGGGGGAGTCGCTCAGATAGCTCAAGCTTCTTTGGCGTATGGTAGGTATGCCCTTCCCTTCCCCTCCCATCCGCGATGCCAAATCCAGCGCCAGAATAGGTACCTTCGAGCTTCTACTCGAGCATCGCCACAACCGCACGGGAATTCGGCAGCCAACACCACAGCCCCAGTGCCTCAGTGCCTGGCAACCCGAGTGCCTCAACCCCGCATATCCCCACGGCAATGCCTTCTACAGTAGGTAGAGTAGTAGTTACTTAGTTACCCGCGGCCACCCGCAAAATCCTCGGCCATCCAATTGTCCAATTGTCCATCCGTCTCTCCAGCGCAGTGAGCGTTGCGGCCTCTAACTAGGAGGTATGTAGGTGGGCTCTTACTCGTCCGCCAGCCGATTCGCCGGCCGGCCACGTCCCCAATCCAACCCAACACAACACAACACAACCCCGCCAGCTCGACGCCGCCAGCTCGACGGAAGTCTGCAGTACTCTAGGTAGTTACCGGTGGTCTCGCGAGTCGCCATGTTACCCTCCCCCCTCCCACCTCCCCCCCCCCCGTGCTCGCTTGGATACCCCGCTGTGTTTTTAACCAAGTGCGTTCTCTTGTCCCAGAAGCCTACCAACATGCCAGACGACACTATGTACAGAGGATCTTCCACTTCTGAACGCACTTCTGAACGCACCCAAAAGCCATCCAACCCTCGACAAAACCCTGCAATTCTTGCCGCATAGGTACGTTGAAACTGGGGCACTCTAGAGTATCATAGGAAGAGTATAGTAGATAGATCGTCGACGGATCCCCCTCGCCACCTTGCCTACCTATGTAGAGTAGCCCCTCGATAACTCCGGCCGATATGATATCAATCCATCCATCAACCGGTATCAGTGGCGAGCGATTATCTGCCTCGTCACACTGACGTTTCGCCAGGTGCCAGGTGCCAGGTGCCAGGTGCCAGTTTCCAGTTGCCAGTTTGCCAATTTGCCAGTTCCAGTTTCCAGTTGCCAGCGCAATACTCGCAATACTCCCTCAATCCGCGTCACTCGGGAGTCGGGGATGGAATGGAACCATCGTAAGATACGTGATTTGGAGGACAAGCTGGATCCAAGCTGGACCCTGGCTGGAAACCGTGTGGAATTCAAGAACCTGAGATTTGAAGATTTCGAACGTAGGAACGTGGACTTGGACTTCAAGAAAGCAGCTCGAAATCGAGTTTCGAGCTCTATTTCCATTTCATCTCCCATCACCATCTCAGTTTCTAGTTTTATCCGCCCATCCGCCCATCCTCTCGTCTCCAGCCTTCTTCGCCAGGCTCTGTCGTCCTCCCTCCACCACCCACTCCCCTTCCCCTTCCCGTCCCCTCCCCTCCACTTCCCCGCCTCCCCGCCCATTCTCCCGCCAATCCCACCAGATCTGTCCTGTCCACCACCAACCCCGCCACCTGTACCCAACATGAGACTGTAAAAGCTGGAAAATGTCTAAACATCCCCATCCCCACATCCCCCCATCCCCTCCCTCTGTGATCCCCCCTTCCCGCCATGATCCCAAACTCCCCTATAAAAGAGTTCACGCCTCCAACAAAAGAAAACATAGTAAGTGTCGAAAGGAAAGATCAGTACCCCTCCACGCCGCCCCACGCAAAGGGAGCGAATACAGCCCAACCCAAACTCCGCCGTCCGCCGTCCGCCCGCTCCCATTGTTCAGAAAATCTGTACATCCGTGTTAAAATGAAAAGAAAAGAAAAGAAGAAAAAAACGCCCCAATATCAGTCAATAGTAGAGTAGAGAAAGGGAAAGGGAAAAGGGAAAGGACGGAAAGAAGAAGTAAATGACCCATCCCACACATACACGAACTCCACCACAGAAGAGAGAAAAAGAGGTAGAGAAATGAACACTAAAAAGGTGAGGTGAAAAAGAGACAGAAAGTTGCATCAACAAAAATCCCGAGGATATAGTAAGGGAGATGACCGCACCCAAACAAAGACGAAGACAGACACGAACCCAAACACCGGATACAAAATCAAGACACAACACCCCCCGTCCCATCCTCCTCAACCCAGGTATCGAGCAAAATAAGTACCTGTGATCTCTCTCTCACCTCGGTCACACACATAGAGCACAAGGAAAAAAAGAAGAAGAAAAAAGAACAGATGAAAGTAAAACAGGATGAACGCCATGAAAGGACAAAACTCCCACTGAAATCCGACCCACCTAGGAGATCCAAGTACAGAAACATGCCCAAAACATTACACATATTCCCGATGAAAACCCAGTCGCCGGAGGCCAAGAGGTAGAGTCTTGAAAGACGCAGATGAAAGGAAAAATGAAAAGGAAACAAAGACCGCGAACACAGCAGAAGTATCCCCACCAAAATGAGAAAACAAAGGAAAAATGAAAGTGGTATAATTCGAGATGCGAAACGTAAAACCGTGGTATTCCCGTAATACACCAAATGTAAATCTCCCTAGATATGTACCAGAATCAAGCCGAGCCTCTTCGGAATGCAAAGAAAAAAGAAATTGATCTTAGATCATGACTCCGCCAACGGGGTTGCGAGGAGCGAGCTTGAGAACCTGGCGCAGGTGATTCTCAATGTCGAGGTAATCGCGCGACTCAACCTTGCAGGGCATGCTGTCGTAGCGCGAGTCGAATACGTTCGAGAACTGCTGGCTGTTGGTGGTAGTGTTGTAATACGGCGTCTGGATGTCATTGTACTGAGGCAGGGGCTGCGAGTAGGCAGGGGCCGTGCGGTACTGATTCATCTTCTGCTGGGCAGGGGGCATCTTCATCGACTCGAATTGGCGGGATTGCTGGCGCTGCGCAACCGGAGAACCGAAGGGGCTCACGTAGAAATTTCCGTTGTTGCGGGCAGCGGACACAGGAGTCGAATGAGTATCCGGTACAGCACGATGCTGCACAGGCGAGGCGACAGGAGAGATGCCAGGCTGCTGGAAAAGAAGTTGGCGCAAGGCAGCAGTCTTGGCAATCCTCTCAGCCTCGTCGAGGTTTCGCCCAGTAGAAGCGGGAGAAGCCGGAAGGTTAGCGTTCAACGAGTCCATGGTGAACATCGGCTCGGTGACGGCACGCTCGCCGGCAGTGGGGCGCACAACGCTACTGCGGGGGGTGTTGAAGACAGTCCTGACAGGTGACTCCGGATCCATGGAGAAGATGTCACGTCCGAAGATTTCGGGGGTCGAATCACTGTCGGAGTTGTCACTGAAGGAACGGTTCTTGCGAGCCTTCTCCTCACGATCGGCTCTGAAAAGCTGCTCAAGAGGTCCTTCGACCGGGGGCGATGAAGGCTGCGAGCCAGTCGTAGTGCTGCTGTTGTCATCCTCCTCCATCATGGCCTGAAGACCCTGGGTCCTGGCAGAGGGAACGGACTTTGAGAAGAAAAACTTCGGCAACGGTAAGGTGGAAGGCGCGGGAGAGTGATGGAAAGTCGGTCCGGCGTAAGCCTTAGGAGGGGTCGACAAGGGAGCTTTGGTGGGAGTCGTCTGCACAGTGTTCATGGTGGGGGAACGATGCGACTGGGTCGACATGCGCGCATTCGACTGCTCAGGGGAGCTCTTGTTGACAATGTCCTTCGGCTTCCTCTGTCTCCTCTTCTTCTTGGTTGATCCTCCGTCGCCCCTAGGAGTCTTTAGGGTGTTGTTGTTCGAGTTTCTGATCTCCGACGAGCGTGGTGGAGACTGGATCTGTTGAGCCGTGTGGATATTAGGTTGGCTCTTCTGTCTTGGGGTAACGATGTTCTGAGATTGGGCGACCGAGGAACTGCTCTTGGTATGGCGGTGGTTGTTGTTGTTATTGTGGAAGCCGCCGGGTCTTTGGTGGGGCAGAACAGTAACGGTAGTCTGGGATGGAGCGGTCATCGTTGTGATGTTGCGACCGTGTCGATCTTTTAACGGGGAGATTGCACGGTAAAAGGAAAATGGTAGAAGACGGAAGAAACCCAAATCAAGCTCGAGATTGCGCTTAGATGCTGATGAAAGGGTATGGTGCGGTCGGTAAGAAGAAGTAGATTGAGTTCGGTCGGAATGTCGAGTCGTCGGGTCGTGTTGTTGTTGTTGTTGTTGTTGTTATTGTTGTTGTGTAATGACGACTTCGAAGCGGCGAGGAGGCGGGTTGTTGTTGTGGTTGTTATTGCGGTGCAGGTTTTGTTGTGGATTTCGAACAGGATGAGTAGCCGACCGAGCAGCGATGGCGAAACAAGCGACAAAACAATCGCGAGAAGTTTAGAATACACGAGCAGAAGCGGCAGGCGAAGAGGAAGATTCGAAGCGGTGAATCGGATGCGATCGCAGTTACAGTAGTAGCAGTAAAGGAGAACGAGAAGTAGAAGGCGGTGGGGTAAATCTCATAGTCGTGGAGGAGGAAGCATGAGGGGTGGTGGTGGGTGGGTGGGGAGTAGGTTGGTTATGGTAGCGAAGGAGTTGTGGGTGGAGGGTGAGAAAGAGAAGAGGGAGGGAAGGGATGGTTGTTGTTGCGGTCTGGGGAGGGGAGGGAATTGGGGGGCGAGGATGCTTTGGGTGGTGTGTGTGGTAGGGTAGAGTGAGCACTGGTGCGCTGCGTTGCGTTGCGTAGCGCTGTGGTGGTGCTGGCTTGGGAGCGACGTGGGTTAGGGGTGGATGTGCGGGTGGTGTGAGTGCGAATGGATGGCAGTCGTTCCCAGTTGAGGAAGCGTGAGAGAAGAGTGGGAGAAGTGAAGGAAGGAATGCGTGAGAAGGTGGCACGTAGCATTTGTATGTAGTGTTCTTGCCCTGCGAAGGGGAGCTGTGCAGGTGAGCGTCCATAGCACTACTAGTATACTGTATTTAGCACATAGAAAGCCAATCAGAGAGCGGAGGATGTCGATGTGAACGAGGGGTGCGAAGTCGAGAAGAATATCCACTGGTCTAGGGCGTCTCTGCGTGGAGAGGGCACTTTGGCAAGTATACTACGCAAGTATCCACTTGATGTAGATACTCGTATGTACTTAGGCATAGGGCGTCTCTGCGTAGAGAGGGCACTTTTGCAGGTAGATATCTGTAGTACTTCGCAAGTAACCAACTTGATGTACTCGTAGTTGTGTACTTGGATATAGGGGCTTTAAGATGGGCCATTCCTCGTATCTACAGCTTGTCTACTAGGTGCTCTGTATCGTATGTACCTAATATTGGTACTCACGTGGGGAATCTACATAAAGTCGGAACATCATCACATCCGGAAGCTATCCGGGCATGTCCTTCATTGAGTCCCGAAACTTACTTCATACCCATTAAACACAACTGTCAGACTGAGTTCAACGGTGTGTATATATATATCCACTGGGACGGCAGCGGAGCTACATCCGCCTCAACTGTAATTATGGTTTCTTCTCATCATTGTGTCGCATCGGATTGAGCGAGTATCGTGAGTCAAGACTGCATCCACACCAGTAAAACACGATACAGGATACTCTGGTAGACCTACATATGATACTGATCTTTAAACGCCCCCGCCCTACCGTACCGCAGATACAAAAAACAACAGGAAAACTTTAACAAAGCAGAGAACGAGAAGATTCGGTACCGGGACAGTATGAGGCGTGGATTCACGGCGATCTCCACCATCTCCTGGTACATAAATAGAGATGCATAAAAAAGCTTCAGCACTCACCCAGCGAGCACCTCACCCAAGAAACTCTCGTTGACACCCCACAGCGCAACGACTCCTTTGACCCATAATCGACAAATGCCCACATCCTTCAGGCGGGTCAATGGATTCCAAACTCGACCATATTAGTAATCCTACAAAGGAACACCGCTGGAAGTGAAGATTAACCGTCGGTGTGACCGGGGCGAAGGGCCGGGTGCAGATAGTCGCCGCCGACGTCGCGGGGGCATATATTTGGCATATTGCCATTGCCGTTGCCCGGCGGTCGCAGGTCTGTCGCAGGTGAGACGTTTGCAGGGTCAACATGTTCGAACGAGAGTTTGGTGTAGATTCGGTTGGCCTCGTTAAGTCCCTAGATACCCCGCTTGAACTCAAGCTCAGGGCCCAGCAGAACACCGCCAACGGCAGCTATGGCTCTGCCTGAACCCGGTGGACGGCCATGAGCATCCTGGAATTTGCCCAAACAATGCCCAGTGGGTTGCTTCGAATTTCGCACCGTTCCCGTAGTTGTTATTCTTGACTTAGAATTCTTCTTGTGAAAACGATGTGCGGGATGGGAGTCATCTAGTATCCGGTACGGAATGCTGCAAAGTTCCAGATATACACCGCAATTGTGAAAAAGCGACTCCTAGAGAAACAACATTCTATCCGCTAGATATTGCAGTTGTGTCTCGTATATTATGGGATATCGTCGCGAGGGCGAGATTCCGGGAAGGATACTTCAGGTATAGATATACCGTGGTAGATGGTTGGACATATCGTAGATACGAATGACTGACGGTCAGTCTAAGGGCTCGTGGCATTTAGACCGTGTCTCAAAGCCCCTGGAATTTTGAGGGTCTATCAAAAAAGCCCCCCTGGAATCTTGCTCCACTCCCGGAGACTGGAGTTTAGGTCAGCTCTACATACGACAAGGGTGTACTGTGGTGTAAGGGTAAGTGCTGCCTCACCAGTTTTTCCCCCATAAAGTTCAGCGTTTTCCCCCATACAACTTAATCACAGCCACTCACTCATTTCATCGTATCTGGCTCAGTGCCGTTGTAATATAAACTAGTGCTTATAATTCGTAATGGTGGTGAGGCACCACTTATTGGCAGCTCCTGGTACTCTGACAGTTACGTTCGAAGTGCGATCTAGAGTGACATTCTCAGGCGGCGATTGTCGGGTTCTGGCTAATGTCGAACCGGCAAGCGCAGGGTGACGCAATAATGGTCTGCGTGTGCGACCTCAGGTCTCCACGGAGGAATGGGCCCCTACCTACTTGGGTTCTCGAGGGCAAGACACCCTTTACACAACGCTCGCGCTTTCAACGTCTACCACGCCAAGCAAGAGGATCGGATGAGTATGTAGAGTACGCAGGCGGAGTGCAGCAGTTGCGGTTGAAGGAGGCCCGGCAGGCGGGCGGTTCGAAGCGTGTCACTGTGATGAGACTGCTGGAATGGCTAGCTGGACGCCGTTATTCGTCGCCGCCTTACGAACCGGCAACAGACGGCGGGCGGGAAAGCGGCGTTCGTGCGCGGCTTGCGGGCATCTACTATGATACGTCATGCATGCTGCGGAACCAAAATAATGATACAAGCCCTTCCAGCCATCCATGGCAGTCAGTTGGTATCTTGAGCTGTGGCATTCCTCAGCGCAGCCTGAATGCAGATTGGCTGTAGATAAGTAGATATGTAGCCTGGATCCCCGCCTGCGCCCGACCGAACTCGAACCGTGATGTCATTATTCACGCGTGCAGCGACCTCAAGGCAAGCGCACAGCATACCAGCGAGTGATATATTGTGATTCACATACACATTCCTCAACATGTGGCAATTTGAACGCGAGCGCGTAGAGTACTTGCGGTTGATATTCCGTGACCGAAACCGGGACCGGAGCTTGCTGTACTCTGAATACGGTGTGGTGGAATGTGCGTCGACGGATGATGGAGCACGGCAAACGCGGTGAGCGAATACCGGTACCATCACCAATGGCGTGAGTGGCCGGATGAAGAACAATGTAGGAGCGATCTGAGGTATATAGACTTGGACAGCTGTGCGGAATTCGCTTGTTGTTTACCAGCAGGATGAGATGGCCCAGTGGAGTTATGATTGACAGCGGAGACGGTGGAGTGCCCTGCAGTTCGCAGATGATAGCTCCAACGATCTACTCTAGACCGAAGTCAACCAGACCCGAGGATTTCCCCTCCTCTTATCGTACTTCCTGTAATATGCATACTCGGAACTTATCATCGTCACCATGTCGGGAGTTGACTCGAAATGGCCATGTACTCTCGGCACCCCTTAATCCTCACCTCCTCGAGTGGCAGGTACCCAGTTTGTCCTCTTTTTTGGTTAGGTAGTTTAGTCATGAATGGCACCGCCAAACTACCATCACAGTCGTCTCTACTTCGAACCGCTACCTATCATTCGAATTGCTTAAAAACCTATCTAAACTCATATCAAAGCCTCGGGTTGTTAGACACTTGCTTCATACCTGGTATCACAGGCATCGACGGATGGTGGGGTTGGACATACGCCATGCGCTATCAGACTAGGTGTGACACTAGTGTTGCCAAGAGACTTTTTCGCTTCCACCACTAAATTCTCAACCTCCGAGAACGACAGAAAGACAACCTTCAAGAACGACAGAACGACAACCTCACCGTTAACACAGATCCGAACCACAGCTCACTACCCTGAGTCCGGCTCTTGCTTCCCTTCTCCCTTCTTTCGGTTAAGCTACACTCCCCAACCTGAGAGAACCACATCACGAGAACAATCATGTCGAAGCCCCCAGCATGGAGGGCACCAATCCCATCGCCAATTCCCCAGACTACTTCTCCGAACCAGTCGCCAATACTACCGTCGCCACGGTCTATCACAAATAGCCGGCCTCCTACGACCTCGCCAGCTCCGGCGTTGGTCCAGCCGACACACAAATCTCCCACATTACAGCCTCGCTCTGCGGTTCCGAGCAGCAGTCGACTTTACCTTCCTACTTCTCAACAGACGCGCGCTCAGGCACAGACCGCCAAAGTTCCCGTTCGACAGAATCGACCTGCAGTTCAACTCAGTACCGGAGGTCTCTACTTGCCCTCCGCGGCACCAATTGCTTCCGCGGCACCAATTGCTTCCGTGAGACCTACTACCGGCAGTCCATCTCAGCCTCATCCTGCACCTAGTTCCGACCGTTCTGGATCTAGACTCACGCTCCCGACTCCGTGTTCGACACCTCCCGTCCGATCAGCTCAGTCACTTGTGCCGAATGTCATACTTAACACGAGCCCTGTCGACATTCCTACTCGCTCACAAGGGCGTCCGGTAGTGCGACCTAATGGTAGCGGACTATACCTTCCCGACCCTGCCCCCTGCGCCCCCACCAATGGTCTTGCTATGCCGAGTGTGTATCCTTCCCCTCCTCACGGATACGCCTCCGTCGGACAGACGAATATTCTCGGCCCGATGGAAAATAGAGGAACAACTGGCCCGACCATGGCTGGCGTAAACCATGGCTCGCTTTCCCAATCACCAAGTCCGCACCCCCACAATACCCCGCCATCTGCACTCCCTGGATCCTTGGCTGCACCTACCGGGCAAAAGCGTAAGAGAATCATCGCTTGTGGTAAGTTCTTTCCCCCGTGTTTAATTCATGGTCTTTTTATTAACTCTCATAGTGAATTGCCACAAGAATAAGAAAAAGTGTTCGACGGGTAGCACATGCGACTATTGCGCAAAGACCGAACGAAGTTGCGTGTACCCCGATACACAACCGGGAAAGTACCGCACGAATGGGCTCACTGCCAAACGCCAGGAGACTGTGAAGGAGAGGAGACGTCTCCAAGAGGACCAGAGAGTGTTCGTGCGTCTACAGATGTTGAAACAACTGCCCGGACTTGAAGGCTACCCGACGATAGGGGGCCAGCCGCCGGTGCTTTTGCAGCAGCAACCACCTTGGGTGCAGCAGCAACAACAGTTACCACATCCGCCAATGCAACAACAGGTGCAACCTCCACCAGTCATTGTTTCGGTCCACGGACCCATCGTCATCGAGGATACCCCACCACCGAGTCCAAAGCCGATTGCAGCCAGCGATGATGACTTGTATTCCAAGTCGCCGCCTCAGTCGCTTCCAACACCAAGTTCTACCGCAGGGGACTCGTCCTGCCTGGACCTGGATTTCAATCTGGACCCTGTTGACTTCGGTACCCCCTCCCCGGTGTCTCCAGCGGAGGGCCTATTTGGTCCTACCACTCCGCCTGCGGAGGGGCCAACCACGCCCCAGTCCCCCGTGACCGCACACGAGCAGCCCATCGAGCAGCCCAAGTTCGATTACGACCTGGGACTGTCTCTCCTCGACGACGATGATCTGGCCGAGCTGGGAATTTTCCCAGAATCCGGGGAGTCGGTTGGTGCGGAGACTGGAAGCGGCGCAGACGATCTCACGAAGTGGATGGACGACGCCCTGCTCGGGGCCACCAACCTTGGCACTTTCAGTGCAGAGGGCGGTATGGACCTCCCTGCAAGTAGTGGCGATCGGGCCGACGCCGATCGTGAGATCGAGCGGTTGTTGAACGCTGGTGACGAGGAGCGTGTCGGTGCGTGCGACAGCGGGTCGGAAAGCGGGTCGGAAACAACGCCGGGTGGAGACGAGGATAAAGAGGAGGCAGAGGAGCGTTGGAGGGCGAACCTCCCGGAAGCCGACAGCGCCGACTTGTTGGTCCGCGGGGACCGCGGTTTGGATAAATCCCTTGCCGGCAACGACAAGTGGATGGAGAAGCTGTTCTTTGAACTAGAAGCCCAGATGCCTGCCTAGTAGGTTGTGCGGATGGAGCGGGGGAGATAATGGGTTTGTATATTGACCGGATTCCTTCTCATTTTTTTACATGCTTTCTCATGATTAAGCGGGAGCGGGATATGGGGGAGTTAATTGTGTTGCGTTTGTTTTCTTTGTTCATCTTTTTTTTTCTTTTCTTTATCTGGTGTTTTTTTTTCGTTTTCTGTTATCTTTTTTTGGACAGGCGGGATAAGTATTCGGGGTTCACTTCATCATCTGTGGCCTCGCACTCCTCACTCCCCTATCTTCGATACGTACCGACGTTGACTGACATCTTCCGACCCTTTTCCACCACCTTCACCTCCACCACCCATCATCAACCAAAGAAAGAGAGAGCTAGCAGGCCGCCGACACTGGGCGTAGATCTGGTTTCATTTTCTCCACCAACAACAAAATGCATGTGAGTGCCCTCCTGTTCTTTTGATTGGGATGGATTGGGGGAATAGATTAGCTGGAATTGAGCCGGCAAATGCTGTGCTAATGGAGCGAATCGCGCGGGAGGAGGGGTCAACCGGATCTGTGAGTGGTCTTAAGGTTGTCTCCGACTCTTTGCGCGGTGGTGGGCGGATGGCGATACTGCACTCGCTAGTGGTCTTCAGGCTTCAGGCTTCAGGGCAGGGAATCTCATGGTTTGGCTGGTCTTTAGAAGGACTACAGATGACCGACCCACAGATGGTCTACGTGCGGATGCCACCGATTGCTCGTGAATGGGGCTTGCACATCCCACACATCCCACACATACCTGGGCAACAGTATAGGCCTTTGCTTTTCACATCCACTCGCTGGCAGAAATTGGCAGGGCTGAGTGCGTTCATTAGATCGTTTGTTTGCGGTCCTGGGGGTAGATACTCCACACCTTCCAGGGGCATTCATCCATACATTCATCTATGATATATCCATCAGATGCAGAAAATACATATGAACATTGATCACACCCACTCACTCCACTGGTGTAAATGCCTAGGTAGCAGATGATATGTAATATGAAGGCAATGGCAATACCGTGCAAATCTATCCGCCACAATTTCAGATCTGTCCTGACACGTCTACACCCCTCCAGCCCGAGGTATCATATCATACACACAGCCAAACCAGCCCGGCCGCCCGCAAATTCCAGCGCGCAGCACGCAATCAATCAATCAACCAATCAATCAATCAAGTAGGAAAGTAAAGTGAAAAATTAGAAGTACAGAACGCCCCCAAACTCCATCGTACTATCGTATGAAAAACCGCGCCACATTTCCGTTCGCATTACTTCACTTCACTCATTGCGCAGTACCTGTTCCAGCTCGTTTTGGTCGTCGTGTTGGTCATGGTCCCCCCCCGCAGGTTGCCTCGTCGGGATGGCTACCGCCCGGCCGCCCGCAAATAGGCGCCGCCAGAACATTGGCGGGTCCAAAGGACGCGCACCGTTGCGGATACGAGGGTAGATGTCGGAGAAGAAGTAGTACACTGCGGAATATCAGTATATCTGCAGCCATGGGACGGCGGGGAGGGGCGCGGAGGGGCGGAGGCATACCATGTCCCACCACGATCCCCAAGAGATCGTCTTTCGGCAGATTGTTATTCAGCAGAAGACTGAACCCGAGGAGGACCCAAGGCAGGTACGGGGCGGAGAAAACGAAGAGGCCCAGAAAGCTAAGCCGGACGCTGGGGTTCCTGCGGGCCCAGATGTAGACGAGACTGAAAGACAGCGGGGAGCCCAGGAAGGGCATGGAGGTGAAGGGCGAGAGCAGGATCAGCGAGGTGGCGCTGTAGAACAGCAGCCAGGCGAACTCGGCGGTCTGTCCGCGGAACGACGATTCCTCCAGGTTGCGCGAGTAGCGCGACATGAAGAAGAGGTGGAACATGAAGTCGAGCGACAGCGGGCCGAAGTATAGGAACGTCGTGAGAAGTCGCCAGTACTGCACATGTCATGTTAGTGGTCCCGCAGGAGGAGTGAATTGCGGGCGCGGGTAAGGTACCTGTCGTTTCCCCCAGACCGACCCGAAGCTGAAGAATAGCTGGAAGGGCGTGACGACTTGGCACTGCACCAGGACCGAGGTGACAACGGCGGCGGTGGTCCACACGCGCGTGACGATGGGGACGTCGTAGTACCATTGCTCGAGGGTGTTGAGTTCTGCCATTGTCGGTGGTTCGATGAGGGTGGGGGTGTGTCGGTGGAGAAGAAGAGCTCAGGTCCCCGTACAAGGTGGCCTCTTTCTTTGCTTGGTGTTTCGGGTTCTCGAGACGTAGTGACCCCAATTGGTGTAAGCGTGTCAACTAGCAGAAGGTGATCCTGGTTGTTTGTTGCCGTGTCACTGAGGGGGCGGGATGAGGCAGGATGATGTGGACTCGATACGAAATATACAAGTACAATTGCCTGTCCCGGCCTAATCTCTACTCACTTATATACATACAATCGCCGCATCCGACGAGGTAGCTTCTTCCCCAAAAATAACCAGGAGGAAATGGACAACGAGAACAAATGTGAACCACGGCTTCTATCTCCCGATCTACAAGCCATATACAGACGAAAGAGAGAAGAGACACCGAAGAGAGAAAGCCGAAAGAATACCAAGAAGTGGCTTTTAGTAAGACCGGGAAATGAAGCAGAGAAAGAGAAAAGTAGAAGAATAGAGAAAAGCGAGAGAAACAGAAAACCTGACCACCCAACCATGCGGCTGCATCATTCATCGTCCGACATTGCCGTAGAGTAACAACGTATAACTCTTCGAACTAGACACTGTTCGTCTCCCGCCTCCCTGCTCCACCCCACTGCCGTCTACCTCGTTCTCGTCCCCCCGCATGTCATAAGTGGATGTGGTATATGGATTGATGATGGAAGGTACGAGGTGTAGACATTTCTTTTTAGAGTGGCACGTTATGCAAACATTTAGAAGGGCATGGAGGGAGTGCTGGGCACTTCGCCTGCGGCCGCAGCCCTTTCTTGCATCTCCATCAGGTCCTCGGGAGCAGCCTCGACCGACACACCAAGACCAACCTTGGCAGCATTCTACAGATCGATCATTAGCTTCACTGCCCTCTTCCGCCATTGCAAGGAACGAAACTTACCTTGCCGTGGTCCATGTCAGCCGAGAAGGTCAGAGTGACAGCGGGTGCAACCCGCTTCTCGAGCAGGCAGCTCAGCTTTCCCTGCGAATCCACCTGGGCGCGGAAAGTAGAGTTCCGGAAATCATATTTAACACCAAGAGTGGTGATGCCCTCTCTTCGCACACCGCCCATCATTCCACCTCCACCGCCCCGTGCCATTCCTCCGGCGAACGTCAGCTGGCAGTCAACACCAGCCTCCACTCGGTCTGCAATCTTCTTGTAGAAAGTTGCCTGTAGAGCTCCCTGACCCTGGAATTGCATTGACGCAACCCAGTCGTCCGATACGTATCGCGCGACATATGACAAGGCGGTCTCGGGGCCGTGTGACGCGGCGGGACGCTGCCAAACCGATTCGAGACCGAGCGAGAGTCGTGGGGTAATGGCCTGGAGATAGGAGCCAATGAAGATACCAGTCAAGGCGCCGTCGAGAAGCGAGGGGTTGAATGCTTTGATCGAGCCGGAGAAGTCGGCGCCGGTGTAGTCGACGTCAGTGGTAAAGACCGACTGGCCAGGGGTGCTGCCGGGGGCGAGCTGCACATTGGTCTTCGAGATCACACCTGGGAGCCATCTGTAGTTGAAGCGACCGCCCACTTGGCCGTCATTGTCGACGGTGGCTTGCATGAAAGTCTATGCATATATGGTTAGCTTCACTGACGTAATGTAGTAAAACTCGCAACCGCCCATGTGCCCGCCACGGAATTGCGGGGAATCGAGATCCGATCCGAGGGGTTGAGAATCGGCACACACAGCCTCTTATCCCATTGCTTCTGCCACGCACCCAGATATGCGCGGGCATGTGGATGCGGGGCGGGTGGGGGGATCACCAACCTTATCGTTTCCAAAGACGGCGGCAAACGTGTAGGGCGGCATTCCCTGGGCACCCATGGTGAAAGCATGCGAAATCTGGAACACTGGGTTCATGCTGAAGCTCTTCATCAAATCCGCCCGCATGCCCGAAAACGTGTGGTTGTTCAAAAACACATCCTTCAGAACCTCTCGCGAAACGTTCTCGACGGTGCCGGGGTTCTTCAGTCCCAAAGCCTGCCTCCGTTCCCGGAACGAGCCTTGCAGAGAGCCGAGGGCAGCGGATATCGGGTTGTCGGAAAGGAAGGCGAGGGGGTTTGAATCAGCCATCGTTGACGACATTGTTTCGGTACAATTCGGCGTGGGGGAAATCGGTAACAAAGAGTCCGGCGTGTGATGTCAGTAATGGTCCTACGATGCCGGGGAACCCTCAACAGGCAATTGGGGTGATGTGGATGGAGGCGGCGAGGTGGATGGTGGGTATGGTGGGGTGTTCCGTACGGGGGGTCGATTAAGAGGGTGAAGCAAAGCGAGCTGGATGATTGTGGTCTCCGAAGTCAACTTTTTTCGACACTGTTCCCGTTCTGTCGGCTTCGCTGCGGGGGCGTAGCGTAGGGATGGGTGCTTAGTTCCCTGCTTTACTAAGCGGGATGAGTGATTGTCTTGCGCCTGGCGCTAGCGGCTAAACGCTGCTGGCGTCTGTGCGGCGTCTATAAATCCAATAGCCGCCACCTCAACCAACCATATCCTCTAGAGTACTCGTCACCGATCATACTTCACCCTCCAAGTTCTTCAAGCACAGCCGCGCCAGAATAACCGCGATAAGCGTCATCCGAAACTCAAGCCATGACAGCCGACATCGAACCGAGCATGAGGGGAGAGGAGAATGGAGAGTTGGCCATCGCTGTAAGTTCCTCCAAGTTCCCACCCGGCTGTCTTCGCGAAAACGAAAACATCATCGAGTCAAATTCGGCGATCCGGCGTCCGGTCAAACAGATCACACAAACATATACCCTCTATCGCGATCGCGACGCTTCCGCTACGCTGTGGAATGCAGGGTCGTCTCGTTTGAGCTGCACCGATACCATCACCACCACCGAACAACTCGGCGATCAGATCAAGCACAGACCGTACCTGACACGACCGACTGCCCGTTTCATTGGCTCACCTCTTTGCAGACGCAGACGACTATCGCACTCACTCCCGCCTCTTATCTGCCGCGCCCCGAACTCCTCAACGAGGTCTTCAACCAGCTGTTTTACGAAATGGACGACAACTACTCGTAATTGAACCCCCTCCCTCTCTCCCCCCGCTACCCCCCATTCCACACCCCCTCGCTGCCGTGCCCTGCTACCCTCACCTACCTCAAATTGCACACCCACATCAGCGACAACTCTACGGAGATACGCAAACACAATCACCCCCCCCCGTGTCCCCGCTATTCGTCATAACCCCGGTTTCGTCGCTACTAGTGCGCCATCAACCTCTAGTGAAACCCGCTTTTCCTTAGCAGCACACTCGTTCCCTACAAGCTGGTTGCTTGCACTCCCCACCGTCATCGCCACCACCTTCACTTTCAAACTCCACAACACTGCAAGATGGAGAACGCGCAAGTTGCTGACTGGCATGGTTTTGCCAATGACTACAGCCACAACATCGAGAATGGAGCTACGAACATCCTGCGCCACCGTCGCCAGTCGAATGTGAATATCGACGCCATTCACGACCTCCAGCTCGATGACTCGACCATGGCGCCTGCCCAGCTCTACGCTACCGAGTCAGGCCGTCTTTTCCACTCCGGCAAGATCGCTATCGTAACCGTTGGACTTCCCGCCAGGGGCAAGACGTATGTTTCCTCTAGGCGCGGGGAGATGTGGGGTTATGTGTTGGTTGGTTGGAGCTGATGGGAATGCAGGCACGTCACTGTCGCGCTTACGAGATACCTGAGATGGTAAGTGTCATGGTCCGTAATATTGCGCGCATTCGCTAAAGACTGTCGCAGGCTCGGTGTCAAGACCCGCGCCTTCCACCTCGGTGATTACCGTCGTGCGCATATGGGACCCGGCAAGGACGTTCCTCATGACTACTTTTTCGTCAACGGTATGGTTTCCCATGATGTTTGCGAGCAAAAACTCTTTGTTGACCGGTTTCCCTATAGCTTCTGCCGAGGCTGTCAAGCTGCGTCAGACCATCCTCCAGAAGTGTAGGCTTGATCTTTACCACTTCTTCGACCACGAGAAGGGTCAGATCGCGATTTACGATGCTGTCAATCCGCTCGCCGAGGGACGTAGGCAGCTGGCCAAGGAGTTCGCCAAGCATGAGATCCAGACCATCTTCATCGAGTCGTACGTCGACGATGAATCGATCATCGAGGAGAACGTGAGAAGCGTCAAGATTTCATCTCCGGATGTAAGCAACAAAATTCACCTGTCCGTAAAGACCTATGCTAATTCACTATGCAGTATGCTGGTTGGAACGCCGACGAAGCGGTGGCGCATTACATCAGCAGGATGAACGCCAAGATTCCGCATTTTGAGACGATGGCAGAGAAAGATCTCAATTACATCAAGGTAAGCGACTTTGATCCATCAAGCGGCGCAAATTCTGATCTGAGCGACGCCAGATGATCAATGCTGGCCAGCGTTATCATGTCAACAATTGCCGGTTTGGGTATCTTCCCAACCGCATTGTGTTTTACCTGATGAACTTGCACATCAAGTCCAGGAAGACCTACTTCGCGCGTGCCGGAAGCTCCGATGAGGAATACTCCTACAAGGCCGATGCTGGCTTGTCCAAGGAAGGTGAAAAGTACGCCAAGCGTCTTGCCGATGCGCTCATGGGACACCGTGAGCAGGAACACCAGCAGTTCCTGGAGCAGGGAGGTTGCGAGACCGAACTGCGGCGTCTTACCATCTGGACCAGCACCAGGCGCAGGACCGTGCAGACTGCGTCCCCCCTCAAGGACTTGGGCTTTGCTATCCGGGAGAAGACCCAGTTGGCGCAGCTTAACCCCGGTGATGCGGGGAAGCTTAGCGATGCGGATCTACGGAAGAACTACCCTGACCATTGGGAGGAGCACCTCCAGGACAGTTACCATCACAGGTATCCGAGGGGTGAGGTATGGACATCCTGTATCTTCAACCCGATAGAACTAGTTTGACTAATTTTTTCGCAGAGTTACCATGACTTGGCGGTTCGCATGGAGCCCATCATCCTTGAATTGGAGCGTGAGAAAAATGATCTTTTGATCATTGCCCACGAGAGCGTTCTCCGCGTCCTTTACGGATATCTGATGGCCTGCTCCACCCAAGATATCCCCAGCTTGGTCTTCCCCAGGAATGAGATCGTTGAGGTGAGCACCTTGCAATCATGCCAATTTTGTGAGGAATACGGCTGACAAGACAAAGATCATTCCTGAGTCTTACAACAACAAGAGCAAGAGGATCAAGATTGCCAACACCAATGCCAAGGGCGAATACATCGCGTAAGCATTCGTAATGAACGAAATAATGCTGCAACGATTGTCGGGTTTTCCTTTTTTCTTTTTCGAAACGAGTCGGCATCGCAGGTGTTAAGGTGTTCACATAAACTGGGTTTCTCTTGTCTGTTTCTCTTGATTGTTTCTTCAATCGTGGTTTTTTTGCTTGTTTGCGATCTACACTGTGCTTGCGTAGGGGATGGGCGGGATTGAATGAGCGTCCGACTTTCGTTCGGGAATAATGTGTGATTTGCTTATTTGTAGGGGCTTGATATCCTGGAGTTTCTTGGGCATTGGGTTTCCTTAGGCGTATATGGGCTATGTACGCGATATGAATCCAATGTCTTCAATGGGTAGTCTTGCTCTTGTCCCGGATGGTCACAGACTGTCAATCATCGACGGCTGCTACGGTAGGCTCGCTGCTGATCCTATCCTCTCGATTATGGGCTTAATAGCCGAGCGACGCAATCCTGTCACTAAATTTGTAGTTGACTTCAACACTCGGGAACGAGTGATAATTGACGACTCGCATCGGATAATTTCAGCTACTAACCGCAAGCATTCCCCTGTGTCATCCCACTAACTGAAGCCACACATGCTCTAAACCCACCTGTCCTCAAGCTCCGTCCACCTCTCACCGTAACCAACAACCACCACCACATTCACGATGCACGCCTCCAAAGTGCGCGTTCAAAACGTCTTTGGCTTCTTCACGACCGTCGCGTTCTGTGTGGGGATCCTCACGGCGCTCAGCGTACTGCTCTACCCGGCATCTCCCACCGCATCCGTCGACGTCGTCAAGGTCCGCGTCGTCAAGGGCCGTCCAAACTACTACTCGTCAAAGCAGCAGGAATATGCTTTCATCACTTTCGATCTGGACGCGGATCTGGGATCCCTCTACACTTGGAACACGAAGCAGGTGTTCGCCTGGCTGAGCGTCTCCTACGCCGGCGACGAGAAGCGCACTAAGCACGTACGCACCCCCCCATCCCCCCCCTCCCATAACTTTACTGACCAGAACCCACGTACAGTCGGACAACGAAGTAATCATCTGGGACGCGATCCTGCCCACCCCCTCCGTCTCGCGGCTGTCGCTGCGCAACGAAAAGGCAAAATACAACATCAACGACATTGGCGGACGCTTCCTGGAGCGCAATGCTACCGTCCGCTTCGGCTGGAACGTGCAGCCGCATGTGGGCGCGCTGACGTGGGGCGTTGTCGAGGCGGAGGGTGTAGTCGAGGAAGGGGATCTGGAGAGGGGCGAGGGGCAAGGGGTGAAAGGGAAGCGGGGAGAGGGGTGGAGCTTTAAGTTTCCGCCGATCGGTGGGAAGAAGACGCCGGCTGTGAATAAGGAAAATTCTACATAGCTCGTAGGAGGCGCGGAATGGGGGCTTGTGAGGGAGGATTTCGGCAGTCCACGTTCGTTGGGGGGTAGGAAATTGAATGATACCAGTTTCGTCGTGTTGCTGGGGTGGTGATATCGTGGCTATCGTGTCGTTCGAAGGTGGTTGCTGTGTAGTCGCGACTTGACTCTTGGAATATTTGCTTCGCGGATTGGCGACCGCCGGTGAGTCGGTGACCATCCGACGGTCGGCATGATACTACTAGTATATGGCGAGTCCCGGCTGTTGGGCTATGGGGCTCATCGAGATCATGAAATGATGCGGTCTCGGAGTAGTGGAATAGTGGCCGTAACTCTCAACATCAACATCGATTGATTGTTTTCCAGCTGCAATCCAGGACTATGAGTACCGAGTACGGAGTGATACTTCATGACCGTCTTTGCCAGTAGGTACAGTATGAGAAAACCCAGCAGTGAACACGCCTCTCCAGAAGCTTTGTCTACAGAAATCTTCCAGCAGCTTGAATCCCCAGCGCCTTTAGATAGTCCCTTTGGCTGTAGAGACTGTGGCTGTACTGTGGCCCCGGCCCCGTCCCGACCGCCTCTGGGGATTCGTGGCCAGTGCGCGATATATCACTCATCAGTCACCCTCACCACCGGAGAAAGAAAATAAAAAGTACAATACATTGCTATCATGCTATCATAAGTAAGTAGTTTTACAACGGTAAGTAAGTACATAAGGTAAGTAAGAAGCAGGTAGGCTGAACACGAGTAAGTACACACATCATGTATGATCAAGCAAAATAATACAAACAATGGAAACAATGGAAAAAAACCACACCACTCCACTGCACTCCACTCCACCATCGTACCATCACCACGGATCCTCCCACCAAGTAGTGATAAAAGAACATCTGAATTCAAATTTTAACCCCCCAAGCCCCAACCCCAAATCGTTCCCTCCGCCCATCCCCCATCCCCATCCATAACCAACAAAACACCCCCACCCCTGAGCCACAAGAGAAAGGAGAAAGGAGAAGAGAAAAGAAAGGAGAAAGGAGAAAGAGACAAGAAGAAGAAGAGAAGAACAAGAAGAACAAGAAGAAAAAAAGGCGTTGCACATACTTTCGGAAAAAAAAAACTCACTGACGACGACGACACACATACAGCATAAGCCCGTTTAAACCTTCTGAATCCGTTCGTAACCCAAACACCACCACCGATTCCCACCCGGTTTGGTTCAAAGGCAACAGACAGGAAGGAGAAAAGAAAAACGAAAGTAAGTGGAAAAGAAAACGAAGGAAACACCGTATACAAAAACAAAAAGAATAAAAGAAGAAGAAAAGAAAAAAAGAAGCGGCGTGTTTGTGCCCCTAAGACGCGATTGCAATTCGTAACGACGAGGACTACACACAAAACGAAGCAATCAAAGCCTACAGCCAAACGAAACCCTTTCTCTCGCATTTAAAAAGTCCTTTCCTCTTCCCATCCCCTCCATTCATCTGCCCAATGCAACTCGAAGAAAACAGATGCCACCCAGTTTCAAATGTGCCGTAAGCCGTCAGCCATTCTTTGTCGCCAAAGCCCGGTGTAGCGAGAAAAACAAACAAACGGAATTTGCCACGAGAAGTAAAGGGAAACAAAAAAAGCATTTCAATGAACGGAAAAACTTCCAAAGGAGACCGATAAAACCAGGAGAACCACGGCGGCTCAGTCTAGCTTCGCCATCATGTCGTCCTTCGACATTGGCGTGAAATTATTCAAGTCTATCCCCGACTCGCTTAACGCCTGACGAGCATGAACCGGTACCAGCCTATCGTTCAGCTCGGGCATGATAGAAAGCTCTATAAAGTGGTCAGTCAACCTGGGGATTTTGACGACCGGGGGAGGCAGCTCAGGCTATTACGTACCATGTTTGTTGAAGTTAAAGAGGGGTGGCAGATCCCGAAGAACACCAGGGTGGAGACCACGAGAGTCGGGGAGCTTGGTGTTCGGATCGCGTAGGTCGTCGAAGAACGGGTGCGTCAGCGCCTCGATCGCGGAAAGACGGTTGGTGGGCGTGTATTCAAGCAACCGAGAAATCAAGTCAATCGCATCCGGCGACGCCTTACGGAAGACCTAGATATCTCACCCCGTCAATACCTAGCGACCGCAGTGGAGGCACTGGTTGGATGGACGGACCTTGTTGAAGGGGTGCGGTTTGATCTGAGGGAACTTGTGCTCCATGTAGTTCGGGTTCATGGTTCGGATCTGCTCCCGTGTCGGCGTGCCCAGAACCTTGATGATCTCAACGAGTTGATCGATTCCGGATTCTCCGGGGAAGAGCGGCTGGCCGAGCATCAGTTCCGCCATCACACAACCGGTTGACCAGACATCTGTGTTGGTGTCAGTGGGAGGGCACAGGCGCAATTGTTGTAGAGGAGGGGGTGTGTCCACTGACCGATCTTGGGCGTGTAATTAGTTGCGCCAAAGATCAACTCGGGGGCACGGTAGTAGCGCGAGCAGATGTACGACACATTGGGCTCGTTCTCGACCAAGATCTTTGCACTCCCGAAGTCGCAGAGCTTCAACACACCGGTAGAGGGGTCGAGCAGGAGGTTCTGAGGCTTGATGTCCCGATGGCAGATCCCTTGCGAATGGATGTATGCCAGTGATCGGAACAGCTGGTAAATGTAGAGCTTCACTTCTAGTATGGGCATGGTGGTCTTCATCTTGTGGAAGAACCTTGAAGCCCTGTAGACCGTTTCGGGGACGAATTCCAAGACGAGGTTCAGGTAGACTTCGTCTTTCTAGGGTCCGAAGTTAGCAATCTCTCGACGAATCATATGCGTGCATGTTTCATCAGGAAATAGGTAACGGACCCGCTCGCCATTCGAGTAGTAGAAGGCCTTAAGCTCCACAATGTTCGGGTGCCGCACGATACGCATGATCTGTAGCTCACGGTTCTAAAGAGGGGACGGGTCAAGGAGTTAGCAGACGGAACACACGCATCCAGAATCTTCATCACCACCATCACCATCACCATCACCATCACCATCACCATCACCATCACCATCACCATCACCATCACCATCACCATCACCATCACCATCACCATCACTGTCCAGAGATGGCATACCTTGAATCGCTTGTCCTGCAGCACTCGCTTGATGGCGGCATCCTCGCCGGATGGAGAAAGCTTGGTCTGGAAGACAACACCGAAGGAACCGTTCCCGACGATCTTGCATTGAGTGTACGTAATCTCTCGCGTCTCTCCCGTCGCACCATCCTGTACCTTTTCACGGATGACCTCTAAACGCAGACAGCAGCACAAGTCAGTCCCAAAATCCGAATCCATGAGCATCATAGCCTCGCGAGCGAGCAATCAGACGGATCGGCGAACTAACCCCCCATCCGCAGTCCCGAGAACTGTGCAGGTCTACTCTGCGACATGATGACAGCCCGCTGACCACTTGTTGCTACCGTTGAGTTGAAGGTTGATGAAAGTCGATGCGTAGGGCGGGACGAAGACCGATGGTGGTGGTGGTGGTGGTGGTGGTGGTGATGTTAGTGGTTGTGGAGGTGAAGGTAGTGGAGGAGGAGGAGGCGATGGTAGAAGCTAAAGCGGTGGTGGTGGTTGTTGTTTGAAGAAGCAAGGAACCGATAAGGTGGATGGATTGGAGAACAGGGACGTGTGCCGGTAGGAGCCCAGAAGCCAAACGATCGTGCCGAGTATCGAGCAGATTTCTTTTTTTTCCTGCCTAGCAACCACTAGATAACCGACACGGAGAGCTGGGACAAACAGTTACTCGATGACGTTCGTGGGGAGAGGGGTTGGTTGAAGTGGAGGTGGATGTGGTAGTGGGAGGAGGTGGAGGTGGTGGAGGGTTGCTGGTGGGATGAGAGGTGGGTTGAGAGGTGGGCTGGGGGGGGGGGAGGGAGGGGTGGGGCGGCGGTTCGCTAGTCGTAGAGGTAACCGGAGGACGAAGGGCTCTTGGAACCGACTCGACGTAAAAACCAGACCTTCAAAGGCTGCCGAACAACAGATATACTATAAGATCCCGACAAGGCGATTCGAGAAATAGCGACCAGAAGCCGCACTGGATATCAAGTAGTTGGAGAGAAGTTTTGGGAAAAGCGGAAGCGAAGCGAACGTGCCCACAGAGGCTAGCGACCGTCCGATAGTTTACAAGCCGGGATGTCGCACGAAGGGTCCAGTCGGAGGAAGGGCGGACGAACGGCAGCAACAGTAGCAGAAGGGACACGAATGAGCGAGTGGGGGGCAGGCGGCGGCGGCGGGAGCGGCGGCGGCGACGGGGTTTGTGGTTGTGGTGGTTGTGCTGGGTGTTAGGGTAGTGAGGGGGGGGGTAGCAGGCGGTCACCGGAGGTGGGTACGTTTGGTGGTAGTGGGGTTAAGGTTGGCGTGGGCTGTCCGGTGGTGTTGTCCGAGGGGCTGGCTAAGTTTGGGTCGGGAGGGGGCGGGGTGGGGAGGGGGGGAGGGGGGGTGGGGGGGGTGGAGGCGGAGAGGAAGGGGAGGGAGGGAGGAAGAGGAGGGAGCGGAGGGAGGGATGGAGGGAGGGCTAGTTTGGGGGTGGTGGTGGAAGAATACAGATCGCGGAGGATTGGAGGGGGGGGTGGAGGGACTGTGAGCGAGAGAAGAGGAAGGAGAGGAATGAGGAGGAGAGGAGGGGGAGGGAGAGGAGGAGGTAGTCGGAGGTGGCTGGAAATGGGCTCGAGCAGGAAGTGGGCGAACGAGCGAGCGAGAGGGCGAGGGAACGATCCGGACACACGCAGAGGAGTTCGAATAGATCAAAGCAAGTTGCTGTGCTGCATGCAACTCAAGCGGCTTGGGTCCGACGGTATACGGTGGTACGTGGGTCTATGTCGCGGTGGGCAGGGTGAGGTGATGGCGGCAGTGGAAGTGGCAGTGGGAAGTCGGTGGCAGTATGTATCGGAGTCGGAGAGGGGGCAGACGTGGGCAACAAAGCGTCACGACCAGAACGAGGGGGGGCAGGTGGTGGTGGAGTTGGTTGTGGTCGACCAGCTCTCACCTGGCCTGCCAGTTCTCGTTCTTTCTACGCAGCTTTTGGCTTCGCTGTTCTTACGTTTGGCCGCGAACAAAGTACTCACTTACTTACATAGAGTAGGTAGCATGATGCCAGCGAGGCCGGCCTAACGAGAGAAGGGCTTATGGAAAGGCCGGACGATGGAGCCCGGGCGAGGGAGCGACGGTTGACCGCCAGACTGACCGCCAGTCGACCTCGAGGGACAACACTACAAGGAGGGGTCAACCCACTAGTTAACGCTCTCTATGTACTCTACTCTATCACTCACCACTCCACCTCCACCTCCACCGCTAAAGGCGCATGTCGAGAAGTCAGTAACCACCTCCTCCCTGTGTAGAGCATGTACTCTACACAACTGACGCCCAGAGAGACGGGAAAAAACCACTCCCCCCACCCCGACATATCACTTCCCCCTCCATTTCTGTCAAGTCCGGGATTCTGGCAAGAATACGGCGGTCCGACTAAATACTAGTCCGTTTGTAGCGGTTCCGCTGCTCGCTCGCTCGCCGTGGCTGTTGCCTGTGCCCCGCGGTTGTTGATTTTGTCCCTCAACGGGAAAAGATGAAAAAGTAAAAAGAAAAGAAATGAAGGAGAAAAAAAAACAGAAGCCCGGTATAAAAGCGAACTCGTCCGCTGCTGCCCCTCTCCTGATGAGAGAGTTGCGATCTGGAATGCAGGGTGCCGCCGGCGGCGGGCAAGGTATCTAGGGCGTTGTCGAGATGGGTTGAGCGAAGACGATCGCAAGGAAGACCAGGACCAGGACCACCAACCAACGGACAGGCAGGCGGGCGACATCAATACTCACTCACTCACTCGCTCAGTCCCTCTCAGCTACCTACTCGGCCAGAATGCTGTCGGCATCCAACCCACAAGGCTACGGTTTGCCGTCATGATGTGGCTGGCTGGCTGGCTGGCTGGCTGGCTGGCTGTGCTAGATCATCTGGATAAGGGCTAACCTTCGATCAAAGACACTCGCACACAAGCCTACCGCGTCCTGCGCATGCCCCACCACCTCAAACAGCATTCGAATCTGGGGGGGTTTGCCTCGAAGTCACTCTTCTCCGCGTCGGACACGAAATCCCCCCCTCTTCTCTGAAAGCCAAAGTATCTCCGTGGCCACCCCCGAACCTGGAAAGCAGAAAACAACCTGCCGACCCCCCGGGGAAACAAACACTTCTGTCTGGGAGGGAGGATCTACCTACCTGGCACTGATCCGCAGTGCGAATCCCGCAGCACTACTTATGCTATGCTATGCTATGCGCAGATATATATCCATCAAACAACCCCGGGCTCCTGGGGACAAAGCAAGGCCATGCCAAGCCTAAGCGCCACTGTGGAGTGGGGGGGTGGGATGGGATGGGATGGGATGGGAATCATGGAAAACTGACAGAAGCTTCAACACACACGGTGTGGTAGTGGTGGTGGTGGTGGACCACAGGCATCCGTACTTGACACAAAAGGCGGCGGCGCGAAACCGTATCCATCGAGCCCATCGAGCCCATCCGGCCATCGCTCTCCGGGAACGGGCTTCGGATGCCCGACGCGGTGGTGGTGGTGGTGATGGTGGCGCCGGCCAGGCTACTCTGGGAATATATGTTCGAGTGAATCGATGGGGATCGGAGAGATGCGATGTCCCTCCCCCCCCCCTCCCTCTCTCATCGTCATCGCCGGCAGAGGGGAGGGGGATTCGGACATCATGCCTTACATCATCAGCAGCATCATCACTCCCCAGTTTCCACTTTTGGCGGAGGAAGGAGGAGGAGCTGGTGGTGGTGGTGGTCGTTGCGATGGTTGGTAGTGGAGGTGGTGGTCACTGGTCACTGGTTGCGATGGTGGTGGTGGTCGCGATGGTGGCTGCTGCCGTTTCTGCTGCTGCGGTAGACGGGAAAGTTCTGTTTTGGGTGTCACGCGCTCATTCCTAGCGTGTGAGCATTCATAAATAATTCCTCGTTCGGTGCTGTGCGGTACGGTGGATGCGGTTGTGCGCTTCAGACCAGAAATCCAGATCAGATCAGACAAGGCACAGACCACTTCACTTCCACTTCCACTTCGATTGCGATTTGATTCGCCGCCGCCGCCCTAAAAATGTCCCTAAAATGATTGATCACGCAAATGGATCGTGGATGGCAGCGGACGACGGACGTCGTCACGCCGTCAGCAGAGCAGAGCAGAGCAAAGCAAAGCAACAGACCGCCGTTTGCTGTTGCTCCTGCGCTGCTGCTCCTGCGCTGCTGCTGCTGATGCCCCTTGTTATCGCTATCGGTGACAGGGGGGAGAGGGAGGGAGGGAGGGAGGGAGGGAGGGGGGTGGGGGGTGGACCGTGGGAGGGGAGGGGAGGGGGAGGGGGGGGAGGGGGGTAAAAAAACTCCACCGGCGCCGCTGGCTGCTGCTGTGCCCTTGTAAGCTGGCTACATGGTAGAGTACCGCATCCTGGAGCTCTGGAGCTGAGAGTGCGCCGTGCGCCGTGCGGGCCCACGAGAAACCTCAACTCAACTCATCTCACCTCACCTCATATCGTCCCATGGCTATTTTCTCTTTTTTTCTTCTTCTATTTTTTTTCTCTCTCTTTGGCACGACCGTCCCGTCCCGTGCGGCCCTCATCCATCGACTCCTCTCATCACGCACTTTCTCTTCAGCTTTCTCTTGCAGCGCTGCAATGTCCCGTGCACGCTTCATAGGTACCGGTATGAACGGTACTGGCGCTGTGAGTACCGTAGGTATCTGTATTCTGTATGTATCTCCAAACTGCCTCTGCCTCTGCCTACTCTACATACTGCGCATCACAATGTGAGCACATCCAAGCCACGGCGCTCAACGAATCTCAACAAATCTCGACGAATCTCGACGGATCTGGACGAATCTCGAGACCTCGACATGCTGCAGCCTTTTCTTTTTCTCTTTCTTTTTCTTTTTCTTTTTCTTTTTCTTTTTCTCTTTCTTTTTCTTTTTGAAATCTGCCTGCATCGATCTTGACTGTCTCAACTGCGACTTTCAACTCCAGCTCCAACATTTAAGCGGCCAGTTCTGGTTAGAGTGGTATCGTTAAGGGAAAACAAAACAACAGAAAACAAAACAAAAGAAAGTTTACCTACGCTGCGTGATTGGCCTGACTGGCACAACTTGTTCTGGTACTCTACAACTCAAGTGAATTTCGAAGGCTGCTGCTGCATGCACTGTTAGAACTTGGTCACCACCATTGCCATCACGTGCAGAGGAAGGGAGTGATTTTCGGTGCTGCCGGGGTTTTTTTGGACTGATGGGGGTTATGGGGGTTATGGGGGTTATGGGGGTTTTCGGGGGGTTATGGTGACTGAGATCATGGGAGACATTTACCGTACTCGGCATACTCGCTGCTGCTACTACGATGAGCATCACCGGGTCTCGAGTTCTTCAGTTCTTCGGGCCCGTGGGAATAGCAAGGAATGCAGTGCAGTACAGTACTCGGCGCCGTTCTCCCGGCACGAGCCACGAGGTTGGATTGTCAATCGGACCTCTGTCGGTCCGGTCCGGTGTCGAGTAATGACAAAGACGGACGGGACGGACGGGACGGACTATTTCTCGGTCCGTTGGCGAGCATCCAATGCCATCGGTTGAAACTTGCAAGAGCAGCGATTTATTTAGATATAGGCTTCACCTGTCTGCGACGGATTGCATCCTGCAGGTCTGCAGGTCTGCCATCGAAAATTGTATGCACATCCATTCATTCGTTAGAAGAATCCAATGCACAGGACGGGCGGCGGTGCTGTAGTGCTGTGGCTGCTTGGAACCACCATATCTATGGCTCTTTTACTTACCGTGACTCCGTAAGAATTAAATACAGTCTTCACTCGTTATATATTGGGCCTGTTCGGTTGTCAACTGCATTTTGAATCTACCACACAAGATTGAGATGCAGTTTGCAACCCCGAGTTTCCGGACAGGGTGACCGTTCGGCACACCACCGCAAGCCAAGTTAACGACTCGAGAAACTGCATATTATCGACTGAGCCACAACTATACAAATAAACTCTACAGACAACCACCAGTATATACCAGCGTAGCCCCGAAGTCGGAAAAAAGTGTGGCGTGCCGTTGAATATTTGGGTTGCCGAACGGGTTACGGGTCATCAGGGGACTCGGGAGTTGAGAGTTTGCAGCTGCAGCTGCAGCTCTGGTAACCTTCAACTCGTCAAAACCGCGGATTTTGAAAATGCAGTTGATAATTGAACAGGCCTTATAGTAGAGCCGTAACTCGAATGCCCTAAACAACCACAGGTATTAGGAATATAGTTCTATCCAATCGGTATATTCCTACTGCCATCCAATGCGAGTCAAAGCTGCCAAACGCTTCCAGAAAGAAAAAGAAAAGAAAAAACAGACTTTTTCTCTTTGTACGAGATGTGACGTGTGATGTGTGATGTGTGATGAAAGACGTTCAACGCGCTGCCAAGAGGCTGAATAATGAATTCCCTTTCGCGGCCATCCCTCGACATCGACATCGACATCGACATCCCACGTGTGCACTCACGAGTCACGGGTAGACAAGAAGTATCGTACTCTATATACATAGAGGAAGGTCCGAAAAAGCTCAACTGCGTCGACCCTGCGCCATGTTTGTCAGACGGTAGACCTTGTTCCCAGGCGCTGGTTGGTTGGTGCTTGTTGGTGCTGGTAACTACATCCACATCCACATCCGCTGCTTCCTCCTTCTTGGACGTGCAATCGATGTGGTGGCGGTTGGCTGGGTTTATTATTTCCCGGCAATTCTTCTCTCTCTGAGTCTCTGCCCCCCCCCCCTTCCCCCCCACTTAACCGTTTTCGCGCAGACATGACGACAGAGCCACACTTTCCTTGTATGTATGATATGTAGGGTTTCCTCAAGCGAGGGCTTCATCTTCGCCATGTGCCAGAAAACATAAGCACGGGACCGTAACGGCAGGGGTATGTATCTAATGGTGGTGGTGGTGGTGGCGGCAAGAGGCAAAAGGCAACAGGCAGGCAAATAAAATCATCAGGTTTCGTTGAAGACTCAAGAGTGCTGCTCTATTGCAGTTGCAGTTGAAGTTGCAGGGGATGGGTGCCACATTATGGATGGATATGGATGGATATGTGGGATATGTGCGAGCCGCGATCTCCGCTGCTGCTGCTGCTGCTGCTTCTTGGAGCTGCAGTTGCCGCACTCCTCCCACTACCACCATGAATGCTGCTGGATTATACCGTACCGTAGTTATACCGTATGCAAGGGTTCTTGGTGTGAGAGCCTGAGAGGAGCTCGATGCATACATAGGATTTGCCTACTGGGCATCGTTTGGCGTTCAGCCAATAGAATGGCAGAGTGAGCTTCCATCAATACCTGGTATAGAAACTAATCGCAGGATAACTATCACCGCACACTTCAGTGAAGGTCGTCTTGAGTCGCCTTCCCTGGCTAGATAGTATTCTTCCTTCAACGTTTTGCCCACCGGTACTCTCTTATAGTAGGTATGCGATTGGGTTTTAGCTGTTGGGTGAATGGACGGTAAATGGTACGATATAGTACCGTGTCGTGTCGTATATTTCCCACCAGCGAGGTATAAACAATACCGAACTGCATCTTCCGCACCAAACGCGCTTGGCCATCGCATATTCCACTTCTACTCCAGTCGTCAAGCCACCCGAGCGGCCGAGCCCCGAACCACTTATCCACGCACACAAAGAGAGTATATATCCACCAACCCTAGCAATATGTCCGCCCCGTTAAGCGCCGCCATCGCGATAGGCACACTCTGAGTCCGCCGAGTCGCACGCAGGTATCGGGACCACCGCCACCCTCTGCTGCCCTCCGCCATCCCAGCTGCTCCGTGCAAGGAGGGCCGGAGGCTCGGAGGCTCGGAGGCTCGGCCGAGTTCCGACAACATGCAATTCGCATGCAGTGTCGAGTCGACTGGACTGCACCCAGACCTGTGCATGCCACGGTCCCGCGGCGGCAGCGGCGGCGGCGGTAGGTAGGTGGAGTGCGATTGACGATCATGGGGCACATGCCACAGATGGTACTTGGCTTGGTGGTGGAACTAGAGTACTGGCGGGTTGGGTACCGTAGCTGACGGCGTTCAAGCACCAACCCCCCCCCCCCCCCCCCCCACCCTCTCCCCCCCTTCGCCCCCTCCACACGCGCGCGACACACACACGCGCGCGGCAGATGTGCTCGCTCCACAGTGCCCTTGTGCAGAAATCGACCGTCGACGCTCTGTACAGTAGTAGGTACCTGTGTAGCCATAGACACCGCGTGCCCGGCACCTGCGAGGGCCTGGGCGGCGGGAAGGCGAGGAGGCGGGCTGCGGGGGCTACGGTACCTGTACGTACGACCTGTATCCTGTGCTGACGAAGCCTGAAGCTTGAAGGGCAATAGGTAAGAATTCAAGGTACGTTGCTGTGTATCGGCTGGGACCCGGGAGGAAGTGAAACGGCTGGTATGATACGAGGTACGTACCGGAGTGACACTTCCATGTCGAAACTCTGCACTACTCGGTACGGTACCTACCTCCTGGGTAGTATACCTAGTATAGATCGGCGGCAACGCCATCCGAGCCCTATGAAAAGTGCCCTGCTAGGTACATATATGTAGATACCAGTGCCGGTACTGCTCATTACCTATGGCTTCTTCTGGGAGTGTCGTAGCGATTTCGCTACTGTACATGTTTTGGGAGCATCGAAGACTACTGGTTAGTACACCACCGCTTATCTGATCTCATCTAGATAATCTTGCCATGACCGTCGCAGAGAAAGTTGAAACCCACTCCGCCCACCAGGGCAGCGCCCATCCCTCGTTTCGGGATAGACATAGGATCCTATTCGCTGGATCTGTTCCTTGCATCCTTGCCGCCTATGTGCCTGGCAATGACAGCTATTGCGGTTGCGGGAACTGTAATGGGTAACTGCTGCCGTTCCCGGGTCCGCTACACAAGTTGCCGGTAGAGTAGGTACCATAGTGCTGGAGGGGTAACCAACGGCGATTACATCTCTGGGCCAACCAGAGTGCCGTAGTTGACGTCCAACGAATCCGAGTGAGGATCAATGACGCATCCCAGGATGAAACATGAAGTCCGAGATGTCCGGCCATGCGTTCACGCTTGAAACAGGAGGGTTACACGGACACTGCACTCTCCGGCATCGCCAAGCTCCTCCTCAGCGGTTGCGGCTGATCCGATCGAGCCCTCGCTCGGCACCACCTTCTCTTCGCCGTTCAGTCTTCACAACGCCTCCCGTAGGGCGTACGCGTGACATCCGGCGTAGATATACCTGGTACCAACTGGCAACCAACCGTCTCATCCAGCCCTTGCTTCGTTTCCCTCCCCCTCACGCAACATCCCCCGCCCTCAAGGCTCATATCATACCGATGTCATATGGCACGCGCAACGGGTTTCGTGCGAGCCTAGACCTGGCGAGCACTCGTGTACCTACTCTATATACGTATCTCAGCCGGCTGAGTCCCTGGGTATAATCCTGTCACCGGGGAGGGGGGGGGGATGATGACGAACCACAGCACCGCGGCCTGCGGTCAACGGCCTCCGGTACAGCCTTCTCCGTCGCCAGCTGCCCCTCGCCTCGCCTCGCCTCCGCGACGACCGTGTGGCGGGTACGGTACGGTGCGGTGCGGTATACACACACACACACACACGAATCTTCATACGCACACACACATGCAAAGGTCCTACGGTAGTTGGGGATGTGTCCGGGAAATTGACACCCGCTCAGTCGGTCTCACCGTATATGCGCCTCAAGCCTGTGTGCAAATCGGTGAAACTCCGCTCCAGCCCATCTCCAAGACTAAGTCCAAGCCCACGGTGCACACTGGTCACTGCACTGGCCACGGCACTGGTCACAGCCCGAGCCTGAAGATTGAGATCCCGAATATCTGGTAAGTGGCAAAAAACAAAAACATTGCATAGTTAAGAAGTAGGTACTCGGCTGATCTCCCCCTTCTCACCCCCTCTTAAGGCTCCTGATATATTGCGCGGAACTTGGAGGGATAGGATGTGATTTGGATGAATGGATGGGTTGACGAGTGGAATTGACGGATGGGATTGACGAACGGGATTGGATTGGATTGATTGGAATTGATTGGGATGAATGCTGTGAGACAGCGGCTTGCGGCTTTGCGGGAGAATCAGAAAGAGCCGAAGGACGATGGCCCGCTGGACCACATACGGTAAATGGAGCCATCTAATTTCGAAGTTCAACGTTCAACGGATGGTAGTGGTGGTGCTGAGGTGGCGGTGGTTGCGAATGGGAGCTCGAGGTGCCGTGATATTAGATGAACCGATTAGTTGCCCCGCCATCTGATTGGCCCGCGCCACCAGTTGGACAATCAATAAACCCACGGTTGAACCGTTCAACCGTTTACTACTATGTACTCGGAGGCTAGTTAGCACGATGGTGGTGGTGGTGGTGGTGGTGGTGGTGGTAGCGGCGGCGGCGGGCACTCGGCCTGGACGCTAACTAATGGGGATCAATAGGATGAAAGCGATATGTAAAAAAACGAAAATGCAGTGTGAGCACCCGGCAGATTCTTCATCTTCTTGAGGACGAGCGAATTCAGCAAGTAGAGACTTCTCGGGCTGGGCTGGGCCGGGCTGGGCGAATGCAGCTGCTGTAGTGCTGGATCCTTCGCTAATCGGAATGCGTGGTGTACCCTTACCTTAACTTGGGGCCTTGGGCGCACAGCACAGTGGGAGCTTTTTGTCGTTGTTGTTGTTTTTTGTTTGGCCGAAGTCTGGGTTCGCGCAAGCTCCGGAAGCGGAATACGTACCATGTACCCATCACGATTCACCCAGACCTCAGGAACACAATTGGCTGCTGATGATCATTTCCCGATGCTGCTCCAGAGCACGGACATTTCCTCCAGGCACAGGCAATTGAGTCGAGCAAAGGGGGCTGTACATATCTGATTCCCTCCGTAATCCCCGATTCCTCAAGGGCCCTGTCCACTGCAGTGTGTGCACAGCAATATGCAACGGGAACAAGCAATGCAATGTTTCCTCACTCGTTCGTTCGCCGCCGCCGGAGCTTTAATTGTGACGTGTATCATGTGTAAAGATTTTTTTCCTTTTCCTTTTCCTTCTCCCTCTGCAGGTGTGTGTGTAAAATGTGTGTGTGTGTGTGGGTGGGTGTTGTGGTATTAAAAAAAAATACCGCTGACATGTACCTTTCTCCAATTCCCGCGGCCGGCGGCGGCGGGGACGGCGGGAAAGGGTCGTGCACAGTGCACACCTCCCCCCTAGCTGACAATCTGCACGGTACCATCATCGTTTCGATTCGGACCGTCGCGGCTGCTATGGACCATACTAGTAGGAATCGAAGCTTCGACCTCTTTCCCTGCCCGTTGCTGTCAACACACACACACACAAACACACACGTGGGACATATTGCTTCTGGCAATCTACTAGCAGATAGTTGGGGATTCGCGGCTACTCTACTCTTGAGTGATTGGGATTGAGATTGACGGCGGGTGTTATGTTAGAGTGTGCAACGTGTTTTGCAGGTAACTAACTGCGGTATACGGTATACGGTATACGGTGGATCACTCGGCCATTGACTTCTCTTGTGTGTGTGTGTGTGTGTGTGGGAGCGGAGAGGGTGGAGCAAGTGTTCCCGTACTCGAGCACATCCATTGGCTGGCCGGCCGGTTGTACCTAACTGGCTGGAGCCTGGGCAAGACAGCCGAATAACAGCAGTTACAACAGCTCGCGGAGGAGATAACAGGATCAATGGATTACCTAAAAAGTGACCCGCATATATACTCGTACCAGGCTTACATACGGATACAGGCGATATGTAGGTAAGTGGGTATCGATAGGATCACTCGCACTTCAAATAAGGGTCCACCAGTCAGCCAGCTTCCCAGCTCCCGGCTCCCAGTTGGATTGGATTGCAGTGAGGCCGTGCGTGCGTACATACATGGCCAGTAGTAACCACCACAACCACCACCATCACCATCGCCGCCGTCGCCGCCGCAGCAGCCATATCACCGAGCCCCTCCCCCCTCCCCCTCCCTCCTCCTCTTCCCCCTGTCCTCGTGTGCTCGTTGGCCGGTTTGCTTGCTTGCTTGCTTCTGGATGATCGCCCATGCCCATGCCATGCAGGCGCAGGCGCAGAAGCAAAGCAGAGCAAAAGCATACATTGGCTTCGAGTTTCCGAATTATCACCTGGCCCACTCTTGACCGTAGTTAACCCCGTACCCTACATACAGCGCACTTCTACTCGCACGTCATACATCCATACATCCATACATCCATACATCCTACGGTACTGCTCGAGGATTCTACAGTATCCCGAGTTGGTTGGTTGGTTGGTTGGACCCTGAACCGGTGGTAGCCAGGCACTCGGAATTACATGATAGTTATACCGGTAGTAGCCAGGAGGAGCATTCCGCCGCACTGTGGTTGCGAAGGAAAGAAAAGAAAAGAAAAGAAAAGAAGAAAAAAAGAAGGACGAAAACAAAACATACACATACAACCGGCACTGGCCGGCCACACGGTAGGTATCACGGTATCACATTAGTTAGGTAGTGCAACCGGCTGGACCGGGCTCCGTGGTACCGGTAGCTGTATGTAGTAGTAGTAGGTGTGTACGCAGCCAACGAGTCCCCATACCGTATCTACATACGGCAGTTGAAAGCTGGAGTAACCAAATCGCAACCAACGGCACGCTTGACTTTCTGCAAAACCGGGTTTTGTCTGTATGTAGAGTACATACCTCCCCTACGTCCCCTACGGCGGGGACTGGACTGGGCTGGACGTATGGTACGAGCGGACGTGTGGACGGATGGGCTTGTAGGTAGGTGTGTAAGTAGAGTAAGTAAGTGACGGCAGATCTGCACATGGATACGTGTGGAGTGGAGTGGTACTGTGCGTGTGCGATCGGTCACTCGCTGGAGGAGGGACGGTGCGCGCGGGCTCCAACTCCCTTGCTTGCTTGCCAGAGGGAATCACCTAGGGGAGTGTGTTGGTTGTGTGGGTTGTGGTCCCCCCCGTCTGTGAGTTGCCGATGGATGTACGAATACAGGTGCGAGGTGATGGATCGGTTGTAGTGTCCGCTGGCCGCTGGTTCTGATTCTGGTTCTGTGGTTGGCTCTCGGGTGTTTCCCCAGTCCAGTCAGAGGGAGTTTATCGTGTCGCGGAGGGGAAAGACTAGGCTAGAAGTACTTCAGGGGGTTGGTGATTCGTTACACTATGGATCGCAGCATTCCGCCTGGAGCTCTGGATTGGATCGAAACGGTCTGCGCTGACCAGGGCAAGGCTTTTCATTTTCTTTTGAAATCTGATTGGTACTGGATATATACTCCACCTACACGGGACGATGAAATCACAAGAACGGCGAGTGGACCAAGATCTGGCCTGGGAGTTAAGTAGTTAACTGCAACATACAACACGGTGCTACGGTACCTACCGGTATCCGCCTATCCGTCCGACGTCCGTCTCGAGATCTTCACTGGCTGGCGGCCGAGGGAGAGAGATGACGATTGACCATTTTCGGCTGGACGAAAGTAGTTTCCAAGATTGAAGGACGGTACGTAGATCTGGGCTACGATTCTTGCATAGCACGTACTCCCTAGGTAACTTACGATGTTTCCCCCCCTCGTACATACCTTGGTACCGGATGCATCCTTGGATATACTGGTAGGTACTGTAATGCTACCTATCCTTGTTAAATTCATGGCTCTCGCATCGGTACATACATTACCTTACCGGCCCCCGGTGCGTGCGTGCGTTTCATCGCACTGTCCACTGGCGGACTGGCGGTCTGGCTGATGGTCATTAGTTACATTTTGCATAGGTACCTACTCCAGCTTATCAATTCCACCTCAATAGCAGTCCGTGCGGCGGTAATGTACTCGTTCAAAATCCGTACTGCCACAGTGTCAGGATGGAGTGTCACCGCCTCGGACTCCAAGATAGTGGGATCCTCCGAGCTGAATCTAGTGGGATAACTAGGATAGTATTGCGTCTTAGGTGGTGGGAATCCGGTAGACTAGATGAGAAGGGTTAGGTACGATGTTTTACAGGTGAACGTATGTATGATACGGAATCTCTTGGTTCTGTCTTGCGGTACTCTCACCAAATATCAGGTGGTTAGGTGGAGAGAAAGAGAAAATCAATTTATTGTCGCATGCGGCCTTTACTAGACTATGGCGGCCACCAACTTCCCGTGGTGAGGTGGTTTTTTCCGGGAGTGGACCAAGTGGAAGTTGAGCGAGTGATATCGTGTGATGAACCGATTCCATGGTGGGTAAGTATCTACCTCAGTATCCTCTCGGTCCTCTGCATCGTCATCACCTCCGCTCTAGCTACTCCACCTAGCGGTAAGACCTCCCCGACTTTGCGAACCCGAGCATCGGGGGGCGCCTCGCATCCACCCGGACGCATCCGGCAGCGGGCCGCAGAGTCTCGGCGCACTCACGTGCGAGACGTCGTCCGTTCTCCGAGATCAACGCCATGATGGAAAAGTGCTTCGCGGGAAGACGTGTCAGCGGTGCAACAGCACTGGTTCCAAGTGCACCAGACCAGGCTGAGAATCTCAATATGGCGGCTAGTTTACCGTCAGGGTGCCTTGCAAGCCCCGACGTGGCATGCGGCGTTCGGCAAGTGAGGGATGGATGGATCATGGATGTCTACGGTGATCACGGGGTTTTCGAGGGACGGCGGTGAGTTTCGTGTTGGTGGGAAGTATGGTATGCGCGCTGTGGTTCATTGCATTAAGTAGATGGTGCCTGGATGGTTGTGCTGGTCTCGGTGGATGGGGTAGGCTGAGGGGGGTAATGTAGTGCTTGGCCGCCCTCTAGATCTTCAATACTGAACTCGCACACCTTTTGTTTCTTGCTTGGGCAGTGATGACTGACAATTGATCCCATCCGTAGATACAACATGCACATGTAGCAGGCGCACGTTACCAAGCGCCGTAATAAGGCCTACGGGTGGATCGATCAATTATGCCGAGCGGGTGACAAACGATGATCAAACTATTGGTTCAGGCGGGGGTTGTTTCGATCACTACACACGGCCAGCAAGCAAGCAATGATGTATTCTAGCCACCATGCAGAGTGGATACAAACAGCACTGTATCCCCAGCCTGGAGGACATACCGCTCCTCGTCCTCGAGCTCCCAGTCGGCATCATTGATGAGCACCAGGATCCCCGGCCGCCTTCCGCTATCTCAGTACTTTCCCTTCCTCCCGTAGCTTGATTGGTTGGGACATACACTGTTCCATCGACAATAAATAGCTCCTTCCGCGAGTCCGCCATCAGCGTGGATAGGTGGTCTACGAGGTACGCGATCGTTGTTGCGGACGCCGTGGATGGGTCGACAGCTGGCAGCTGCAGCTTGTGCGTGCGCTTGTTGGCGAAGAGGAGTTCCAATCCGCCGCTGTGTAGCCATGGTTAGCAGACCGGCCGGCAACCCCACGGGCAGCATCGGGACGGTGATACCTGAACTCCACGGTGATGGGCAAGGTGTCGGCGGTCATGGTGGTGGGGGTTTTTTGATGTTCCGTTTCGCTTCGCTGGGATCTCCAAGTTGGGGTTAGGTTTTCGCGCCAAGACGGTGAGCGAATGATTGGGCTCTGCCGATTAGTTAGTTCGTTAGACGTGAACGACGCGAAGGACACACACACACCACCCACACCAGTCTGCACCCACAACTCGAGAGAAAAGTTTACCAAAGGAGACCCTGGGGAATCAATCGCAATTGCACACCGGACACGAAGCAACGTCGTCACGAGAATACCCGAACCACCCGAACCGCCCCAGCCAAACCGACGGAAATGGGGGACTACTACCGCGGCGGAAATAACAGAGACGGAAACAGAAGGGCGCCCAAGAGACGGCATCGGTCTGGTATGTGATGTGTTGCTTTTGTGTTGCTTTTGTATTGCGTGGCCCCCTTGTGCGAAGCAAGTCAAGTGCTGAATTCGTTGTGGATGTCCAGAGGAAGCCGATGGAGACCATCCCCGTGGCGGCGGCGGACGCGGCGGCCGGTACGAACGCGAAGATCCACTGCAACGGTTGAAGCGCGAGACTATACAGATTGCCGAATCGCCGCTGGTCAAAATTGAGGATGCGATCAAGAACATTGCTACCGGGTTCACCGCCGGGTTCGCGGATGAGGATTTCCGCGAGGGATATGTGCAGTGTCTACATGATCTGTAGGTTATTGTCCCCCCTACGACTACTGCTACAGCCATCGCCGGGGAATGGTGGAAGGAAGGATGGATTGGGGGCTGACTGAGGGTGTGTACAGTGTTGTCGAGCAGCCGTTCAAGATCCCGTTCGTAGCCACGATCGTCAGAGTCGCGAACTCCGAGAGCGAAGAGGCCGGTAAGGCGGTCATCGACAATATGGCGGAGGCGCTGCAGAGGGAGCTACAGATCGGCGACTTCCAGAGGGTTAAGCTTAGGCTGCGGTTCTTTGCGTGTCTGGGAGACATGTGTGGTAAACCAGGTGTCGGCCCGATACTGGACGCGCTCACCGAGAAGCTCCCCTCGTATGAGGGTGAAGGGAATGAGGTTTGTTTGGGACGAGCTTGGGGGCTGAACGGAAGGTGGCTGACAGGCTCCTAGGGATTGCTGCTGGAGATTCTTTACATCATCTTGATCACCATCCCGTATGCGATTGTTTCAACGTCGGACTTTGACGAGTCGATCGCGACCGCCTTGCTCGAGAAGCTCGATAGGTTTACGCTCATCAAAGCACCCATGCAGAGTCTCTTCGACCCTTTCGCTGGCAACACAGCACCATACAATGACCCTCGATTCGAAGGTCAGCACGTAAGACGCCCTCCCTTGCTTCCGCAGTGTAGGTACTGACGTCGGTTGTAGATGGCACGGGCTCTGACGTTGAATCTGAACCTCTTCTTGACCGGTGTAAGGGACAACGACTTCACCACCATACAGTGTCTGCCAACGCCATGGAACGATATCGCAGCTTCGGGGACAGCCCACGATCTCCCTGAACTTGTGATTCCCGACGAATACCCGGTGGACAAGTCCCTGCTATTCCCAGACATGTACCTCTCGGTCTTTGCCGACCAGCCCATTGAGACCGTCCCACCTCCAGGCGACCTGGCCAGCAGCTTGTTCCGCGACGCCATCGTCGACACCATCAACATCCTCGACTGCAACCGGATGTCCGTTTCTCGATTCTTGATCGAGGTAGACTGTTTCTTCAACCCCAAATCGTTCATCAAACGGGCGACTCCCTACGACCGCGTTACCGAGGTCGCAAATGGCGACCAACTCTCCTCCTGGAAGCCGGAAGACGTTGCCGTCGATGCCATCTTCAGCCAGCTCTTCAGACTGCCTACCCCAGTTCACAAGCTGGTGTACTACCACTCAATCCTGACCGAGCTGTGTAAGCTCGCTCCTGCCGCAATTGCGCCTAGCTTGGGAAGAGCCATCAGGTTCATGTACCGAAATCTAGAGATCATCGATATCGAGTTGATCAACCGGTTTACCGACTGGTTCTCGCACCATCTGAGTAACTTTGGTTACACGTGGAAGTGGACCGAATGGAGCGAGCATCTCAACTTCGCCGATGTGCACCCGAAGAAGGCTTTCATCTTGGGATCGTTAGAGAAGGAGATTCGTTTGAGTTTTGCCACGAGAATCAAGGGAACTTTGCCGGATGCCTTCAAGGAGCTCATTCCGGAGGAGAGGGAGAAGGAGCAGCCTGTCTTCAAGTTCGACTTGACTGGTATGTGTATGCTCGCGCCTTATCCGAGGCGCCACTGCTGACTAGTTGTATAGAAAACCCTTTCAAGACCGAAGGAAAGGCCCTCCTCATCGCCGTCAGCGAACGCAAAGAAGAGGAAGAAATCGAGCCGATGATCCAAATCATCGCTGACCTCGCTGCCGAAAAGGGTCTTGCTGATGCCTCCGACCCCCGTGCACTGGCCCGCGATGCATATATTACCTGTATCTGCCATATCGGTGCTAAATCCCTCTCACACGTTCTCTCCTGCATAGAGCGCTGCAAAGAGAAGCTGTTAGCGATAGGCCTCGAGCACCCCGATGCGCGCCGACAAATCGTAGGTTCAGTACTAAGCTACTGGAAAGACCAGCCCGGTATCGGTGCCAACGTAGTCGACAAGCTCCTCAACTACTCTGTGGTCGCGCCCATCTCCGTAGTCGAGTGGGTCCTGTACGACGCCGGCCCCGAGGCGCTCGCAAAGACCTACGCGTGGGAAATGGTCGCCACAACTATCAACAAGGTTAACAACCGTGTCCGCCAGATCGTGGCCGCGAAGCCTAGTGTGCTTGGCGCCGAAGGCGTGACAAAGGAACAGATTGACCAGTTTGAGGAGACGCTGACGAATGCGGAGGCCGAGCAGGCGCTAATCCTCTCCGAGGTCGAGAAGCGCCTCGGCGAGCTGGCTCTGCTGAAGGACGAGGACGAGAGTGCCAACGGAGAGAACCGTGTCTGGGTTCAGTGGTGGGCTAAGGGCTGGCTACGCGCGTTCAGGAGGATGTTTGAGGTCGGCGAGGATGGCACGTTGCAGATCAATAAGAGCGCGAATGGGAATGGGTATGGGAATGTGGAGGTCAAGATGGCCGATGTCGACGAGACTGAGGTTGAGGCTAAGGTTGAGGCTAAGGATGAGGCTGAGGCTGAGGTTGATATGAAGATGGAGGTCAAGATGGAGGGTTGACATGGATAGGTCTCGCGTGAGGGTACTGTAGGATAGATATCTGATTGTTGGATTTGTTGAAATGGTGGTGATTGTACTAGTGTTTATGGTTGTTTTTAGGCAGTATCGGCTCTTTGCCGTTGTGGATGTGCATCGAGTGGGACTGAACTGTGCTATGGATGCTGCTTGTCCTTCACCTACTTTTACAAAAAAAAAGTTGATCATTCCATCTAGCCAGTCTTATTGATACGGAGGAATTGTGTTCAAAAAAAAGAAGAAAAAAGACCGTCTCATCATCATTCGTCAACATAACCATTCACATCACGGCAAATTACCCACTCATAGTCCCCCTCCGCCTCCTGACGCCATCCGGCGCAAGCTCGAGCATGTCCGTCTCTTCGCCGGCCCTCTGCTGCTCCCTCGTCGTCTTTTTCCTCGGCCACAAACTTGGCAGAACAATCTGCTGAAACCTCGGCTCGACACATCTCTCATCGATCCACTGATGCAGCTTGCTCTCGACGAGCTGCGCAATCTTGGGCACATCCTGCAGTCTCGATCTACTCCCGAGCAAGCTGCGCACGCTGATATCGAGTCTATAATCATCGAGAAAGCTGAACGCCAGCGTGGTCGAATTCCCGCTGCCCTCGGGGCTAGGAATAAACGCGATCTGCAGCGTCCCTGAGAAGCGCAGGATGGACACTGCGAGGGCGACGGGTAGCACCGCGACCTTCGGCCGCGGCCAGTTCAGTATCAGCTTCGTCTCGATCCCCAGCGTGAGCACGTCGTTCAAGTCGACGTCCATGCGGGCCTGCAGCTGACCCGGGTCATCCTCCGAGGGCGAGATCCGGCAGTTGCTGAAGATCGGGAACTCGTCGCCCAGCGCAACCTCCGACACCGTCACCTCGCCCAAGAAGTCGGGTTTCTTCCCGCTGTTGAGAACGCTGCGCAGAGAGTTGAGCAAAGCATCGTCTGCTACCGCGTCCGCGCGGAATTGCGCGAGCGTTTGTGCGATCAAGACGTTGAACCAGTCGAGGGACTCGGGCTGGTGCGAGGACACGTTGTAGTATGTTTTGTTGAGGATCGTGCCGATGGTCGCCGGTGGGGGAGCGCGAAGCAAGGACGATCGCTTCTTGGTGATGCGCCGGTTGGGCGGCGGAGGCGTCGACGGTGTCGGACCGAAGATGAAGAAGCGGATGAAGACTATCGTCAACAATAGAACGCTGAGCTGGCCGAGGAGGAGACCGTGAGCGAAGGACCAGCTGCTGGGGGTCAGTAAGGCCGAGGATATAGATGGGATGAGAGGAGCACTTGGAGGAGGTCCGCCCGGAGGTTAGAGCAACATATTCGGCGAGTGAGATGTGGATTTCTGTTTGCCGGTTAATCGGCATGCTCGCCCCGAGAGCACAAGGATGGGGATGACGAGGAACTACAAACCCTGGGGCATGTGGTCTGGGGTTATGATAAGGGAGGATTGTTCCTGTGATTGTGGTATCGGCGTTGTCTGTAGTTGAGCTGGCGGTCGTGAATCCTCGCGATTGAAAAGTGGCGGCGGTGGCTGCGGCGATAGTTGTAGAGGAGGAGGCAAGGGACCAAGTGCTGCTGGCGGACAGAGTTCGACCATTTTTTGTTTCTTTTTTGGTCGGGTGGATTGAACCACTGGATTTGTGACGTATGCGGAGAGATTGAAACCGAGGACTGTGCGGGAGAGCCGCAGGAGGCTCAAGTCACATGTTCTCGGGTTGCTGGTTAAGATTTCTTCTTTCCGAAAGACACAGCTTGTTCATCGATCGTGCCCCACGCAGCTCTACTCCACCACACCAAAATCCCCACACGAACCGACATCGCCATGCAGCTTTCCGAAGAGACCAAGGTTCGTTACTTGGAAATCACAATTCTCCTCCTCAAAGCGACGCCGAACGAATGCTAATGTGCCTGTAGGAGAGAATCTCCCGCATCATTGACCTCTCGCGCGTCGCTATCCACTACGGCTACCTGCCCCTCATCATCTACCTTGGCTACACTCGGAGCGAGCCCAAGCCTGCGTTGATTCGGTACATATGTCCCCGTCCTTCTTGTCTGGCGGGCGCAGCTAATAGACGGCCGTTTTGCAGTCTCATCTCGCCTTTGGCTTAGACGCCAGTGATGTGCTGAAAATTGGGGATGGAGGGGAACGGGGCTAGAGTAATGCTTCTTGTACGACTATCATGGAATTGAATGTGTGGTTTCCGAAGGCGGGCCTGGCCCGGACGGCGAGATGGATGGCCATAGCAGTGTAGAATATATACGAATGTCATCCAAACCAACCCCATTGTGTAACTCGTTTCCGACCCCCGAGCTCGCGGTGATTTTGCCTGCTCGAAAATCTGCTCTACCGCGCTTACGGGGGCCGGGAATGCACATTGCATGGCCCATCCCACCCATGGGTGGGCAGTGGCCGTGGTACCGATTCGGTTAAGCCAACTACCGATGGCGATGACATCGCTCCTCTGCCTGCCCGCCCGCCCGCGCACACTCCCGCATTCGCAGCATCCCGTCGTCGTGGCCATGGCCGCCCCACCCGCCCGTTCAACCGCTTCACGAGTCGCCGCCGAGCCCGCATCACCGTCGGGACCCTCGCATGCCGAGTGTCGAGGCTCTCCTCCAGCTTAACCAACAATCGCGCCCCGCCTTCTTTCCTTCCTTCCTTCCTTCCACTACCCCTCCATAATCCGCAACACCATTAAACCACCAACCAACGACACCAACCGACATATCAACGCTCAACATGGCTTCCATCGGGAGCCAGAACGACACACTCCCTCCGCCGCCGCCGCCCGGAGATATTGAAGGACCTCCTACTCCTCGCAAAGGCCTCGGCTTCCCGGCGGTGGTGACCGACACGATCGCCGGTCTCTGCGCTGGAGCCTGCGGAACGGTGATAGGACACCCATTGGACACGGTTAAGACGCGCCTCCAAGGTTCGCTCAACCCAGTTCAATCCGACGTCTGCGGCGCATCGCTAACTTTGCGCAGCCGACAGCTCGAACCAGTCTCGCAGATTTGGAGCCTCCTACAGGATTTTGAAGCACTTGTATCTCCACGAGGGTAAGGGCTTCTTTGGCGGTCTGTATCGCGGATTGCCGGTGAACATGGTCGGTAACGCCTCTGGTTGGGCGCTGTACTTCGTGTTGTGGGTCCCCCCCGTTCCCCGTTCCTCCTCTGAATTCTTTATGCTGATGGGTGTTGGGTGTAGTTATGGCGATATAAAAACTCGGTTCTACGGTAACAAGTTGGATTCGGCCGATTACTTCGTCGCCTCTAGCGCCGCGGGTGTGGTGACCACTATCCTCACCAATCCTTTATGGATCATCAAAACCCGGATGCTAGCCAACGCCGCCTCGCCTTCTGACAAGTACCCCTCGATGTTGATCGGCCTGAAAAACATCTTGGCCGAGAGTGGTGTCCGCGGTCTCTTCAAGGGGCTCACGCCCGCGCTCTTCGCCGTCGGCCACGGGTCCGTACAGTTCACGATTTACGAGCGACTCAAGGAATGGCGGCTTGCGCAGAAGGGCTCCGAGTTGGGCACTACGGACTTCATCATGTGTAGTGGCACAGGCAAGTCCGCAGCGTACATCTTCTCGTGCCCCCTCAAGGTGATCCAGACCCGGACGCAGAATGTGGACAAAGGCTACAACGGTCCCCGAGACGTCGCGATAAAGATCTGGAAGGGCGAGGGACTCCGTGGGTTCTACAAGGGGTGAGTGAGAGTCCATGTTTGTCTTGAGGTTGCGGAAGCTGACTACTTTGCTTTACTTGCAGCCTTGGAGCCAATGTCGCGCGCACACTACCAGCAACGTGCATTACATTCTTGGTCTATGAGAAAGTCAAGCGCTCGCTCGGGTAGGCGAATACGCGATCACCGGTAGAGATTCATCTGGCGTACCGTAGATTCGGCACATTTTTCTCGATATACCTATACCTCCTATACCTTTGTACGGTGTTTGGAAATTGGCACGGCGGCGGCGTTTTTCTGGGATTTCTGTTCGAGAGTTGTGAAGGTATCTTGGTTCTTCTTTTCTGTGGCTTTGATAGGTGTCGGCGGTGCTGGGGCTACATGTCATACAAGTACGGGAGGCTTCGGCTTACATCTATATAGCTGGCTTTTTTTCAGTGGCTTTTTCTTCTTTTTTCTTCTTGTTCTTTTTGGTGTTTGGGAGGTTTTTTTGGGATAGGATTGGCGATTTATTCGTGTATATGGCGGGGTGGGGGGGAGAGTGGAATCACTCATCAGCAACAGGTGATTATCTATGGCCTCCTCTGAGAATCTAGACTGTTGTTCTACCGTTGTTCCAGGACATTCGGGGAGGCGGGGTGAAGAGGGGTATAAACACTTTCACCCATCTACCGTCCACGTAGTTTCCACACCACACGGGGAAGTCTGATCCGCGCAGTGCTCCCAGTCCCCGGTTCGGACCGCCGAACACACCGTGCGTTCCGTCGGGACCGTTGGGACCGTTGAGACTACGCTGTGGCCTGGGCATATCCCCCAAGACGTCTACACGTCCCTGGACGCTCGCCCGCCCACCCGCACCGCGGGGTATTGAACCGTGTGGAACAGAGTTGAGCGGTGGAATTTACCCTGTAAATCCAAGCTTGCTCCTGCTCCTGCTGCTGCTCCATACATAGGCTTTCGCCACGGGTTACAGGTAGGGCGCAGTGACGCATTGACGCAGCGAAGGTTTAAATACTCTACAGGAGGTGGGACTCGGGGGTTGCCGCAGCCCCGTGGCCCGTGGGGGAGCAACTGCGGATGTGTACTTCGACCATGATGACGGCGCGGGGTACCTGGGTAGGTAGGTGGGCGTGGTTTCCTGAGGGATTGTCGGTGCCGATGCTGGCTGCATGTATGCCGTAGTATACGGACTGACGGACTGGCGGGTTTGGTGAATTGGTGGTGAGTGTCCAGGTGGGTAGGAAGGTATGCACTGGGAACGCTGCGTTTGGCGAATGCTCAATCAGCCAGCCAGCCAGCCAGCCAGCAGCTGTGCGGACCTGGCTGGTACTGGCACTGGTAGTTGAAGCGGAGGACGGGGACGGGGACCAGAACGGTGGCGGGGGAGGTAGATTTATATAAGGTTTATGATACTACCTATGGAACTACGGATCCATGGAGCTATGGAATTATGGAACAATTTACCGGCATGCTGAACACGCTGGCCAAGCAGTTCTCTGGTGGACTAGGTACTCGATAGTTTCACTCGGGGAGTCTTGACACTGGCATAGGTACCGTACCGTATCTTGGAACTCGAAGGAAGTGCGAGGGTGTATGATACAAGGTAGTTGGTCTCGAATCTCGAAAGTGAGGCAGAAGGATCGACTGGCTCGTGGAGACAGAGTCAACCCATTCGATTCGTGGACGACGACCAGGAGGAAGTTGATCAGCAGAACTATCATGGCAAGAACCAGCTTGGCTACCAGGACCGAAACCGGCTAGATTATCAGGGCCGAAACCAACTGAATAATCAGGATCAGAACCAGCTTGACTTTCAGGGCCGGGACCAGCAGGGCTCAGCGTCAGATCTTGGAAGGTTATGTGTTAAGGTGTTAAGGTGTTACGTGGGGTACTGTAAACTTCTAAAGGTTATAACTATAAACGTGGTAAGATTAGTGTGGTATATTGAGCCTAGCAAAGATCAAGTGCCATATGTACATAACCACCAAGATGCCCAGTCCTCAGCCCTGCCGTGGGTTCTCATGAGCCGTGAGTCGTACATGACGAACCAGCCCGTCGCCAGATCAGATCAAGCAAGCTACCTCCAGCCACATCCTGCCGCCGCCACTTCCCGCCGCCGCCGCCGCCGCCGCACCCCGTCTTGGCATTGTAGTTATTCCTTCTTGTTTCCTTTCATTCCAATACGGTACGGTACGGTCCAATGCTGTATGCAGGTGAGCGAGTCATCCGGGAGTTCTGCGGCGCTGCGCTGCGTGTGTGCGGTTGCACCGGCCGCTGACTATCAACTGGAGTCTGGAGTACTGTAACTAGCGGTGGCTGGTGGGGGTGGGGGGTGTGTATTGTGGCCTCCCGTTCCAACTTCCAACTTCCGCAGCGGGTGTATATACAAAGTACATACATGGTAGAGAGGTTTGGCTGTCAGCAGTTATATAGCAGACGGCGCGGAAGTTGCCCGGGCTGGTCAGTGGCCACCAACGGGGCGTGTACTCGAGTACGGTACTCGGGTACGGTACTCGGGTGTGAGGGTAAGTGGTGCCTCACCTTGCGCCTATAATTCGTAATGGCAGTGAGGCCCGACGTATCGGCTGTTCCAGGTACAGTTTACTGAGTCTACCTAGGCCCAGTTCGGTTGTCAACTGCATTACGAATCTACCACGCAAAACTGAGAGAGAAGCAGTTTGAAACCCCCAGTTTCAACTTTCCAGGCGATGATGGGTGAGCGTTCGGTAGAGCACACCAGCCCAAGTTAACAATGGAGAAACTGCATACTGTTGATTGAGCCAGAATACAAACGAACTCTGCGGACAACCAGCAGTAGTTAAATACCAGCATATATAGCCTCGTACATAGTCAGAAAAAAGTATGGCGTGCTGATGGATTATGAATATCTGGGTTGCCGAACGGGTCATCGGGGGAGATGAGAGTTTGCAGCTGCAGCTTTGGCAGGTACATACTCCAGTTAACCTTCAATCCGTCATAAACTCAAGGCTTGAAAATGCAGCTGGCACCAGAATAGGCTCTGAGTCTATGTGCTCTGCGGAGGGGAACGTTCTGGTGCTTTATATCCCACACTATTACTAGGTGCTGACATGCTTTTCTTTGGCTTGCTGGAGGGTGGACTGTGCGGTCGGTGCGGTCGGTCGGTGTTACCGTCATAACCGGAACTGTGAACACGAACGAAAAGCTGTGGCCTGTCGTGCGAGTCCCGGACTGGATACACGTTGATCCGAGTCTCAGCAGCAGCAGCAGCAGCTTGTGCTGCCGGCGGGAGGGGGGGAGGAACCCTCTGGCTGGGAGTCGTCCATTGCTGGGAGTCGTCCATTGCTGGGAGTCGTCCATTGCTGGGAGTCGTCCATTGCTGGGAGTCGTCCATTGCTGGGAGTCGTCCATTGCTGGGAGTCGTCCATTGCTGGGAGTCGTCTATTGCTGGGGGTCGTCCCCGACTGCTCGGCCGTCTGGTTGTTAGTACTCTGGGACGGATGCGAACCCAGGAGGAGGACGAGGAAGAGGAGGAGAAGGAATTGCCGGCTGGCATCGATGGCGGACGATGACCTGCCAGCTACTGTTTAGCGTACTGTGTGTAGCGTTGCTGCAGCCAGAGGTGGCCCACCGCTGCTCCCCTAACCCTGATGCCGAAGTCTGTGGGCAATGGGAATCCCTGCATGCGCGGCGGGTATACACATTCTCCATGGATGGGTGGTGGATGGATGGTGGATGGCTGGATGGATGGATGAGTGGATGGATGGGCTCGTTGCTGCTGCTGACTTCTGCGTCTTGCGTACAGTGCAGCGGTGCTCGATGTGGCCTCTACTTGTACATATACGGACTGATATGTTTGCTTGTTCGTTCTTCGTTGTTCTTCGGTCGTCTCCCTCTTCTTCTGTACAGACCGGTACTAGTGATTCGATCCGATCCAGGGTAGGTGGGAGGTAGGTCCGTTCTGCAACTCTTCCTCTCGTGTCCGCGCCGAGAGGGCAGTTCTCTAGAGTCTCCAGAGTGTCTAGAGTCCTCTTCCTAGTCCCGGCACCGGTCCCGCATGGTCCCAAAAGTAAGTACGGTAGTCCACTCTATACACCATCACCATAGTTGCCGCCGCCGCCTCACGAAACCTGTCGCTTGCCTGCCTGCCTACTGCCTGCGTGCTTCCACGCATCATCTTCACCCCCCCGTCCCCATCCTCCGCTACCACTGCCTCTGCCACTAGGTATCCATCCCCCCCCCCCCCCCCCCCCCTTCCTTCCTAACCTTCGCCGATTCCCGTTACCAAAAGCCAAACCTAGTCTTAGACACCTTCTCCCCAAATAACAATAGTTAACCCACCAACACCTCATCACCTCCCCCCCCTCCTCCTCCTCTTCCACCTCTTCCACCCCCTCCCCCCTCCTCCTTCTCTTCACATCATCACCACAAGGTGACCAAACCTTCCAACCGCAGGAACCTCCCGCGGTAAAACGTCAACGACTACCTCCCCACGCTCCCGAGACATCCATCCACCACGACGCCAACGGAACGAACGAACGCCACCAACGTCCGCGTACGAACAAACGCATTTGACTCCCGTATCCCGAACATCGGATCGAATACGCACACGCCCTCACTCGCTCGCTAACTGCGCGCCGCTCCTCTCGTTGTCGGTGCCGGAAAAAACAAACAACTTCTTCTTCGGCTGTTCCTCATCTGTGTTGCTGTCGCTTCTTGAAGGTACCTACCGCACCCACACTTGGCTCTTTTTGTTTTCTACCCTGTCAATCCCATCATCCGCCGCCGCAACGCAGCATCGATAGTAGCAACACCCGCAACACGCTGCGCAGCAGCCTTAACCCCCATCCACCACCACCACCACCACCACCACCACCACCATCATCCCGTCCCCACCCCCCAATCCACCCAACTCATACCCAACCAACCATCACCAACTTCTCACCTCCGCCTTCACCATCTCCACCTCCACCACCACCACACCACCCTGATATCCCATCTCCATACCGTAGTCGCCCTTCTCCCCACTCCGCTCCGTTCCGTTCGTCCTCTTCCCCCGCAATCCTCGAGGCTGCTGCCTCGACAGGGCGTCTTCCCCCCCTGCTACTTTTCCCCTTTTCAGCTCCACCTTTGGCTTCTTCGTCGAGAAATAAACTTTTGCCCTCCTCACGCTCTTTTGCGACATACCCTCTTCACGAACGAAAGACAAAGGACGAAAGACGACTTTGACGACGCGTGCGAGTAGGCTAGTCTAACAGATAATTGCGACTTGCAGGAACATCGTTTCGCTTGGCAGCACTCGTATCCGAGCCCGTGCCATCTTTCCAGAACCAGGGTGCGCACGATCTTCGGTCCGTTCGCGCGTTGTCGACAACTTTGAGGAAAACCACCTGTCATCAAGCTCGTCTCCTCCACCACCACCTCCTCCTCCTCAGCGCAACCACAACCACCGAAAAATCGCTACCGACGAAAACAACACGCGAGTCTCGAGTGTTTATCGACCAAAGATAACGCTTTCGAACAGCCTTCCCTTGCGTCATGTCAGGGATGTATAATTCTCACCGTGGGATGGTAGCCGCGCCGTCCCGCCTTAATGAGCTGTTGGATCAAGTACGGGCCGAGTTCGAAACACAGCAAGTTCGGAATGGGGACTATGAGCTTAAAAGTATGTTGCTCCTTTACGTGTTCACTCTTGGGACGGCAGTTTTTTTCCCGTCTGGTCGCGCGTCGCGATGGTGTCTGGCGTCTCAACCGCCATGCGCCCAAAGTGATGAACATTTTGGAATCGCATTTGATGAATCAGAATACTAACGTGATTTCACTTTCAGTCCAGCAGCAGGTCCAGGAGATGGACGTGATCAGGCAGACGGTCTTCCAGCTCGAGGCTGCGCATACCGCTATGAAACAAAAGTGCGCCTTCTTCCCTCATCCCCCCTTCCTCCCAAACCTTGCACGTATCACTCGCGCGCACGCGCGGAACTCAAGCGCAGCCCGCCCGCCGACCCACCGACCCGACCCAATGGAAACCGTGCATCGCTAACACGGCCCGATTCCGCGCTCCTGTAGGTACGAGGACGAAATCGCACGACTCACACGTGAATTGGATGCGCGTGGCGGCGCCCACGGTCATGGTGGTGCGCCACCACCGCAGCCAGCGCCTCCTTCCATAGGGCACGGACCCAGGGATCTCTTTGGCGGTATAATGTCGGGTCAGGGTGGTCAAAATGGCCCGGGCCTCGCGCCCCCGCAACCTCAGGACCAGCAACAGCAGCAGCAACAGCAACAGCAGCAACATATCCCACCGCCGCCTCCGGTGGCGGTCCAGCAATTGCCGCCCAATCAACCTCCCCAACAGCCCCAGCCCGTCCCGGGGTACGCACAAGGATCGTTCATGAACGGTGAGATAGACTTCACCTGCCATCGCCGTCCACAGCGCGCGTCAAACTGACAGTTTCCCCCGCAGGCTACGGAACACAGCCGCCCCTGCCGACCGCGTCTCCTGGTGCGAAGCGCTCTCGCCCGCCTCCAGGTCCCGGTACACCACAGCAGAACCAGTCCCAAGGTCCCTACCAGGATCCTCGCGCGTCTCCGCAGGTTGCCCGCCCTAGTCCCGTGCCCGCGTTACCGTCGGTCGGCAACAACCTTGCCGATCTCAATCTCGATCACATGCCTCCGGGTCAGAAGAAGGAAGGATCGGACTGGTTTGCGATCTTCAACCCCAGGGTACCGCGGATGTTGGATGTCGACCTGGTTCACACACTCGAGCACCACAGTGTGGTCTGCTGTGTGCGATTCAGTCAGGATGGAAAGTACATCGCTACCGGTTGCAATCGCAGCGCTCAAATCTTCGACGTCCAGACTGGCCACAAGGTTACGCAATTGCAGGACGAGACGGTAGACAGGGACGGTGACTTGTACATCCGTAGTGTCTGCTTCAGCCCCGACGGAAGGTATCTGGCTACCGGTGCCGAAGACAAGCAGATCAGAGTAAGTGGAAGGGAGAGGGGGACTCCGGCTTCGGCGCGTTTCCAAGTTGGCGGTCACGACTAACACCTGCCGATAGGTCTGGGACATTCAAAACCGTGTGATACGGCATACCTTCCACGGTCACGAGCAAGACATCTACTCCCTCGACTTTGCCCGCAACGGTCGGCATATCGCCTCCGGCAGTGGTGACAGAACCGTACGGGTGTGGGATATCGACTCAGGTCAGAACGTGCTCACTCTGAGCATCGAAGACGGTGTCACGACTGTTGCCATATCTCCCGACGGAAAACTGGTTGCGGCCGGCTCTCTCGACAAGAGCGTGAGGGTCTGGGATGCGCATACCGGATATCTGATTGAGAGACTGGAAGGTCCCGACGGCCACCGGGATAGTGTTTATAGTGTAGCATTCTCCCCCAACGGCCGAGAGTTGGTCTCGGGCAGTTTGGACAAGACCATTAAGATGTGGGAATTGCACACCACAAGAAACGTGCCCAACATCACCGGTACCACTCGTGGCAAGTGCACCAAGACCTTTGAGGGACACAAGGTTAGTTATATTTCATTGCCCGTGATGGAGGGAATCTATCGTGCTACAGCACGTAGGTACTCAAAAATCGTTTGGTGGCGGTGCTGACATGATTGATGGTAGGACTTTGTGCTCAGTGTAGCGTTGACTCCTGATGGAAAATGGGTGCTCAGTGGCTCGAAAGATCGCGGTGTGCAGTTTTGGGATCCCGTCACCGCAAGTGCTCAACTTATGCTTCAGGGTCACAAGAATTCCGGTAAGTCTTGCCATTCGTCGGGTTTCTCGAGATTTCCTGTTTTTTTTTTTTTCCCTCCTTGTTTTTTTTTTTTTTTTTGCCGCTTTATTCGAGGATTCGGGAGGCGAATAGTTACATGCCGCCATGTCATTCGTGATCTCGACCGTAGAGTTTGTCTGCATACGATGCAGATCTGTTTCGCAATGGCTCGGACAGATCCGCGTCAATGTGCATCTTTGATTGCTTCTTCCTCTGCCTCCAAGGTATCTAGCAGGTCAGCTAACCGTTGCTGTGTGTCATTGATCAGTTATCTCAGTTGCACCGAGCCCTACAGGTGGACTGTTCGCAACAGGAAGCGGCGATATGCGTGCTCGTATCTGGAGGTTAGTGCCACCCAACTCCCTTTCCCCCTTCAGCTTTCCCAACACTTTGGAGATGCCGCCGTCACATGCTCTCTCGGATGGATTTTTTCTTTCTTCCCTGAGCCTGCCTGCCTGGCATCCCCTTACCCCGCAAACTGCAAACGGTGGTGAATGCGCAGATCTAGTCTCTGCCTCGTAATCCCATCCCACACCCACCCTACCCCCACAAAAAGATGCATACGCACCCCCACGCATACCCCGTCATGCATTCCATATGCCATCCCGCTGCTGCTAGTTAAGGTTCAATGCTGACGTGCTTTTTTTTCTGGCTGTTTCAGTTACGAGCCCTACCGCGAGCGTCTTCTCTGATTATTGGGTGCTGGGTGATTTTCTTTCTTTCTGCTTCTCTTTTCACGGATCGAGATCAAAAGAGATGGAGAAACGGGGTGGGATAGTGGGACACGGGGGGTCGTGGGTCGTGGGGGGACGGGAAGAGAATGGGGGGTTTAAAGGGTGGTTCTATTTCTTTTTTATTTTCGATTCCGCTTTTTTCTTCTATTTCTTTTCTTTTTTGCTTTTATTCTTTTCGAGGATATCTCATGTAAGGAACTGGATGTGCGGTGTAGTGGGGTACCTATCGGGTTTCTTTTTTCTTCTTTTCTCTTTCTCTTTTCTCTTTCTTCTTTCTATCTTTCTTTCTTTTTTTTCTTTTCCAATGGAAGAAGGCACGGAAGCAGAAACAGAAGCAGAAACAGAATTACTTTGTTTTCAAGTTTCTTTTTTTTGGTCTAGTGTTGACTGACTGTCGCTGTGTCACTGTGTCATTGTGTTTTCTATGGCTGGGCGGGTTAAATGTCTTCGGATTCTTTTCTCTCGATCACCGTCTGGGTTCAGGCTTCAGGCTCCAGAGTTTTGGCGTAGATGATACGGTATCGGTGAACGGTGAATTGGGTTCCAGGTGGTGAAGGTTGAAGAAGAAGAGTGGCCACTCACCCCAACTCCCAACTTGTTGTAGTCCCTCGGGTGCGACTCACGCAGTAGGTACCCAGGTATTCGCTCACCGAATATTGGCTGCTCGCCCACTCACGACCCCGCACTCGCCTACTCCTCCGGTAGGTTCAGTGGCCACTGGAGGGATAACCTAACACCGTACTCGGGTGTCCACACCGGCTTCCACGGCTCATGGCAATCGTAGCCATCTAAAGCCATCGAGATTGCCATAGGAACCAAGTGGGTGGCTTATCCGCGCAGATCACGGCGGCTTCACAATACCTACCTAACGTACCGCGTGAACAGTGAACACCCACCGCCGATGAATATCGAGGCTGCGGCATACCTACGTTGTTTCTGACAGCGAGCTGAGTTTAGATCACCATGTCTACTATATAGTTATCCATCCCTCCTGCTGCAGGACACGATTGGAACTTAGACGTCGGTGTTGATTTTAATCCCGTTCTTTGGCTGCAGTATGTGGAAGTACCTACTCAATGTAACTATAGGTAGTATCGCCACGTTTCCTGTCCGAATCCTGAATCCCGATAGCTTCCCGATCTCTTCTCGATGTTTCCCGATTTCTTGAGCGGCCGCCAAGTAGAGGAGAGGAGAGGAGAGGAGAGAGTAGAGTAGAGTAGAGTAGAGTAGAGTAGAGTAGAGTAGAGTAGAGTAGAGTAGGCGGGCGATATCCACCAGCACGGGACTATAGTACTCCCCCGGGCCCTGGGTTCGAAAGCTGGGGCTTTTTCGTTGTGGGGTGCGCACTGCGTACCGGTTGTGCGTACCGGCTGTGAGGTGGGGGGTATCACCGAGGAAGGGGGAGTGAGGCTGTGGGTTGGCTAGGTTGAGCAGTGTGGGGGTGTAGATACGCCATGTGCGCAGGAGGAGGCGAGATGGCGAGACGTGGGAATACGGGATCGGGGAACACGTTCACGTTCACTCACGACTCGCACGACTCACACATCCAGCAGATTCAGTACATCCGGCACATCTAAATTCTAGCATATCCCACACCCAGCCGGCTGGCGGGGGGTTTACGCATGTCTGTTCATCCGTCTGGCTCGACCGTCTGGCTCGTTCATTTGGCTCGTCCATCTGTTAATAGCCATTCTGGGGCCGAAAAAGGTCTCGAGCTCCCGAGTCCGAGGGGGTGGCGACAGACACTCTGCGCTTTACACTCTGCGCTCTAAGCTCTGCGCTTTGCTGGTGGATACGGTAGGCAACTACGGTACTCGAGTAGGTATATAGTAGTAACTGGGTGCAGAGCTTCCACCATACTGCCCTGCTGTACGTGGAGGGGGCTCCTCTGGCTCCTCTGGCTACTTATATACGCATCGTGATCGAAACCAACGAGCGTGGATTGGGGGAGGAGGGGATCAGCACTGGCAGCTCTAGCTAGGCCCCGTGCACCCGTCCGATCAACGGACAAAAGCATGCTCTGCCAGTACTATCTACCTACCTATGGTGCGCAGCGTTGCAGCTTCCGGTAAGCGTTCGGCCTGGCTGCGGGGTGGGACATCGTCACATCTTATTCGGCTTCCCCCCGTCTCGTCTCATCTCGTCTCGTGCGAACGCTCAGCCTCACCATGCTCCAAGTTCCAACTCCCTTCTCTTCCCGAGTCTTCCCAAGTTCCCATCCATAATCCATCAATGACTTCCAGCCACCTGCCACCTGGGGCTGGAACTCGCGATCGCTACTTAGGCATCCCCGCCCAATCTCATCAGAAAAAGCAAAGAACCCAGGAAAAGAAAGCAGGAAAGGGAGCAAGAAAAGAAAAAGCCCCCCCCCCCCCCTACCCGGCCGCCGCGGAACGATGTCGTGATCATATAGATAATGGGTGTAATATGATATCGTGATGGGTATCGTGATTAGTATAGTATCGTGATATCTATCGTGATGGGACGAAAAAAGGCTGGACACTTGACACTGTAGGACTCCTACCGTCGTTACAAATGGTTACATATAGGTACATACAAGCGGCACCACCTCGGATCCTCGGATCCCTGGAGTCTCGGCTCTCGAGTCTTGACAGGCGGATCATTTCCCACTCCACTTGTCCTTCCCCTTCCCCTGCGCTGTCCTTGCTCTTCACCTTGTCTTGTCCCTGCGCAGCCCTTGTCCCTGGTCTGCGCTGCACAACACTGTGACGAAAGGCCGAAGGCTGAGTTTGAGGGCTGAAGGCGGGGGATGGGGGGCTGTTACTACACTACACTACACTGGGGGACCGCGTGATACTTTGGTGGTCCCGGTACCTATTACTATTACCCCCTACTATTGTCTACCCCGGTGGTACTATTACCAGTTGGCCATGTCAGGCGGGCGAGCGGGAAGGTATGGGGGGTTGGTTGGGACTTTTAGTTTCAGGCCAGCTGTCGTCTGTCATCGTCAGGTACATGTTAACCTCAGGGTGGTGACCATGCCATGGTGGTCACGGGAGTTGGTGGGGCTGGGTTGGTGGGGCTAGTCATCTACCATGATGACTGCAAAGCAAAGCAAAGCAAAGCAAAGCAAAGCAAACGAGCCGAGTGAGCGAGTGAGCGAGTGATGCACCATGCCATCACCCTCTTGACTACCACTAACTGGTAACCGCACGTCTCAGTCAAACAGTCAACGGGAAAGCGGGAAATAAGCGGCTCCCGGAAGCCTCGGGATATAGAGTATATAACGGTTAATATACCACCCCTCTCTCCACCCCTCTCTCCCCCTCACCCTCCTCATACGTAGGCATGCTATGATGGTATGATGGTGTGGCATGGTATGATGTGACGATGTTGCCAACGGTCCAGCCCGGCGAGCCCGGCGAGCACCAGGAGGGGGAGGAGGAGGAGCAGAAGGAAGAGGGGGAGGGTAGGGGGGGTAGGAGGAGTAGTGGGGCGGACCCCTTCGTTCCGGAAGCTTAAGTCTGTATGTTCCGGTCCGTTCGAGGGAGTGGGAGTGGGAGTGAGTGATCGAGCGACCCTGTGAGCCGGCCCGGGTCAGTAAAGCAAATTCAGGGCAAGGCGGGGTGTGGGGTGTGGGGTGTGAGGTGGGTACCTACAGTAGTGTTGTCTCTTGCGGAGGCAGAGGTGTTCAAGGGCCGTACATAGGCCGTACTAGAATTGGGGTCTGGGGAGATGGGAAGGAGAAATGGGGGAGGGGAGGGTATGACGCCATATCCCCTCCTCCCCCTCGAACGGCTGGGGGCTGGAAGGGGGTCTAGAACGGCAAAGGTGTTTTCTGCTGATGTGGAAAGAAGGTTCGTCTACAGCGGGGGCCAACGCAGCCTTGCGTCATAATCCGGGGGAGGGGGAGGGGGGGATCATGGATGGAAGGGACGACGACGGCGGCGGGCACTCTAGATCTACGCTTCGTCTGCCGAATGACGTGTGGCGTGTCGATTTGTGGGGTAGAAAAACGAACGAAAGCGGTGGTTCCCCGGGGTTGGGGCGGAGGTGTTTGATCTAGAAGGGGAGGGGGAGGTCTGGGGAGGTTCGGGGGGGCTGGAAGGCCCGAGTGATGGCCTGGGTGATGTCGTCAGTCGGTTTGTTGTTGGCCGTTGGCACGTGGTGGTGGTGCTGCTGCTTGCTGCTTGCTGACGGTTTGTTGTTACTGCTGGCGGTCGTAGGTGAGGTATTAATGTGCTGGTGGATTCTCCAAAGAGGAAGAGCAGTGAGGTGTATGTCTTCGAGGGGGTGGAGGGAGGTCGGAGGAGGTCAAGGTCAGAGAGAGAGTCCTAGACTAGGTGCCGATTGGCATCGTGACTGGATGGATGTTGAATGTATCCGAGACCTCGCTCCCTCCAACTTCGCCGCATGCATGATACGGACGGTAGCAGAATTTTCCCCCAGTATCTAGAGTTAAGTGAATGCGCAGATGCCGCCGGAAAGAAAGAAAGAGTGTGAAGGGTCCCGCAGCCCAACCAATTGTGACGATGAGTAAGTAAGTAAGTCTGGTACAGGTCAGATTGGGGTAAGAAGTATTTAGTGTTGAAGCTGTGTCGTCGCCGTGTCGTCGTCGCTGTCCATCTTTGGCGTGGTGGTGGTGGTATGTAGTGGTAATGGTGGTAGTGGTAGTGGCGGACCCAGTCTTTGGCCTTTTCTTTTTCTTTTTCTTTTAGAGAGACATGAGAGAGAGTTAGTCCTCTAGATTAGATCCGTATGCGGTATTTCGAGGTCAACGGTGCTGGAGAGTTGTGACCGACTGATGCGGTCTCGGAGTTCTGGAAAGCGTTAAATCCTTCTTTCTCAGCTTTCCCCGCAATTGTTTCCCCTTGGAGATCTCCACGTAGAGTAGAGTACCGGTAGATGCGCACAGCGTGTGTGCTCTGCCTACATATGTACAGCGTGTAGAGTACAGCGTATGTACAGCGTATGTACAGCGTATGTACAGCGTATGTGCAGCGTATGTGCAGCGTACAGAATTACATACATCACATTACATACGTGTATGCCCCAAGCCCACCCGCCCGCCCGCGTGGTCGATATCGATATGGATGTTGATGTGTGTGTAGCGATATTAGTTAAGCGGCAGCGCAGGTATGCCGCATAGTTACCACGCAGCCGCCGGCGGCGTGTTGTCGTTGGAGTACAAGCTCTATGGATGAAAGTGGCTCGGTCTCCGCTGCCGGGCCGAGTCGTCGAGTCGTCGAGTGACGGGCGTCAATCATCTCCGCAATCGAAATCTGTCTTTCCCCACACTTTTTTTTCTTTCTTCCTTTCTTTTTTTTTCCTTCTTTCTTTCGGTCTTGGGTTTGGGTTTGGGTTGGGTTGGGGTTTTAGGTGGTCGTCGACGGTCGTTGATATGCTGTGCATGCATGCAGCCCGCCTTGTCTGCCTGCTTGCCTGCCTCTGCCTGCCTGCCTCTGCCTGCTTGCCTGCCTGCTGTATGTAGAGTACACAGATAGAGTAGAGCTGGAGCGCATCCGGGGGGAGATTGCCGCTGATGGTGATTATTATTATTACTGCTGTTATTATCGTCATTATCATCATTATTTTTCTCTCTTTTCTCTCTCACTCTCGCAGTCATTTCCATCCGCGCTGTTAAGCCGCGGGTAACCAGGCCCTAGGAGCAGCAGTATCTACCGGTCCGGTCCTGGATGGAACTGAAGCAGTTTTTTTCTTCAATTTTTTCTTTCGGCGAGCGTTCCATTGCAGTTCTGTTCTCGGATATTGAGATTCCGTAGGCGGTCAGTCAAGGTTACGGTGCGGTATTAATTCGACTATTGGGGGGTGGTGGAGGGGGGGTTAGTTGGTTAGTAGGGAGGTAGCGGGAATGAAGGATGGGGGGAATTGGGGGGAATTGGGATGGGCGGAGGATGAGGATGGGGGATGGATGGGGGGCAGACAGGCAGGCAGGCAGCACGTGTGGTGGTGGAGTAGGTAAACATCTGCAGTTTAGACTTTTGCGCCATCGGTAGTTAGTTTGGTTTGGTTAGTTGGTTGGTTAGCAGCAGTAGCAGAAGTGAAGGGTGAAGGCAAGCTCGGAATCATACGAGCAGTCTGTTAGTACTCTACTCTAGCAGTCGGCCTGAAAGTTGAAACCATGGTACGGTGCTACCTAGATACGTAACCGTGTGGGATGGCTCCCGACTAAACTAACTAAAGCGTGGAGCGGAGAGCGGAGAGCGACCGAGCACAGAGGGACGACCACACTTGGCCTGCTCGACTCTACTCTGCCGTCCAAACGGGCCGGTCCGAATCGAAAGGCGCGAGGGGCGGGGCGGGGACACTGGTCTGGGGCAGTACCTACTCTTTGTTGCATAGGTAGAATAGAAATTGATACCTAGGTGCAAGACCGAGTTGCACTCTAGACGAGCAACGCCGGGATTCCGAGAGACAGAGACGTGAGAGAGAGGCGCTTGCAGACATCAGACCTAAGTCTCCCGATGTATGGTCATTACGGACAAGCCTATCGATATGCTTCAGCTCATTTCAAAACCTTCACCTTCATATGGTGGGTGCCATGGCGGGTGCCGTATCTACCGTATCTATCGGACTCCGAGGATCGCCAACAGCCCGTGTTCTATTGGCTCAGACCAGCCCTTCGGACTTCTGCGGCTGGTGTTGGCTCCAACCTCCGGCCTCCAGCCTCCAAGGCCATCGTATGTATGTATCGTATGCAAGTCTATGTATGCATGTATCTCGGGGGCTCAACTAGTCAGCGGTAGGGAGCGAAGTTGGGGAGCGAAGGGGGATATGTACTGCACCGTGCTGTCCCCAGAAGTTGACAATTTTTCGCTGTTGCTGGTGTTGGGGATAACTCCGAGTGTCTGACAAAGACACTGTGCATAGTTCTAGATCAGATCCGAGCAGACCCAGAGGCGTGCAACAATGCGCATGAACTCACCCACTCACTCACTCACGGGCCGGCGAGAACGGGCGAGGCTGGCCAGCCTGTGCCGTACGACGACGTCGTCGTCGTCGTTATCGATGGCCTCACTCGCCCTCCCCCCTCCCTCCGCCTATACAGCGATGAGACTCGGCGGTGAGATTCAGTGGTGAGATACAAGTGGTGAGCAGAAACCATGTGGCAATATCTATCCATCCATCGCAGATATGTACCGGTATCACTCTGTCATACCGATCCAGTTGCTTTGCTTTTCTTTGCCTTTCTTTGTCCTTCTTCACCTCCACCTTCACCTCCACCTCCACCTTCACCTCGCCATTACCGCTAGGACCCTCCAGGCTCCCCTATAGGTAGCCATAGCTATGTCCATGGGAAAAGGGAAGGGTGATGGAGGGCGCCTGCCCGCGTATCCATCCATCTATGCTGCATCTCCCTCCCTCTACGCTGCATCTCGCTCCCTCCCTTTTTTTATTTCTTTTTTTTTCCCGCTGCTACTGCGGCTACGCTAGTCAGTCGTTTCGTTTTTTTGTCATATGGTGGCGGCCACCCACCCACAGTTAGGTGCACTGCACTGTGCAGGGTGGTGGTGGTGGTGGTGCAGTGCACACCCACCTGGGGAAAAAGCCCCGCAAAAATAAAGACGGGATGTGGGTGGTGCAGTGGTGGTGGTGCAGTGGTGGTGGTGCAGTGGTGGTGGTGCAGTGGTGGTACTGGTGCTGTGGGAGTGGTGGGTGGTACTGGTGGGGTTGCCGTGTGTGCAGGTGGGTGTGAGGGTGGGTGTGTGTGCAGGTGGGTGTGTGGTCTGTGTGGTCTGTGTGATGTGATGTGATGTGATGGGGCGCTGGCGCGGCGCGGCGGCGGCGCGGCGGCGCGGCGGGCTGGTTGGCTGGTTAGATGGGTTGGCTGGTGGATGGGTTGGATGGATGGCGGTGGGTTAGGCTGCGTGGGTTTGGTTGCACTGGTTTGGTTGCACTGGTTTGGTTGCACTGGTTTGGTTGCACGGGATACGCAGATGGGTGGTTGTGTGGTTCGTCGTGCATGCCATGCCATGCCTCTCATGCCTCCCATGCCTCTCATGCCCGTCCTTCTGTGCCCGTCCATCCTTCCTTCTGCTCTGCCATGCCAGTCCATCCATCCTTCCTTGTGCACTGCTCAGTGCTCAGGCTGCTCTGCTAAGACTGCTCAGACTCCCCAGACTGCGCTCGCTTTTTCTTTCTTCTTACATTTGCTTTTTGTTGCAGCATGCAGACTGGAATTAGACTGCTCCACAGGAGAGGCTGTCCCCCCTCCCTCCCCCTCCCCCATCTTCCCATCCTTCCCTTGCCCACGGCAGTGGAAAAAAAAAGAAGCAGTAGGGTAGGTAGGGTAGGTAGTAGGGTAGGCGAGATGCGCGACTCCCTTATGAAAAGAAAAAGAAAAAAGAAGGAGGAAAAAAGAAAATAAGCCTGGAGGAGGAGCAGGAGGATGGTCTTATGTAATTCCGCACACTACTTACTCAGGTATTTCTCTACATAAATAGCAAGTATCTACGTTATCCCATTGTAGACTATGGTATGTAGTACTCTACCTACCATAACTGTGCATCTGTGGAGAATTGTGGAGATGCTGAGTGATTTGTCGTGATTGGACGTGAGGCGAGGCGATGTGGTGAACGGGAGGGAGGCGGCGGCATGTGTGATGTGTGATGTATGTAGGATGTGGGATGTGTGATGCTCACCTACCCGGGAATGGGGAGTGGGGAGTGGGGAAGGAAGAAGTATTAGTTAGCAGCGGCAGCAAGATGGTGCCGTATCGCTGGATGTCGGTATGGCGGAGGAAGGACCCCATAAGCGGCCGCCGGCCACCGGCTGCATTAGAAACCAGCTCCAATTTCAGCCCCAACTTCTCGCCTGCTCTTGCCTGCCTGCCTGCGTGCTTCTACATGGCATTACATTACATATTCCCTCCCCTCCCCTCCCCATCCCTTCCCTCAATTCGGCCCCCGTTTCTGTTTGGAAGAGAAGAGAAAAAAAAACGAGGGAAAAAAAACAACAAATGGATTCTATTTAGAGTATGATATAACGGGCGGCCCGCGCGGACTTTGGAGATCTAACCATGGCCATCTGTAATCTGCGCTGTTACCTGGATGGTTGGCTGGATGGTTGGCTGGATAGGATAACAAAGTTTGTGGTCGTATGTATGGCATCCATCCATATGTATGTTGGTTCGCATGGTTCGCCCGCCCCCCGCCCGCCCACGCCGGAAGTGAGTTTGCGGGGAGGGAGAGAGGGAGGGAGGGAGCACGAGAGAGAGAGAGAGGGCCCCATAGGAGGAAAGATTTCGAGATGGCCCTGGATGACTGGATGACTGGACCGCCGACGGCGTTGACTTTTTTTTTTGATTGAATGGTTGATTGATTGATTGACTGCTTGATTGACTGACTGATGGGCCTCGCTGCTGCTGGGATGCCCGTGCCGCAGCACACCGCACCGAGGATATGGCACCCACATGTTGATATTGAGTTTCTTATTACCATGTCTCCTCCCCCATTCCCCGTGCCACTCGTACGTATCCGGGGATTTGCGCGAGTAACGATCCACAGACAGAGGCAGCAGCTAGCACCCGGCCGGCGCGCCGGCGTGGGGGGTGAGTGTGGGTGTGGGATGGGATTTTCTTCGCGTCGGATTCGGGGTAGGCGCAGTGGATAAGGCTGCTGCTGCTGCTCGTGGCTGGAGACTCTTGGTAATTGATATCTATCTATCGTCATCCAGTAGAGAGTAGATAGAAGATATTGAACGCAAACCTATGTCGCCGTCCAGGAGTCGTGGTACACGTATATCAAGAACGCACGGCGCACGTGTGTGCAACCAGTGCAGGCGAAAAGTGAAGTGAAGGGCGAATCGGACGGCGGTGTGTAGGGTACCCCGGGATATTCCGCAGTTACATAGGTAAATACGTGAGCAGGTACCTGACACCGAGTTGAAGTCGATGCTTTCACACATCTCGAGTTCCAAACATGCCACGATATGCCGGACACAGAGTCCGGCTGTGGTTATCCAGGTAGGCAAGCAGCCAGGCAAGCAGCCTTGAGTAACTGTACCTGTGCCAGGCGCTCGGTAATAGTTAGTGAGAGAGACAGAGAGAAAGAAAAAGAAAAAAAAGGGAAAAAAAGGAACCAACGGCATCCTGCGGAAATGTCACCACCAATAAGCGGATGGCTTTTATCGTTTACATACCTCCGAACACGATGGCTTACACGGCGTCGTCGAAAGGGGGGTTGGCACGGGGAGGGGTCAGCAATAGTCAGTTACTAGAGTAAATACAGTAGAGTAAAGTATCGTATCTTTCTACTTACTCTATAGTTCGCTCCCGATATGCAGCGGGCGAAGGACGGGAAGGACGGAGTGCTGCCGATAGCACTTGGAGGGATACCTACGGTAGGGAAGGTTATGTATGCACCACATCAGTTGAGATTCCGCATAACAATAGGGGGTTTCCAATTCTGCTTCGCATCTACTGGGTACCGGATCCCAACTCCTGCAAACCATCTGCCCCTCGTGCTGCTGCTCGTGCTCATGCTGCTCATGCTCCTGCTGCTGTAGGATTGACGCCATTGTACCTGGAGTAGAGTACCGAGAGTACCTTGGTACATGGAGTTCCACCAGCTGGCTGACCGGCCACCGTGACCAGCCGGTTCCCAGGAGGATCGGTCGGTTAATTTCGAACTGGGCCACCACTGAGAGGCCACATCACGAGGAGGACGAGGAGGAGAAGGACGAGGAGGAGGAGGGAGTGGCTTTACCGAATCCGAGCGAACATGTAGTTAGCAGACTGTGGGTGCATGGCCGGACGGCCAAACCTCATCCAGACGGGCCAAAGCGAGCCAGTCGCACAGACTATGTCGGCGAGACAGATTCCTAAACCTGATTTGGGAACGTGCGTGAAGACGACGAAGAACGTGCTGCTTGGCTGCTCTGTAGAGCAGAAGTGCCCCCATCATGCCGGGAGAGCGATCGTCGGCTTCTCAGAAGCCCTATTCTGAGCCTCAAAAGCGGTTTAGTGCCCTGGCGGGTTACACCGCTCGCCTACTACCACTCAGCCCCCCTCCGCAGCGAGCAGCACCACCCACGACCCACAGCCCGTAACCCACAACACATTGCACACAGCACACACGACACATGGGCCACACATATCGACTTACTCAGCTACTTGCTCTTACCCAAGCACCCCTCCACGAAATTCTTCAACCCGGCGCCCCCCAGCTCTGCCGTGGAGCGCCAGCCGTGGCCGTGGGCGATGCTACGCTTTACATAATTGCGACGGGATTTCGGCCGGGATATCTGCCTGCACATGCCGTAGAAATTCGATGCTCGTCTAGAGATATATGATGCTGCTTCTGCTGCTGCTGTGCTTCTTTGCTCAACCCGTCGCTTTGGGTCGGTAGGTTTGAGCGGTATGTGCAATACATCCTGAGTTATATTCACTGCCACCTATAGGTGAGGACAGGACAGGACGAACTTTCTTTCTCCCTCTCCGTACTCTACGCATGCCGGTCCGGTCGGAAAACCAGGCCAGAAACCCCAGCTACTAGCAGTCGGCTAGACAGCAAGACAGCAGGATAGCCAGACAGCGGGATAGCCAGACAGCAAGACAGCCACGGTACATAGACGGCCAGCGCATTTGCTCACGGCTCTTCGGTCGGGAACGCAATGTGTCCGAGGACCAGAGTTGCGCTGCGGAATGCCGCTCTCCATACTCTCCATACTCTCCATGCTCTCTCCATGCTCGCCATGCTTTACGTCAAGTGGTGGGCTGCTACCAAGTAGGGGAGGTACATAGGTCCCATCAACCAGCAGCGGTGGGAATGGAGAAGAATGCCGGCGTAGATCTTATTCCGCCTCGCTTGATATGCCGCACCATGCCTCCCTTCTTTTCTTTCCCCGTCTGGGTCCCGATGATTTGTCTTGGAAACCAACCCCATGCGCGCCCTCCCCCCCTCCCCGACCTGCGCGCGCCAACAACAACCGACCAACGGGGAGGGGGCGAGCCGACCAGGATTTCACCGCCATCACGCTAGGCCTGATCTCGCCGAGTTGTTCCATGCACCCTCCGCTTCTCAGCTCGAGCTTCGCGCTTCGTTCGCATGCGACATGGGACCGGCACTGGACCGCTACCATTATTCTTGCAGTTCTGTTTGAGGGGAAGGGGGAGGGGAAGGGGGAGGGCGACGGTAACGGGACTTTTGCGGCGGTCTGACTCTCTGCGTGCCCGGTCCAGTCCCTTTCCCTATTTTTTTTCTCTTTCGTTTTCACTCTCACCTCACCTCTCCGGCCGACCTCCCTTCTCCCGTCTCCCTCTCCCCCGGGCTAGCCTTTCTTTGGATCCGCGCGAAAATCAACAAGGAAAGTGCCGAGTGAGGAATCAGCATGAGAGGAAGCGTGTGGTGGTGATGATGGTGGTGGTGGTGATGAGTGTGGGTGCGTATGCCCCAGCTGCGCGGTGTGGGTGTGCGTGGGTGTGTGGGTGTGTGTGTTGGTTCTTTACCGTAAGCAGGCTAGAGGCGCTCCTGCCAGCTCCCTCTCAATTTCAGGAGAGTGAGACCTTGTTCTTACCTAGTCCTCGGTGCATGGCCACCAATTCTTGGAGCTAGTTCCAGGTCTCCCAGTTAGCGAGGAATCGACATGGCCGCGAGGGGGATGTAAGATCTCAGTAGGCCGTCGGAAATAAACAACCACGATGGATGTGTGGATGACCAAAGTGTATTAGATAGAAGCCCAGAAAAACGGTTATCCGTCTCGTTTGTTCGGCATGTTTGACGTTCGGAGCGGAGGCGCTGGTCGGGCTGGGCCTGGGGGAATCCTGCTCAGATGGAGTCTGCAAGATGGACGGAAACATGGAGACAGGCGGGCGGGCGGCGGGGCGCTGTGGCATCGGCACGAGGACGGGGCAGCCGAGTTCGGGTGGGCTCGAGGTGACGGGGATGATAAGTAGGAGCCCATGCCGACGAGGAGGAGCAGAGGAGGGTGAAGGCGAGGGAAGGGCGAGGACGAGGGCGAGGGCGAGGAAGACGAGAAGGAGTCGGAGTCGGTGAAGGTGGAAGAAGGGATGCCTATCTAGGGATGGCCGTTCTGCCATTTGAGAGAGGCTCCGGGAGGGAGGATCAAGAGTCTGGATTGATATCGATCTACCTACTGCTGTTGTCTGCCTGCCTGCCCCCACTTTAGGTTCTCCGCCTAAGTACCGAATGAACTTGGGTCCGAGTCCGAGTCCCTACCCATCTCCCCAGAATTTTGTTCGGTTGGGACCTCCCACCTTTCTCTCCTCCTCCTCCACCACCACCACCAAAAAAAACGGTGACTGACGCTGATCTTGCACTCGGCCCTCACAGCGGAGGCGCGTCCATATCGATTGTCGGAGAACAAACAACACGCACAAACCACGGCCCCCCTACTACGTACCTGTTATACCCCCTCCACCCATAGTTCACCTCCCTCTCGATCCCGCAAAGATCCACACTCCCACCCAGTGGAGCATCGTCCCAACCCGTACCAAACCATCTCCCCCTCCCCCCTAAGCCTGCCGAACTGCCCCATCCATTTTACTCGCATGGTCCTGACGTTACCAGCCTGACGGCCACTTCTTCTTCTTCTTCTCCTCCTTCCGCCTCAGCTACTTGCCTTCCGCACTGTCACCCCATCATCTGCTGCTGCCGGTGCCGCCGCCGCTACTTCTTCTTGGGGTACCTGCCTCCCAGTGATCTCGTTGATCTTCCCCAGCCCGTCAACTGAGGAATTATTTTTACGATATCAATATTCGCCGACCTGGTTAGGTTCGTAGTTTATTTTTTTTCTTCTCATCTTGACCAGGGGGCTCTGCTCCCACGCCCCGAGAGACACAGAGGGAGGAGAAAAGAAAAAAAGAAAGAAAAAAAACGCTGCCTCGTCACCTGGCCCTCCTGGGACCTGGTTACTCTAGTCCGGTCCGAGTCCCTATTGCGTTCCATGTATCTAGATACAACGCTCTGGCACAAGGTACTCCCAAGAAAGTCAGGACCACGGCCGCTCAGTCGCCTCCTCTGTCCCTCACCCACCTCCACACTGCTGCCCTCCACCCAGAGACCTAGTGTCCCTCCAGCCCCCCCCCAGTTCACGAGAAACTCAAAGGCGCATCCCCATTAACTAGCCCTAGCATTGGGTGTGGGGGATCCGTTAGACGAGACCTGTTATTGCTCGATAATACATAAGTTGGGAACACCAGCTTCAACAGACGCGGCCGTGTGTGTCAAATACCTCCGGCCGGCGGCGGACCGAAACATACATACAGGAACCCGATTTACTGGACCTTTCTGAAGAAGCAGAACCAGCACCACCTTCTACCGAAAACTGCATTCCCGGCGAGGCGCCAGCAGTTTCACGGCAGCAGTTTGCTTATTACATCTAAGCCCGCCCCTCCATTCAACCACACAGGACCAGGACAACCTTGATTCACCTTCTTGGATCTCCATCCCAAGCAGAGCAACAAGCAAGCAGCCCACCACCACACCCCCCCTACTCCCACCCCCCTCCCCTCCCAGCAGAAGCAAAACACTCCCGTCTACGCAAAAAACACACATATTCCGGCCAACCACTCAACAGCAACTCTGGCGGTATCAGTGGTAACAGTAGTAACGCTAGTGGCAGCTTCAACACCGGCTTCTGCGTGGCATCATCGTGAGAATACGTCTGCTGCCACTGGTGTCATGGATATCTCTGGGCTTGTCTATCGCAACGATCACTCGGCCTCGTCCTCATCAGCAGCTCCTCGAGGAGGCGTCATGGCTCCGCAGATGCCCATGGAAGGGCAGTCCTATGTATCCGACCACATGGGAGACCAGATGGGTAACTTCAACCCGTACGGAGGCGGCCAATATGGGTTCGGGTCGCAAGTTCAGCCATATCAGGTGGTTGGTCACGCAACACCGGGATATGGACCAGCAAGCTTTCCTCCGTCGCAGCAGCAGCAGCACTCTCACCATCACGGCGCTCATCAACAGTCGCTCCAGCAGTCCCCACAGGCCCTGGCAGCCCGTGGGATTTCGGCACAATCAATTCCCCGAGATCCGGGACAGCTGGGAAGAAGTGCGGCCAACATGAGGGTGTCGAACCCGAAACCGACAGTCCCAACACAGGCTCCCGCCTACACCTACCATCCGGCCCCACAACAATCCCAGATTCCTCCACAGCGGCCTCATCACCACGGGCTCCAGCAGCCTGCTCAACAGCACGTTCCCCAGCAGACACCACAGCAAGCTCAGGCACACCGAGGTCAAGGTCATCCACAGCCAGTGCCACCGCAACAGCAACTGCAGCAGCCGCAGCTCCAGAAGCAACAACTCCAGCTGAAGCAGCAGCAGCAGCAAAACCCACAGCATCAAGTGCATCAACAGCCGCAACGACAGCAGCAGCAGCACCAGCAACAGCAGCAGCAGCAGCTTCAACAGCACCAGCAGCAGCTTCAACAGCAGCAACGTCAGTCATCACAGGGTCAGCAGAATCACCGTCAGCAACAGGAACCATCACCAGAGCAACTGCTTTCCCTTCAACCCGTAAAGCCGGTGCAGAAACCGGATTCGATCACTCATCTGGTGGGGAAGTCGAAGATCCAAAGCCCGGACAGGGAGGTGGACTTCCAGACGGATGTGGACAACTTGATGAAGGCCATTCAGTCTCGGCAGCCAAAGAAGGACGAGAAATCACCGTCTCCGGTATACCCACAGCACCGAGCACCGATCAAGACCGAATCCGGGTTCGCCACAGAACGAAATGGGTTCACTGGTGGCTTTCACAACGGGTGGCCACCACAGCAACCGCAACCGCTACCGCAACAGCAGCAGCAACAGCAGCAGCAACAGCTACAACAACAGCAACAACAACAGCAGCAACAACAACAGCAGCAACAGCAGTTACCTCAACAGCCTCCCCCACCACCACCGCCACCACAACAGCGAGTCTGTTCGACCCCCGAAATTCACCAGATACCTTGTACAAACGTGAACAAGATGTTGACGAGGAGTGAGGCAGGGAGCCCTCAAGAAGGGAAAAGGGATGAGAAGAAATCACCGAAGCAAAAGAAGAGATACGAGTGCAGCGTAGTGGGATGTGGAAAGAGCTTTTTCCAGAAGACTCATCTCGACATCCACTCGCGAGCTCATACCGGAGATAAACCTTTTGTTCGTCTTCCCCTTGAGACAACAAATGGTTGGGCGGTACTGATTTGGCTTCTCGCTCTTAGGAATGCAGTGAAGTTGGTTGTGGTCAGAGATTCTCGCAGCTAGGCAATCTTAAGGTCAGTCGACGCAGTTTCCTCCAGTGGGCCATCTCACCGGCTCATCAGACAATTCGAGTCCCAACGACTATATATTGACTGCTTGGAATAGACCCACGAGCGAAGACACACAGGCGAGAAGCCTTATTCGTGTGATTATTGCGGCAAGAAGTTTGCCCAGCGAGGGAACGTTCGGGCACACAAGATTGTCCACGATGGCGCGAAGCCTTTCACCTGCAAGCTGGACAACTGCCTCAAACAGTTCACTCAATTGGGAAATCTTAAGGTACTTTCGGCACACATCGTTGCCGGATCGTCGTCGCTAACCGTTCCCTTCCTGGTGTCCATAGTCCCATCAGAACAAATTCCACTCCTCGGCCCTGCGACAATTGACCGAGAGATTCGCTGCTCTCCGTAATCCGGACGAAATTTCCCAGGCGGACCGCGAACTCTTCGAATACTTTGCCGAGCTATACAAGAACTCGAATCGGGGCATCAAGGGACGCGGCAAGGACCGCAAGATTCAGTTGGGCTCCAAGAAGGTGCAGGCTGCAGACGGATCCGTCGGGAAACACTCTGCCCAAGACATGCCGATAACTTCGCCGAACGGGTCAAGCCATTCGAACGGCGATCCCAGTTACGGCTTCAATGGCGACGGCTCGCATATGGATGAGGATGATGATGGATCGGTGGGATCCCCGTACGAACAGCAACAGCAACTCCCACCTTTGCGACCTGGGAACGAGATGGGGCAGCCGGGCTTAGGAATGATATACGATGATCCCATGAATATGCACACGCACATCGCAAAGTACCACCTAAATCGCAAGTTCCAGCACTGATGCCTGTGCGGGTCATATTTCTCGGAGAACAACAGGCTTGGGAGCGGGGGGAAAGCTCATCACGGACGGTTTTCACCGTTTTAACCGCAGCGGAGTTTGCACTTGGTCGATTTGGGGTCATTGTTTGCTGGTTTCTGAGTCCTCTTTCCGGGATTGTCTGCTACTTTTTTTCTTTTCTTTTCTTTTTATTTTCTGGATTTCATTTTGCTGCGCATTTTGGAGAGTTTATACCTGGTGTTGTCTGCGTCCATCTGTTCAAACATTGTTTGGAGTTTTCTTTTTTACTTACCGCTGTTTTTTCTTTTCACCTTCATTCCCGCATTTTTTTTTGTTTCTGGATCTACCGGCTCGCTGCGCTGCTTGCCTGCCTGCCTGCTGCTTGCTGGTGTCGCTTACTCCCTTCATGCGATCGATCTACATGCTTCCCTCCACATTTTTTTCTTTTCAGTTATTTGTTTTTTTCTTTCTTTTTCTTTTGGCGGGATGTCAATTTGCTGCTTGGTTGGGGTTGGTTTTAGCCGATTGATTGGGGGCAGGATTTAACTTTATATTGGGGCCGTCGAACTTGTCCGTCGCGCACGCACGCGCTTGTTTTTTTTTCTTTTCTTTTTTTCTCATCTTTTCTTTTTTTTCTTCCTTTTTCTTTTTTTTTCTTCCTTTTTCTTTTTTTTTTGCCTTTGGAAAGAAAAAAAAGCTGAAGAAAACTTTCCGGTTGGAGAAGACGGACGGGAAGGGGAAGATGTACAGTACCTGCACCGGTCTGCGGCGGACACGACACACCCAATCCAACCACATCCACAACCACAACCACAACCACAACCACAACCACATCCACAACAACCACAACCACAAACTAATTTTCTTCGCTCCATCCATCCATCCATCCATCACTATTAGCACCCGATATGTATGTACATCGTACATGTCTATCTTATCGGGTTGGGTTGGGTTGGGTTGGTTGGGTTTGAGCGATGATGAAGTTCATCCGCCTTGGAGGGCGCGGGGGGGGGTTGCTGGGTCTCCTTTGTCTAGGTATCTTCTTGGCCGCTGTCAGTCTATCTGTCACTTGTATGCGTATGCGTATGTCCCCATGCTGGGGTCGCTGGATTTCTATTCTGTTTTCTATTCTATTCTATTCTGTCCTGCTCTTTAGGTGTCACTGGGTCTGCGTTCTGCGTTCTGCGTTCTGCGTTCTGTTTTTGGGAATTTGGTTGTTTTTCTCGGGGGGGGGGGGGGGGGGTTCGGCTGGTTGGTTCGGGACTGGGGCCGGGGACTCTTCTCTTTACTTGCTTGTCTGTATGCTGCGGGATTCGGATACGTTATAGGTATTTTACTTTCTTGGTTGGACTTGGACTTTGTTTGTCTGCGTGCGTGCTTGTCTGCTTGCTGGATTTGCTGGATTTGCTGGATTGCTTTTCCGTTTTTTCGTGTCTGCGAAATAAATGAACTCGGCGTTGTTTCTTTCCCCTCCCCCCCTCTCATCAAGCGGTGTTTTTTAAAGTTTTGTTTTGTGTATGGTTTTGTTTTGTATGGTTTCGTGTTTTGTATGAGGTTTTTGGTTTGGTTTGGGTTGGGTTGTGCGAGGTTTTTGGTGCATCAAAGGCGAAGAGCGGGGGGCAGGGCGGGGGCGGGGGGTGCGCATGGTAGCATGGTAACTATGGCGACTGGACTGGACTGGACTGGACTGGATCGGACTGGACTGGGACTGGATTTTCCAAGATGTTTTTTTTCTTCTTCTTTTATCTACTGTTTTGTTTTTTTATCGTTGACCACTACTTCTTCTGTTTTGAGCTTTTGAGCGGGTTTGCGCAGTTTGTTGTGTTGTGTTGTTTCGAATCTTGATACTATTTTATTTTCTTGCTGGCTGGATTTGCGGCGCTGGATTTGTGTTGCGTTGCTTGCTTGCGGGCAGGACTTGGTTCTCGATTCTTCAGGGTGAAGCGAAGGGGAGGGGGGGTTGGGTTGTGGGGGGAAGACAATACTGTGTATAGGTATTTCGGATCAATCAGTCAATCAAAGCATCAATTTTTCCACTGCTCTGTGCATACGAGGGATAACAGCGACAGTAACAGCTCGCGGTGAGTACTTGAGCGGTGAGACGCACGCCGGCGCTGACGGCGCTTACTCTTCTATGCCATGCTCTTCTATGCTCTCCTCTCCTCTGCTCTGCTGCTCTCTCTCCTCTCTCCTCCACACACATGCATACCGCATACGCATACGCTTGGACCCCCATTCCCATCCATTCCCACTCCCATATGTCCATCCCATCCCATCCCATCCCATCCCATCCCGTTCACATTCCTCGCATACCCCCGCCCCGCCCCCCGGCCCCGCCCCCCGCAAAAACCAAAAGCAAAGTTAAGCAAAGCCAAAGTTAAGCAGAGTCAGGCAAAGCAAATACGCGGGAGGGAGGGAGGGAGGGAAGGGAGGGAAGGATCAGCCGGGTTGGTGGTGGGTGGTGGGTGGTGGTGGGAATTACTCTATAAGTGTGCTCAGTTGCTCGGTTTCCCAGTCTCAGTGCGTCGAAGTGGTGGTGGTGGTGGTGGTGGTGGTGGTGGTGGTGCAATGGTGGGGCACGGCAGACGTGGATTGGCGCAATCCTCTTTGAGGGGGTAACTCTGTTGGGGGAACTCTGTGTGTGTGGGGGGAGGTAATTCGGAAGATCTACTCTGCTGTGCTGCACCAGTTTATGAGAGAATGGGGAGTGGGAGGGAGTGGGAATGGGGGATGGGGCGCGAGGGAAGAGGTAAGAGGTAAGAGGTAAGAGCGAAGAGCGAAGAGAGGGAAGATTCCAAACCGGCCCGCTATGTTGGTGCAGTACAGACATACATATCATACCGTGCATATCAGACATAACTACCAGCGCTGACTGCGGCAACTTCAACATGCTCCACTCCACTCCACACGACGCTACGCTACCTATGCGACGCTTTCCACGCTACGTACTCTACAGACAGACAGACGTGCGGTAGAGTAGAGCACCTAGTCCTGCCTGCCCGCGGCCGCCGAAAACGTCACCGGTCGCCGGTCGGGGCGACTGCCAAGTGAATATTCGGCAGATTCTCGCACTCTCGCAGAGTCTCGCAGATTCTCGCGCGGGGAGGGGCAGAGGGTGTGCGTCTGTGGGTGTGGGGAGGGCGTCCGGCTGGAAGGTGTGTGTGTGGTTGTCGAGGTGGTGGAGGCGGTGGTGGTGGCGGTATGCACAAAGATTTGAGGGAGGGCTCAGGGAGCGAGGTTTCGACGTGCAACTCCGGACGGCTCTAGCAGCGCAGTACTAGGTAGAGTATATGCATAGCTCCAGCCTTATACACGGCCAAGTCTGTAGTTAGAGTAACTATCCCACGGACGGACAAACTCGGGTCCGACGACGAGGACGACGAGGATGAAGAAGTTAAGGTTTGGACTCGATATTGTCACTCGCCTGTACCACTTATATTGTATGATATGTACGGCCGTTTGCGGTCGATGGTCTCATATACTTGTCCATTCTGCTCCTTCCCCGCCGGTGGCCGTCAGATAGGATAGTGGGCCGTTATGTACATCTCACTAGACCAGAAGCGTGGGCAGTGAGCAGTGGGCACGGCCGCATCGATACCTGATACCAGCGATGCGGACTGGACAGGACAGAAGCCGTCATGAACCTGGTGGCAAAGTCATCATGGCTTACGGTATCTATCCCACTCATCCCTCCCACTCCATGATCCATCCGATGCGTTTTACGCCCAGGGATGGGATGGGATGGGATGGAAAGAGGGGGGCTGAGATCAATCATCGCACACGGTAGAGTACCCGCACTGTTACTGTGCACCCATGGACCATGGATATCAGCCCGACGGCAAAAAAGCAAGCATGAAGCCTCAACTACTTCCTACCGACGGTCTCCTGCGATGGGTGATGGATGGACGGACATATGTCCTGAACCGAAGCGTGGGGTTTTTGCTCCCTGCCCTGGCCTGCGACGATGCGAGCTGGCTGGTGGACCGCAGATGGGACGGGGCCGTCACATGGGACGGTCAGTTACTGCTGGGTGCAGGTGGGCTTTCGCAGTGTAGATACTGTACTCTGCTCTACTCTATCCCGGTGCTGAGTGTTCGTATGCGAGATGTCAACGGTCGAACGTTTGCGGTACGGCAGACTGCGGACATCGATCCTTTGATCAGAAGCACATATAGCGGGCTACATACGGTACTTAGGCTGGGTGTTCTACCTACTATGGGTATATGTACCAGATGTCAGAGGTTAATCGCGATCGCGACACTCGATCATGGTATGTACTCTAGCAACGAGGATTCCACCAACAGCCGCAGCTGTGAAAATACTACGGCTTCATCCAGGATTGCTGCCGAAACAAAGGGAGGATGGGGGCGGCCGGGTAGGTTAGAGCAGGTATGGTAGCTGTGGTTGCTTCCGCCTGCGAGTGCGGAATGACCACTTCACCGCGAAAGGATATGCACCGGGATCAGTGAGAAATAGTGTGCTCGATTGGGATATTAAGCCCAGACATGGATGGGGTGGGGTGGGGCGGGTGTCGGTGGTTACAGATATAGTGTTATGTACTCTACATAAGTAAATACAATGTATGTACGGCTCCAAGTCAGTGGGTGAGCGGCGGCGGCGGAGTCAGGGTGAGGAATGAATGACACAGTGTCCCCAACAACAACAACAATAACAACAACAACAACAACAACGTCAACCGGCCCGTTCGACGGTTGGAGTGCGGGTTGACGGCTATTCCGCTGGAATCCAACAGCTAATCTACGGTACATAGGTGGCTCCACATTGTAGGTAATTACATACATGAGTCCAGAGGCCGGCAGCGGCAGTGGAAGCGACCATACCATATGGATGGCGCAGTCCCTTCGTTCTGTGACCTGCCCGCCATTAATATACAGACCTCATAGCTAACTACCATTCAACAGCCTCAGCGCATCCGCCAAGAAGCAGCTGGGGGACTGTTGGTTTATGTAAATGCCCCCCATCCCCCTCTCCCCCGTCCCACAAAGAAAATAACAACCGAGCAGACCACGCAGTTTACTGTTGGAAGAACTGTCTGTTTGTCTGAACTGCGATATCTATGTAGCTGCTGAAAACCCTGGGAGCATTCCAAGGCTTTCTGGCCGGTGGTCGCGTGCATCCTGAATCCTGAATCCAAGACTCCACGTTTCATCCAAACAAATCATTGATCCTCCCCCCGTGCCCCCCGCTTCCGCTTGCGCTTGCGCACGACAGAATTGGATTGGATTGGATTGGATGAGATGGGATGGGATGCGGGGGAGGGGTGGTGACTGGCTGAATGAGTGATGGATGATCAAACAGGTGGCCGAACCCAGGACTGCGGGAATCCCATGGTTCAAGCTATCAAGCTATCGATATCGTAGTAATCGTCTATTCAGCTAGAGCCCGTCGAGGCTGGAGGCGGGGACTGGCTGCATATGCGGTCCTCCGGCTGCCCTGGAATACCTTGGGACCAGCAGCACAAGCGTGCCGGAGGACGGACAGACAGACCCCGTTCGAGTATCTAACTACAAGGCACTCCGCGGTCCCGACTCCCGGCATTCTTGGAGACCAGTGACCAGTGATCACTACAGTCTACCCCACAGCTCGAGTTCTCCAGAACGTAATCTTGCCGTTGTCCTGGTTGCTGCTGGGGATTGATTATTTCCAGTATGTACTATAGATATCACATAATCCGCTCCCCCGTGGTGCTCATTCGAAGACCAGAGCCAACAACCAAGATTCTGCTGATCAAAATGTACTGTACGATACATAGTTGGATGAAAATCTGCCGGAGGGGGCGTGCTGATTGGCTGGCTTCATACCCACGCTGCTACGCAGCAGGCTCGTCTCCGGAAGTTGGGTTCTCCCTGCTGCCATCGTTATGGGGAACGTGTGAGATGTGGAAGCCCACTAGGTACCGGTAGACTGTGGTTAGTATAGTAGTTGTAGGGCTCTGTGGTATCGGTATGATATGCATCTTGGGACGTTCATCGTGGCGAGTGCTTTAGTCTTCCCAGTCTTTCCTCTTGAACATAGTTAC